CCCCACTGGTGAGCCTGTTGCTAGCAAACCACAGTCAAGGCCTGTCTTGGAAATGTGACAGGAAACATTGACATGTAAATTGTTGGCCATCTGTGTGAAACATTTGGAATAGGGATCTCTGTGGTAATTGAAAAATGAAGGCCTCATTATGCAAGGAATGGCAGACTGTCACTGTGGAAATAAATGTACTTAATACATGTGCATGTTGGTTGTACACGAACACGCAGTTGCAAGAATCGCTTCTATTTCACAAGAAAAATAATGGTCACTTGTTCACATGTTATTTTGACAATGACTTACAATTCGAATGTGGCAACTAACTCTAGTTTTTCACAGTTTCAAACAAGTGGGTTTTACTCGCATGTACATCCATGTACCAGTCCATGTAGGACTCGACTTGTATTTAATTAGCAGCATGACCAATATATCTCATATTGATATGGGAATGACTACTCTAGTAGTACAAATTTACTGCTGTTTACCCATGAAGTGGGTCATAGTTTGTCATCCTATTAGTCAATTTTCATTTCAGGCTCAAAAAGCCTTGTAAAGTTACTGCCCCTGAGGGAGAATGAACTTTCATAAAGAGGGCAAACTCATGTACTCTGAATTCCTTACAAATTTTGTCTGTGATGTCGTGCCCACAAGTCTCTGTTTTTCTCACTAGGCCTGTGAAGTACTGGTATGCCTAACCCCACTGAGCAGATTATGACATCACATTTCTGAGAATGAGAATCACCTACGTAAAAATGCCTCAGCATCATCTCACCCCCGCCGGCGCGAGCAGTGGAACAGTCCGTATGCCAATGAGCATAAACAGTAGGATTTATGAATGAGATTGCATACCAGCATATAGACCAGCACATTGCAGTAGAGTGCATGCCCTGCCAACTGCTTTTGTCTGATCAAAGCCTGGCCAATCACAGTCCACTGTTTGGGGGGGGGGAAGGTGTCCTTCACTGGGTAGCTCTGTTCCCTTGGGCCGTCTATGACATCACATCTGTGTCCGGTGGAGGAACAATACCCTCATGGAGTGGAAAATCAATAGGCCACATGCGTGTGCCACAGGATGTGAGTTCACCAGTGGGTAGAGGTCATTGGTCCATACCATGTTGGTAGCATAAAAAGGGGTCGAGCTCAGAGGGTGTCCCTCAGTCTGAGTCACTAGCCTAGTATATCAAAACGCTGAGTCTTTGTCCGAGAGCTCCACCGTCATGTACATGGTACACCACGGTAGCCTGTGCATATAATCTCTCTTCTTCGTCGCTGTCGTGATACATGTACCAACTGCCTGGGATATTTTAACCAGTTTTTCGGGAAGTCCTCGTCTTCGGTTGGATTTATAACGCCGTGAGTAAAATTTCCATTCTTTTTTCTTTGTTCTGAATCCGAGAAAAATCCACCGCTTGCGATAGCCGCCCGCTCACTGCACAAGTCTATGGGCAGGCCTTTGTTGTCATGGGGTTGTGTACGGTACCATAGATTGCGCTGTGTTGCTTGTTTACCCCATATGGTTGTGTCTACACAGTGGGTTCCCTGTGACTGTACCTTTAGCATTTGTTGCGGGCAGGATGTGGGTAGACTATTGAAAGCTTATGGGAACAATGCCACATGTTTTGGAATTTGTCTGAATTTGTTAAAGGGTTGGTCCATTCCTTTGTTCATATTTTGGAATGTAATTACAATTTTCCCGTACATTGGCATACTTGACATATTTTTGTAATTTTTTTTTACTTTTTTTTTTTGGATTGTCTTTAACTAAGTTTCCCCAACCCATTTTCATTAATTGAACCACTCTATTTATGATTCTAATTAAACTGAATGCTGAAAAGTGGCGATTTGAAACATTGGGTTTCCTTAGAATTTGGAAAAGATGACCCTTTTTGATGATCACTGATGATGGCGTTTGATGAATGCCATTTTGAAGGAAACAAAAGAAATAAACTGTATTTATGAAATACATGTCAAAATACATTTAGAAAATTCCTCCGAAAGGATTGGTGGCACAAGTTACATTTGGGCTCAGAAATTGAAAAGGAAATGTTCCTACATGTAAATGAGTAGCTTCAAGAGTGGAAAACCCGTCAACTGGAGTATTTAGAATATCATTAATCGACCTCCCCCCATCCTCAAATTTCCTGGACTGCCCCATGGCGCTTCCTGTGCCTGTTGCTCACCCACCACCCTTTGTTTCACCCAGGGTGGTTTCACATCCCCCCTTGAGTGCTGATAATACATGGAATGACCATGTTTGGTATGTCCCTCACAAGGCAGTGGGGACCCGCATAACGGACGGCTGCTACTCGCTCTCTGGGTTGGCCATGGGCCCCTGCTCTCTTGTGGTAAAACTAACAGTTCCGTGACAGTACAAAAAGTTGGTTGACCGATCTGTGGTTTTTCTGATCAAATAAGTGCACGAACCTTATCCCGTAAACAGCTGTCCGAATCCCAAATATTGAAAGCCAAATTTGATTGCCATATGTTGCAACTTCAGAAATTTGTATTTGAAAAAACGTTTTTGTCTCGACATTTGAAGTTTCAATGAAATTTGAACTGAACTAACATTGGACCAGGTCTGTCGTACAGCGACACATGTAAGCTTGAAAAAACCCACTTGGGCTGCATTTCTAACTGGGATAACTGTAGGACCCTGCAGCTTTTAACGATGCAAACAGTTTGCTGTGTTCTTTGGAGGAACAACATGCATGGCGTGGATTGAAGTCTGGATCCATCAGGCGGCCAGGTCTAGCCTGAATTTTTTCCGAGGGAAAATGCCTTTCTGCAAAAAATTGCTGGTACTTAAGAAAACTCTTCATCTACATATGAATGAAAATGCCCCCCCCCCTCCACTTTTAATGCGTACCACACTGACACATCCTGTGCCTTCTTTTGTCAGAAGACTGCAGTTATTTTTGCTAGTTTGTCAGTTGGTCGTGTACCAGCAAATACAAGATTTATGATTTGACAGGGAAAAAGACCAGTATTTGAATGAATCGTTGCATCAGGCTATGTTTTGAAAGTGTTTTTATAGAATCGCCAACATGCGTTAAGGAAATTATACATGTATTTGTTAGGATATAATATTAGAACTAGAAATTAGAATGAGGAGTTTATTTTTGTGGTGTGACATCAATGACAGTCGTACAGATATCTTCTTCATCCAAGACTTGTCGGCCAGGCCCCCCAATGAAATCCTTTTTATCAGGAAGATTAAAGAAAAAAATTACAGAGCTGTGTTTGATCTGTGCTGTGAATCACCCCATTAGCGTGCGGCTTGCCAAAACAAACTGGGCTAGACACCGACCATATGGTATGCCAGGCAGGCGTGTTGGTGGAGCTGGAGCCTAGCTGTGGGTACAAAAGACAATCACATGCAGTGGGACAACGAGATCTGCCCATGTAATCTGTGTGGTTCCCCGAAACCCCCCACTCGGTGACTGTGAAAATGCTACCAGTCATACCTGTGCCGTGAATCATAACCAGAGGCTCTGACTCACCTCTGCAGGCAGCTTGTTCTATACCTGGCATGTGGAATTCCCTACCAACCCGACATGACATATGCAGATTATATAGGGTGTATCACCAGCCTAAATGACCATTCCTGGGATTGACTCATTCACTCTATTGATCACCGTCTTTTTGATGCTCTGTCATGTTTGCACTATAATTAGATCCCTTGATCCCAGTGCAAGTTTTCATGAGCTTGTTTATAGGTTTGGGGGAAATTACCTGAATACAAAATTATATACACAGACCTGTTTTAATCAACTGACTATAAACCAGTAAATGTTCACTATAAAACACTCTTGATTTGTCATGTATGGGTACTTTTCATGTTTAATTATTGATAGAGTAATATTGTAACTTTTGCCTGGGTTATACATGTACATGGGACAAGTTCATAATCTTACCACACCAGTTTCCTTCACTGGTAAACTTTAATTCTATTTATAGGTACCAGTACATTTAGTTTCTAGAGTGCTTCAGAAATTCTAAAATCTCTAAGAATTTGTAGTATTTGCCTCACAGCTGTGTACGTACGTTTCCTTTGTCACTTCCTTCTCTTTTGAAGGCTCACATGGTAACCATTGTAACAGAGCCCGAACAATGCCTTGAAATATCGGAAAATCTTGCCCATGGGTTTAGCGATGCATAACCATTCATTTCAGCATCTGTCCTTTTTAACGGGTACGTGTGACGTACATACACAGGTTGGGTGTGTCTAAAGGGAAAAAAAAAGGCGGACAATAGATGCAGTCCCCTGGGGCCATCTGCATGTATGCCGTGCTAACCGGAGTGCTTGTCGTCAAAATGCTATTCTTCCGTTGCCATGGCAGCCGCGGGTGGGAGGCTTGGAAAAAAAAATGCCTGTTCACAGCCTTTCGCTTTAGACATGTACTTGTACGTGGCCCCACACCGATAACCTGGAGTGAGCAGAGAGCATTGTTCAGTGTTACTGGAATTGCCACTGAAGCTGGTCTTTGTGTGCATAGTGAGGGGGTGATTTGTTCCGTTCATTTCTCCACACGACTCGGATGGCGGTGCTCAACCTTCGTGTGTTGTTGATGAAGGGGGCGTGCCGATTCATCGGCCAGTGATTCCCCCCCCCTTTTCGAGTAGGCTCAGATTCCTCAGAACAATAGAGATGGTGGTGTTTTGGAATGACACACATTGTCTTGTCTTGAGTCATTCATCCCTCATGCCAAAATAATTCTAAATTTAGGACACCTGATGGCAATCGTGGTTTCCTGATACAAATGACTTGCAATATTGTATAACAAAAGTTTATGTACATGTACAATCCCAAAGGATCTTTTTGTTTTAGGGAACACTTCAAAACTTTATTCAATGACACTGAAATGTATACATGAACACTGTGTCTGTGAACAGGGAAGACATCTTTGATTTTTATTTTAAATGTTTTTTGTATTGAATTCTTGAAAATTCTTCAGTTTTCTTGGAAGTATGCACATTGATTTTATTTTGGACAGTTTATGCCCTAGATTTGTCATATGCTTCTGAGTTTTCAGAATCAGACGGCGACGTTGTGAGACGTGCAGATTTCCACTGTCGGAAGGACAAGCCTCATTTACAGCAAATCAAATTTGTGATGAAATTGGGAACGTGTTCGTTGTTGCACACCTAAGGCTTTATCATGTGTTTCCTGATAACGCCCGCATGTCTGCCCTGTTCTTTTCCACTGTTTGCTCAATTGGTTTGTGGAAATTTTTTTCCGAGCGCAGCAGGCAGGTGAACCTTGTACAGAGTCAGGCAACGAGAAGGGCACGTGTCAGCCTGCGTGAGGGAGCAGATGAGGTGTGCTCACGGTTGAGTCCCCTAATGAACTGAAGGGGCAGCTTTGCATAATCTGGCGGCGCCGAAAGAGTATTCAGTCGGAGCGTGAACGAACTTCTCATAAGCTTTGGAAGAGAAGTAAAACTCAGATGTCAGTCAGGAATTCCCTTGTTATCTGAGGTGCCGGGTTTCCTGTGTGCGTCAATATTTTTACTTTATTTTCCACTAATTCCTGTCCCAGCAACACGAGGACTCAAATTACAATGAGGTTTTTTTCAATCGCATGTGACCATTGATCAGTCATTTTATGGAAACGTACATATTGTTACGTAGTAATATACAGAAAGGGAAGTCCTAAATTTAACATTTTGTGAAACCTCTTGTTTAGCTTTTGCTGTATGCTGATAAATTATTCCAAACGTACCTTTCACTTTAATTCTTCCACTGAGAAAGACTCTTCCAAAGATTCCCACATTGAAACAGATATTGATTTAAAAATGTCTATATGTACACTAACTATTCAGCTTTCGCAAAGCGGCGGATCCATATTTTTATTTATTTTTGTTTCATACTATCCCACCGGCATGCCAACCCTCTAGGGGACACGAATGCATAATAACTGCCCTTTGAAATGAACAGAAGAGAATTCAATGAATCCTGCCGCCTCGCTTCCTCAGTTCTGTCCCCCCCCCCGGCTTGCAGGACCATAAATGTCCATCCAGCGCTCGGCATAATAATCGCCTGTGTATGTATTCTCACTCCAGATAATCTGTCACCTGATAAATTGTTGCAAGAAACTTGGGATGCGGTCCGGAGGGGTAAAATTTAGTTTTCAAAAACTGACTCAACCAAGGGTTGTTGTTGTTTTTTTTTTCACGGAAAGAAGGACTTCCCCATTCTACATTTCTTTCCCCTGCCGGTCTATTTTTTTTCAAGCATGACTTCAGCTGGCACTGCAGGATGTAGTAGGTGTGTGACTGAATGAGAGAATTTTAAGGGAATGAAGTAAATAGTGCCACTTCCTTGATCGCTGGCGATAAGAACATGCTTGGGCAGTCTGGTGGGAATCAGAGACCGAGTGGGTGTCTTTGTTACTGGGCTGAATCCAATCCTCTCCCTGTTTTGTTGGCAGATCACGTCAGTTTGACTCTGTGTTTGAGATCCTTTTGTGAGTTGCGTTAGGTCAGTTAAAAGTCTTTTCTTACACTTGGATCATTTCAGATTATCAGTTTGAAACAGCTGTGGGAGGAACTAGTCCGTTTATTACTGTATCTTTTTTTATGTCCTTTCAGGCTCCCCCCCCCACTCTTTTTGATCACGTTTGCTCCGTGCGTATTGACACACGGGCTTTAACAAAGTTGTTTACCACTGGCTTATCCTGCGGCCTTTAGCCAATGACCGGGCCAGTGATTTCATTGTTTTGCGGTGATGAGGGGATTTTCTGACTCATTCCCTGGGCTGGCCCTGATGGCCATGCACTGTTCGTAACGCTTGAATGACCAGTGAACTGACAGGCTGTGTTCTCTTGTTAATCATCCTTGGTACAGGCCTCGCACCAGTGACGTCAGCAGTAGTGGCCCTTCACGGACAGCAGAGTACAAGGACTGGAGGGAAGACAACAGAAGCCAACAGCTGATAAGTAGGATCATCCTTTTTCTGGTAGCTGTCATATGCTTGTTGGACGTTGAACGCAGAGGATCTTGGAAAATAAACCTGATGCCACTGGATAAGTGGCCAAGATAAAAAAGAAACACGCGAGGGAGGAGATTTTAGTTTTCTTTGTGGATCGCCGGATTGGCCGAGCGTCCTGGATCTTCGGAGTCGCGGTGCCTCTCTCAGAGCCAACACGGCGGGCAATTGCATGAGTCGATCGCTGGTCATGGGGCAGAAACTGTCCGGCGGCATGAAGCAGATCGCCCGGGAGCCCTCGCACAAGATCACACAGCGAGAACTGGTCTACAGTGGCGATCTGGTCAAGCCCAATCGCCTGGACACACTGCTGGACATGCCTCCAGCCGACAAGGAGATGCAGTATAAGTACGCTTGGAATGAGGAGGACCGGTCGCTCAACATCTTTGTCAAGGAGGACGACCCTTTCACTTTCCACCGCCACCCGGTGGCCCAAAGCACGGACTGTATACGGGGGAAGGTTGGTTTCAACCGGGGACTCCACGTCTTTGAAGTATTCTGGAACTCAAGGCAGCGTGGCACCCATGCCGTGGTGGGTGTTGCCACAGCCAGCGCCCCGCTCCACTGTGTCGGGTACCAGTCGCTGGTGGGCAGCAACGCCGAGTCGTGGGGCTGGGACATCTGCCGGAAGAAGGCGTTCCACGACGCCAAGCACAAATCGGGCACGCCCTACCCGCTGCTGCCCAACGCAGACAATTACCCCGTCCCGGACAAGTTTCTCATGGTATTGGACATGGACGAGGGCACGTTAAGTTTCATTGCCGACGGACAGTTTCTCGGTGTGGCATTCCGCGGCCTCAAAGGCAAGAGACTTTTTCCCATCGTCAGTGCCGTGTGGGGACACTGTGAAATTTCAGTCAAATATCTCGGGGGCCTTGAACGTAAGTATCATGAACTTTTTTTTTTTTCTTCACAAACTATTGGTACAGTGTAGATCCATTTTGAAAGAAACCAATTTCTGAATCACACACAAACAGATACAGGAAACGACGGTGATCCTTTGCTCACTGCACGCGTGCAGAACTGTCCGACACAGTGCCTCGTAGGCATTATGGGCCCACGTCAAAATATTACTGTCCATTGATCGCAAGGAAGACCTTTCGATTGTGATTTTCAGCGAGGTGTTGAGGGAATTGTGTGTCTGGAGTACACAAATTGCTGGGAATATGCATGTACATGTACACGTATGTACATTGGACATTAGCCTCTGCATTGAAGTGGCGATTTCTCAGAACCAAATTTGATGGTACACACATTTATCAAGCAGCCGCCCCAGTTACCCAGCTCCAGTGTTACATTCACAGTGCCCTTTGTCATAGATTAGAGTGAACGTGCACGAGATCCTATAAGCCGCGGCAGCATTACGTCAGGGCCTGTGTTGACACTGTCTGGTATAATGGGGCATTGTCAGTACTGCTGCGCTGGCCTTGTCCTTATCCACACAATAGGATGTCCAGACTCTTCCAGGTTCTGGTCTGCTTTTCTGTGAAAAGAGGAGGCTGTTTTGTGTGCATAGCAATGGTTGGGGGAGTGTCCTTCGTGGCTGTCAGAGGGAGCCCTTGTATACAGGGACAGATGGGAAGTTGCTCAGGATGTCTGCTTGGAATCCTTTCAAAAGCCGTTTTGAAAAGAAGAAAAAAAACCTGGCCCAGTGGGAATAAAGTTGTAGGGCCTACATGTACAGTACCTCACTGCATGTACAGGTACACATCAAATGTTGGAGCAAAACAAGAGTAATGTTTGCACATGAATGCAGCTTTTAGATTCGGTCTGGTCTGGAGGCACCCCTCCCGTCCCTAATTTTGGCCAGCTTGCTGCCCTTTCGCAGGGAACAAAATCTCCGGTGAATGTTACAGTTTGGCTGCTTCGGGGCTCTGTCCAAAAATAAGTGCCGTGTCCCCTGACAAAATGTATTTTCATCCCTTCCAAGGCACTGGACATGCTATTGTTCTCACAATGCCTAAAAAAACAGAGCAGTCAACCCATTTTGTGTGTGTGTGTTTTGCTTTCAATATTCCTTTTCTCAACACCGCAAAAGCAGGATGTGATTTTTGAAAAAAAAAAATGAAAATAAAAAGATCCCCAGCTAAGTGTTAGATGTAAACATAAGGGTACAGTGCCCATTTCCCCCCCCCCCATTTGATTCAGTTAATTAAGGGCAGTTTTGAACCCAGCTGGTGCCAACAAGAGCGCCTCATCAGCAAGAAATAGGTGGGGGGCAGAAATTCTCCCCAAGTCTGGTAACTGTTTTTCATGAAGGCAGGCCTACAAGTTCTTCCTTAACTTTCTCCCGGGGAGGGAACTTGATTTGAGCTTGTGTATCATCCCCGGCCAATTTCCTGTTCAGGGCTCTCATTTCCACATGAACAGTGCCTGTGTGCAGTAAATGTATGTGGCAGCCGGTATATACCGACATTCAAGAGCAGCCCCTCTGCTGGGGGAGAAATGCAAAAGGAAGCCGCAAAAGAAAATTGTGGCGTGTAAATTTGAAACGTGCGGCGTGCAGATAGATTTTTCCATGGTCATGGATCTCCGTGGCTGGCTCGTATTCCGGACCTTTAATTTCACAGCTCCAATCCAAGATTGGCGAGTAGCTGCCCGGCACGGACATGCCTTCTTGGGGCCCGTTGGAGGAAATCACATCACAGAAATATGCCAGGCCCGCTTTTCAACAAGACCCATCTGCCTTTAAAAGTTGATTGCAAATCGGTTGGGCTATTTTTCAAATTTGTTTTAGAAGAAAGTTGGGAGAAAAAAATGTACCCCCCAGTCTAATTTTTGGTTTTCCCTCGTTCTTTTCTCCAGCCTCTCCTCTTCCTCTCCAAGACCTGTGCAGGCGAGGAATCCGCGTTTCTGTTGGCAAGGAACATCTAGAAGACATCTACCAGCTACCATTGCCCACGATGATGAAACGGTACATCCTCTACCAATGAACTCAGTTTCCAAAGAGCCCCCCCACCCCCAACACCACCACCAACAGAGGAACGACGTGGTCACATTTCATCTGAGCTCCCACTGAGAGGTTTTTCTTTTTCATCGTCGGCGAGACAAAGAGAAGTAAGACGAGAGTAGGGAAGATTCCTGCCTGCCTTGCCTGGAGATGCGTAACAATGAGCCTGCTGCTACGGGCTGGAGTCAATTTGTTTTTATTTTTCAAAGATGAACTCGGCGAAAAGAGATGGGCAAGTGATGATAATGATGCTGCCGTGCCAGAAAGTTTCCCAGCTGAGCAACATAATTTGGGACGTGGCAAGGAACTGATAAAAAGCTGAGGGGCCATGTTGCAAGCATGAATAAGTGCAGTTCTGTTGCGGGGGAGGAAAGGATGATGGGTTTGAGGTCTTGAGCCTTGAGAATCTTGAGTTCTGCTTTTTTGAGAAGAGAGTTGATTCCTCCTGGACATGGGGAGGGCTTGTGGGTCCAGGAGATTTTTGCATTAAGTGCTGTTCTTGGGGCACCATTGTCATGGTGAGGGCCTCAAGAGATGTGGTCCCTCCAGGAGGGATGAAGCCCTCAGCCAGCCTCTTGTGGGATGTCGTCCCTTTTCTGAACCCCCTCCCCCAAGAATGGATCATGCCAATAAAACTGTTTCCCTGAACACTTGCTTCTACCTTCCTCAGGGAATGGACAGGTGCATTTTTGCATCTGGGGGGAGTACAGTGTTTCCCATGAAAAGAAGATCTTCTCCCATCGTTCAAATTAAAGAATGAGCAATTTGGAAATGCTGATTGGGGATTTGACGGGGAATTTTTTTTTTCCGCTGGGTGGGTCCAAGAACCATTGATCTATGATTCCTGATCGGGTCTGTAAATGCTGCTATTTGACTTGTGGCACTTAAACATTTACTGATGTATGGGACGACAGCCGAGATACATGTAAAACCCATTTCTTAACCATTCTGCTTCCACCAAAAGTGCATTTGTCAAACCTTGAGGTACGTTTTTTACACGTTTGCCTTTGTAGACAGACAGGGTGTGAGATTTTTTGACCAATTTCTAATTTTGTGAACAAACATTGGCGTGAGGGTGACTTGCAGAAGCCACACTAAAAAGACTTTTTTTACCAACTTGACCATTTGCCCCACACTTCCCAGAATCAAGCCATCCTTTTGCAGACCAAGACGTTGCCTTCTAACGACTTTTACCCAACCAATAAAAAGAAATCCCTTGATCCACTGCAACAGTGAAAAGACTTCCGTAAAAATCACATGAAACCCTTTATATTACAGCAGGATAGAACCTACAGACCACCATATACATGTAATGAGATCAGTACTGCTTAACATCTGTACATTTAAAACTGGAAAATACCGTAGCCTCGAGATGTCTGTTACGTTTCTCCAGCATTGGAATGATTTTAATACTTACAGTAATGTGACTCCATATTAAGCATGTTTTTTTCCAAAGAGGGAACCACCCATGTCCACCTGCACATAGTATTTCCCATCAGCCATTAATTTCCACAGAAAACTATTCCCTTATACTGTAGCTGCTTATTTGTTTATTTTACACGACGTGTTTTAATGTGTTTTTTAATGTGCGTTTACTGGTCTGTGTCAAACACAAAAACTCATTTAGCTGACCAGTTGCATGTCAGGGTGAACTGTTTCCATGGGGATGAGGTTTTTTTTTTTTGAAGCATTGATCAATGCAATTTGTGTTAGTGTAGTTTTCTGTTTAAATGGTTTCATCCTGAATCAGTTTTGAGCACTAGTTAGGCCCCTCAGAAAAAAAACAAGGCCCCCACCAAAGTGAAAGGAAATAGCCCAAGTTGAAGTTAAAGGGGGGGAAAAAATTTGTGCCTACAGGCACCAGTGAAAGTTGAAGATGGGTACCAGACCTTTGTGACATGGTTATCATCGAAGTTATACCGTACACAATGCTGTTGGGCGGAAAGTGGGGCGTCCAACTAAACTGGGCGGGCACCATTCCTGTCGGTAATATTATATGGGTACAGCCCTGGCATATACGTGCGTATTCTGTCCAAAAAAGGAACGATTCTTTGTACAAATGAATGAGTTATGTAATAATTTAATCTGTATTCGGGTATTGTACAGAAGGAGGGTCAAAAACGGAAGAAGTTGACCACGCCAGTGCTGTGTACACGATGATAACAATAATTAATGAATGACTATTTATTTTTCGCTGTATTTATTCAAATGAACTCAGAAGCAACGGACACAATAGGAGAAAGTGCTGCCGAACTTACTGTCACAAATATTGTGAGAGTAAGGGAAAAAAAACCTGAAATTCACATACTAGAATTTGCACTGCATATCACACAAAAAATTAAAAGTAGAAAAAAGAAAACTGTTTTAATGTCTGTTTATTCCAACCAGCAGTTTCCAAGGTGCTAACGGTCTTTGTCTGCAACTCATTAATATTGTCAGTGTAATCAAAGGAACTAAATTATCGTAGACTCTTTTTGTTTTAAACTTCTTGCTCTTTTTGAAAGCCAAAAAAAAAAAAAGCCAACTGCTGGTGATGCAAGTATTATTTCCAATGCATCGTGTGTGACACTGTAACGTGCAATCATGGAGATTGGGAGATAAACATCTCCAAAACTCTGCTAAAGTAATTGACACATTTTTGGTCGACAAGATTTTCATAGGTCAAAAGTGTGTACTTTATTACGTATTTCAAACTGTTTTTTAATGTTCTGTTGGTTTTCATAGTATCATTTGTCACATTCTTCACTTTTTCCAGGTAACAACAAAAGCAGAGTAAGCCTTGACATTTCAGGTTTTTACAAATTTGCCTTCATGTACGAGACAGTTTCTAGTAGACTATTTATAAATGTGAAGTAAGCAATTGCATTCTCTGTTTTTAATTTTCGGGGCAATTTTGGCAAGCATAACATTTTATTTTCAATTCGAATTTTTTAAAACATTGGACATGGTCTGTCATTTTTCTGAATCAACATTTCTGAAGGCAATATTGTAATGATCGCATTGAACTGTTCAATTTTGTACATTACCGACTTGAAATCATGTGTTTGGAAGACTAAAAACTGTTGTACATGTAGAGAACGTTCTGTTTTTCATTTTGAAACTCGTCATTGGCACATTGGAGGAGTATGTTAACCATTTATGTGACGCATGTCAACATATCGACATGTCGGTGGATGTCTCTCTTGTCAGATTGCATTTTTGCTGTTTTTTACGTGTTGACAATTAAGTGCTCAACTGTTGTGTCCATTTTTTTTAAAAAGGATAAAATATTTGTTTAAAATTGTGTTATTGTATCAAACTGTATGCCAAACCATTTTTTTGTCTCACTTTAATATTAAACACCGTTTTTTGCAAATTTTTGAGACTCAATTTGCGGCTTCCTTGTTGTGGAATTTCTTCTGGGTTTGGTTTTTTTTTTCGCTTCCCCATTTCCCAGCAAACCAGCCACGTCTACGAATTGAAATGATCCAGCCCTTCCTCCCTGCTTCAAACTGACTACATATGTACTTCCAAACTCTGCCCCGCAAAAACTCGTTAGCTTACTGATTAAGCACTTGCTTCAACGGAATTGCCCCCTCCCGTGCCCTCGTTTTTGAAAAGTTCTGTTAAAACGTACACCCAAACCGCGTCAACGCTGCAGTTCATTTGCCTTCACTGCACGTCCTTGAAAAAAATTGCGTGCATCCGTGGCTCTGGCTGCCTGCCCCCTCAGCAAAGTTTCCAGTCAGATGTTACTCTACAAAACAGTCCACAGCCTCCGTAAAATGCCACTCATAATAAGGATGAAAATTTAAATTTCCTTGTCCCTGAAGAGGCCCCCTTTCCGAGTGCCAGTTTTGACCTTGAGAAGGTTACCACTATACCTTACGGACGCGTGAGCAAACGATGAAATCAGTTTTAGTCAAGTGCAGCACCCATTTGTTAAATTTTTGCTTCGTCAGTCCTGGGAAGATACCGTTGGGTAGCGCAGTCACAAGGGCAACATTCATAGCACTTATTTCATGTCCAAAATAAACCTGTGATCATCTTATGTCTCAAGTTTTATCCACAAGTGTCGTCAAAAATGAGCCTGTGGTGGTGATTTTGATCACACACTAGAAATAGTCTGGTTTGAAACAAAATTCATGCAATGTTTTACAAAATCGTTTATGGAATACGCTTGATAGTTTTCAGGCCCAATTTTAGACTATTTCCTGGCACCACAATGCCATAATCTGTCTTGTTTTAAAATGTGAAATACTCTTTCTACCTTGTCAAATCTTTGAATCTGTGTAACATTCTGTAAATAGAAAGCTTAGATTCTAACACAAATCACCTTCTAGCTGATACTTGAGGCATTACCTGTACAGAGCTACTTCCATCACTTCTGTGAAAATTTGATCACTTTCACAGATTAAGCTTCTGTGAAAGTCCAATAATAAACTATCCAAAACCGCCAACCCACTTCCTAAAGCTTGGAAACAATTGATCTTGAAATTAGTTTTCGAAGTAATCCAAGTGTAGTGAATTCAGCGATTCCACTTTATAGTTTGAAAAGGTTGAAACCATCCAAACGGCTGAGTGGCAAAATATATACTCTTAAAGGAGCCATTATATTCCCTGCGATCTGTGGACTTGCTCCTTCGATAAGGGATATGCCAACCTGAGGTCAGTGGAAAATAGAATGAATTTCTTGGAAAAGAGAACCAAACTCTATTATGAACCGATAATGCTGATGCAAAGCCCCCGATAATGTAGTCACCGTTACTCAGTCTCGTAAAAGCCGCTGGCGTTAGTCAAACCATGGAGAAAGGAGCCCTTTCTTCATGGTCAAACGACGCCATGCCGTATGCGCTCTTTGTCTTTTGCTGCAATTAAGCAAAGGTGCGTACTGGAAGGTTTTTTTTGCCAAGTGCTCAGGAAGTCCGCTTCCATCAAACATACTGTTTTGTTACTTCTGTCAATTTGCAATTCATACAAGTAAGAAAGTGAAGGCTGTTCTTTTGTACTCATGCAGAACATTGAAAACATTTATGTCTACATAAACCCGTGTTCAGTTAAAACTTGGCATTTAGCAAGATATCAGAACTTCATAGAACAGGCGTCAGAATATGTTCACAAGATTTGAATATTCAGTGTTGCATATATGTAATATCAGCCCGTGACGTGACAAGACCAGACAGTTTCTGTTGATCGCTGACCAGGCATAGTAGATCGAAAGACCAGCCACAAGATGAGTTACAAGACCAGCCGAACGTAGTGGGGTGAACAAAGATTGAGGAATGCTTTTGTCGTACATCATTTCAAGATTTCAAGACTTATTTCATTTGACTAGCTTGCATTCCTTAAATTTAGACAGGAGGTCTTGTGTCAGTCTTGTGATGGTCTTTAAGGGTCTCGAACTCAGCAATCGAAAGAATGTGCGGAAGGGAGTTTTCAACTGTTCAGTCTTGAATCTTGAGTCACATACTGGAGTATAAGCCCTTCTCAATTATATTCTCCTCCTGCTGATAGGGCTAACGCCAATCTCCAAATGACCGTTGAGACTTGCAACAGGCCATATTAAACAGACATGGATGCATTCATCCCTGGCTCCAGCTCTACATGACCATGGAGCAGAGGTCAGTTTGAGACTGCCAACAATGACGGTCAAGTATTGGCAATCATTGGTCGACCCTGACATGTCATGTTAGCGCGTCCATGACCCTTGCCTGCCCGAGTAAATGAAGTCCACTGCCTATGGGTTAAATTTGTATCAAGAGGAATGACAGCACATAATCTTCTCCATATAGACTACTGCTATTTCATTTGAAAACCAGGTTCATCATCTGCTTGTAAGTTGTATTGAACTTCGAAGTGGGGTTTCAAAAGGCGTAATTCATTAGTCACAGTTTCGGTTTCAAACTATGGGTATGATGTTGCATGTTTTCCAATTGGCTATACATAATTTTTTGAGTTGTCCATAATTGCTTTCGTTATTGACAATCCAACATTTGAAGTCTAAATAAATACAGGATTAACACACCCCTTCCCAAACCTCAGTAGTAAACGTGGAAATATGTGGGTGGGATTGAACAAGAGATGGATGCAAACCACAAGCTAGAACACCGGCTGACTGTTCCAACTAATTGAGCTGTACTTGCCTAGCCCCTGAAATATGAATTACTGGGAGTGGTAGCCGGGATCCCTAGGTAAGGCTGGCAGACAGACGAAGTTCACTATTCACTCGTATCCCCCCCCCAAAAAAATCATGTTTTTATCTTTTATCGCTGGCAATTGGTGGAAAAGCTAACCGAAACAAGAGAAAAACACCCCCAAAAATGGAAAGAACATTTAAATGTTCCTCCATTTATGCTCCAGCTCTTTTTACAAGAATGATCCTGATCAAGTATTTCACATATTGCTGGTACATCAACTGATGTGAAGTTTTGGCATAAACATTCTCGTTGTTAAACTTACCAACCACTGGGCCATAAATGTCAATGTCACACAACAGGCTTACTGCCTTCCATTTTTGCTGACCTCAATTTCACCCACCACTGCTATGCATGCTGAGGCCATATATTTTTTTTGTCTCAAATAGGCTAAAAATAAACCAGGGATATGAAAACATAGGTCTCGGGTCAGGGTTGCGCAGGTGCGAAGTATGACTCCCTAAAAACTACTGAACAATCACTGCACAGGAGGTTAGTAAGACTGGCTTGAGTTTGCACGGTGATTGGGTGACCTCGTGAAGTGGACTAAAAAAGCTTTAGCAAACAGCGTTTTTTCTTCACCGGATAACACCACAGTGACCCGCAAATCAAACATTTGATTTTGCAATGTTAAAGAAAGTTTTGACTGTATCATAATACGTAGCGACGCATAGCCCAACCATTTTACGTCGCGGTTGGCGTTCCAGTTTCGTCAGCTGCTCGAATGTGCTTCGTCGGGTTGAATCCTAGAGGGATGGCATTGGGCTGGTTCTATGGTTAGAGTCATAAATACATTTATGCCCACAGGTATCAGAAAACCGGTCAACACAACAAAACAACCGGCAGAGTAACGGCCAGTGGCGTAGCTAGGATTTTACCAGGGGGGCACGAGGGGCACCAGCATCTTATGGGGGGCACGCTTTTGTTAGCCTTGTTCAATGTCCATTCAGTGGACCTGGGGCACTGGGAATTTGGAGGGGACATGCTCCCCAGGCCCCCGGGGGCTACGCCACTGGTAACGGCACAGATGAAATTGGGTCCTACTGCTGGCTTGTTGACTTAGAATGCATGTGAACATATCCCCAAACTGTTTCCCTTAGAAATTAATCCTTATGACTACAGATGAATAAGTTAAGGCAATTTTCTTTACAAAAGCCCCACTCTATAACCCTCCTTCCTCCCCCGTTCTTCAAAAGAAAATCCTGAAGTCCCCTTGTTAATGGACTTAAAATACCAAATGATCTCAACCCAATGCCAGATTTTCTTTCCCTTTTCTTTCCTTGAAAAGCAACGACGTGAGCGGTGTAATGTTCAACATGAAAACTCTCGGAAGTAGGAAGAACTACACGGGGTTGTTTGTCGTAGATCCGGCATATCCTGGTTCAGTTGAATCAACACTGATCTACGTCGACTGGGGAAGTTTTCCAAGCGCAGTGTGGCGCGCGATATCACGAGCATATCAAAGTATGAAGGAAATAGCCGGTCCAACTACCTTTAATATTGCTTCCTTCCTTTTGTAAATTCGTGCCGAGTGGCATGAAAAGTAAGTTAACATTTGGTATGACTCACTGGTCATGTTTTTATTTCATTTCCATGTGCCGGTGGTGGGAACTGTTGAAGATTGCCTCGTGGCCTTAGTGTGAGGGTCCTCGTTTAACGTTTTACAGTTTATGTTCAGTGTTTCAGAAGTAGCGACAACAGCATTTCATGGTGGCCAAGTCAGACACCGGTATTGAACTGACGGAGGTTTGTGCAGAAGGTGGAATTCTTTGTCACAATCCTAACAGACCTGAGACATGATGACGTCTTGCTTAGCTAGTAACATGTGCGCTTTCCTGGGGACTAGATGGATCGCGTCCAACATCTCTAAACAAAGCGTGATGTCAGTATTACAATGTTTGGTGTAAAGCAGTACCGCTAATTATTCAGTCCACTGCTCTGATTGGTCGTGTGTTTGCTGGACATCGCGCTACAGCGCGCGTTCCGGGTCGTGATTGGCTGGAGAAAACAAACTCAGGTCATTCTACCTGACCTTACTGTCTGATTGTTTCCCGTCTTGGCCGTAAAACTCAGCAATCCGATGTGTTGAAAGCCATTCATTTGTTGTCCAAAATTCAGTGTAATTGGAAAACGACTAATGCACATGTAATACACTGGAACAGTTTACTTCTGGGTTAACAATTACACCCGAATTCACTTCGTTTTGGTTTCAATTTCAATGAGGATTACTTTAATATGGATTAAAGAAGGCTCAGCGAAATTTCCTGTAGACGCATTCAAATTGGTTACATAAAAATCTCAGTGCCGCTTCTCATTATGTACTGACAACAAACGCCTGATCTCCTTAACGATTTACCCTTCGGCAAATCGCTGTTGAGTACCATCCTGTCGACACCCTCAATCTCAACCAAAATCCTTCTAAATATAATTTCTGCAAGCCAGTATAACTTCCACTCGCCCAAAATAAGTCTTATCAAACCTAATCTCGCGCCCTCTCCGTCGCCTGCAGACTATGCGACAACCGATCAATTACAGTCCTCCTTATCATGCGATCTTAAGTCTAATGGAAGACATCCCCCTTTGCCAAACCTGACGATTTCTCTCTGGAAGTGGTGTGATCACGGCGAAACATTTCACTTCACAGCGATAATTTGATAAGTGACGGTTTAATCATGATAATGTTAGGGATTGCCACACCCTCACTGAGCTCAACTGCAAACTGACACACCAACTTACTGAGTCGTTTATAAAATATCGCCGTGGAAATTGATCTACTGTGGCCAGAGTTTCAAGCTCTTTGTACTTTTAATTTTTTTTCTTGTGGGTATAAGTCACGAACATTTTGAAGTTAATCTAAGTTCTTTCGCAATTGTTGATGCAAATTGAACTTAGAAAAGGTAAGTTTATATGTCAAACGTTCACCTTGTAAGAAGACGCCACTTTGTGAAAGACACTAACGACGAGACCTGTGGAGGCGAGGCGAACGAAGAAAGGTATCTCTAGCCTCTAATGAAGCAATGACAAAAAAAGGAATGGAACGGGACATAACAAGGAGTAAACACCGAGGGGACCGCTAGCTACGCAAAGTCAGCCAAAGACTCTTGCAAGAATTGTCGGGATTTGTTTTGGCAGAAATGTTTCTAAAAAAGAGAGAGTTTTTGTGTCCTAATAATGCCAAATCATCATGTCTTTGAAGAACTCAGAAGATCACTGGCCGATATTTTCACTGCCTCACAAATGTCTCTTCCTGAAAAAAAAACATGAAGAGCAAATGAGGCATTCATATCGCACGCACCTGAACTTGCCCTGAATCCTTTGCGAAAGGATATTATGCATTACAGGTGCAGAACAACGGGGATATTTCAAATTAGGATGTCTCAAACATGACACGTTAAAAGCACGGCCCAACTTTTTAGTCCCTGATGCTGAAAGGCGCTCTCCTTCCCAGGAGCAAGCTATACCACCAACCCCTGCTACAGAACCGGACGGAAGACAAATTAGACGACATACACATATTTAGAACAGCGACTAGGTTGCGGTGGTGAAACGGAATACTTCCTTATTGAGTTAGGCCAAATTTCTGCGTCTTGAAGAGCGTGATGCCACACGACATGGTCAGTTTCAGCACAAAAATCAGCTCGCCCGGCTACAAAAAGCGCGTTTGGTTGAGATCGTGGAAACAGTTCAACTCATCAGTACCGTAGTATCGCTATGCACATTCCTTTTCTAGTTGAGTTGGAATTCCAATTTCCACTTATAGTAGGAATTTGTAAAATCATGCACCAAACTGTCTTCAATACAGCCTAAGCCTGCTAAACCTGACAAGGCGTCAACAGTTCAAAATACTGAAAAGTTCCTGCTGAAAATTGCGTACAGTGAATTAATTATTATCAGGTGTACAATTTCTCTCCCAGCACACACAAAAAGTGCATGTATACCAAACAATCCACAAAGAAGGATGAGAGAAATAAATAAAAGAAATTAAGTAAATAAACGAAAAGTTGGCGAATAGTGAATCGGCATGGAGGCCGGATGGGTTTGGAGACAGCGCCAGGAAGCTTCTCTCCCCGAGGTTAAAATGAAATGAATACCGTAACGTTCAGTTTAACAGCTAAACAATACAATAACACACCATCTGCCAGATAAGTTTCCCCGATATGCCCCCGTCGCTTTTAACTTGAAATGCACTCCAAACAAAAATTTTCCCATTTACAGCCTACAACCTGCTTTCTCAATTATAAATTAGCAGTATCCAGCCCTGTCTAACAAAACCAGATTTTCATCGACGTAAATTTCCTCCAACCACAAACAGTCCTTTGTCCACTTTTGTCCAACTTTAAATCGACGTGTTTATACAAGACTACCTTCTTACAAAGACGTCAGGGTATAATGCTAAAATACAAGTCTCAAGAGGTGGGCCCTGCCGTCATAATTTAATTTTCATAACACAGGTGGCGGCATCGTTAGCATGGTGTACTTTTCGGTCTCAATTTGGTCACCGTGGGGGTGAAAACAGAAGCCCTGTTCCACAGCAAACGTAACAGGTGTCTTCCGGTCAAATCTTGCAAGAGAAAAGATGGAGAAATATTTGGAAAGATACTGACCAATACATGCACGTGCCTTCAAATTGTTTGCTTGTTTACTGAAGTGAACTAGTTTTAATTGATTGAACTGCACAACTCGATGTTTTGAATTAATCTCAACAGTTTAGCGTTTTAACCATGGATAAATCGACTGATACAAATTAAAGTGTTTGAAACTCTTTATTCCTCTCCTTATCCTTATAAAATGCCACCATAATGACCTCGAAAGTATTTTCCAAGCAGTTAAAAAATTCTGGATGTAATTCCTGGCACAAACAGCTGTTTCAATTGTTGTCTTTAATCATGTTTTGATGCAGGAGTTCTGTCGTGCCTGCAAATTGTATAAAGTCACGCATAGACACTGCACGCGTAGGCCCTACATGACACCTCTTATCTTAACATAATTTAGATCGTCCTGGGTGCACGTAGCCACATTGGAACCTGCAGAATACTCCGTCATTTTGAAACTTCTAGTTTGGATGACTGCTCACTGTGCACTATCATTAAGGCAAGACTCTCAGTTTTGCTTGACATGTTCATTTGTAAATATAAACCAACAATCCAGGAAATCACAGAAAATAATATAGGAAACATTTCAATGCCAGGCAAGGCCGCTCATAACGTCAGCATTTCAGAAACCTTAACCATTAATACTACTGTTTTTCAATCACTTTTTATTCTGACTACGTCAGAGACAAGCCATGAGACTTGTCTTATTAAATTTGTCCTTTTAACAGCTTCGCTTGCAGCTGATTTGAAATGTTTCGAGAGAATTGTTCCGTATCCCTAGCCTCTGCGTCCATTTTTAAGGTTTCACATCAAGGAATCTTAGTGTGACTTGATGAGCAACTCAGGGGGGTAGATCGACGTTCTATATTTGGACTTCTGAGTTCAAGCAACAACAATGCCTTGCTTTGATTTGCTTTGGGGGTCCATTGCACTGGTGGATATGTGGTTGGGGGCCAATTCTTGTCAAATCAATCACTTAACTGGAATCCTACATGTCTTTCTGTGATGTAGGAGCTGACCCCTTTTCGGGGGGGGGAGGAACTGTCTGCGGTTGAAACCTTTATGACACCAAAGATCTCTGCCACAGCGTCAGGTATCGCCTAAAAATGCAGACTAGAAAAGTGGTCACTAATCTGTGCGGCTTTACCTAGTACTTGGGTAGCTTTTGCACATAAAAATGAAGGCTGGCGTACTCTAGTGAACAAGGGACTGGTACATGTCTAGTTTTGGAATGTTCACATCAGACTTTTTTTTTAAAAAGGAACTTGAACAATGGTGGGTTTTATATATTGTATTACTCATCCCATACGAAGAAATAAGCTTGTGTGCAGCACTCTGCTAAAAATTGATGACATACAGTAGAAAAAAAAACTGTTGTATTCAAAGTAGATGATTCAAGACCCCGTGGGTTCGCTTGGCACTGTGGACATGTACTCTATTGTTAAAATCTGTGAAGTTGCCCAAACGGGCATTTTAGCAAAGGTAACAATTAATGCGGTGTACTGAGAAATGGTAAATTAAGTATTTCTTGGTGGCGACTATTTTTGTGCTTCTTCTTGGTCTTGTATGAGTTACAAGTGGCTAGAGAAGACAAGGGATTCACATTTGAATCATTACACTGTGCTGATACCCCAGATATGCACTGAACCTTTGGGGGGGGTGAATGGGCCATTACGCGAGTATGAAACAAAATCCCATTGATTTGACACAGGCAGTAATTTTGGCCAAGACAAAGTTGTGTCATGTGACGATGCGCTGGTAATTATGCACAATGAGCTGGTTACTTTTTTGAACTGTTGCAATTTTCGCGACTCTCTAGCATGGGCAAATGAGACTTTGAAAAATTGCCGGCAGGATTTTAACTTCATCTGACACCTGTCTGGCATTTTGGGGGCAAAATTAATAAACAGCGCTATAAAATCATGAAGAAAACAGCGCTACACCGGGTTCACTACATGTGCACCCGTGCATTCCACGGTAGAGGTTTCGCAAGGGTCACGGTTTGTGACAATGCAGACGGCACACAGGGCACAAGTTCAACCCACAAATTCTCCTAGGAAACAGAGATGGAGCGCTCACTTCAATTCTCACTTTTTAATAAGGATGGTTTACACATGACTCCACTTTAGAACACTCGGCAACTGCTTTCCTGCAAACAGTCTCTTTTTATTGTTATAATCCAAAAACATTGAACTGTTTGTCTCTTATGTAGACTAATCTACGATCATAGAAATATTTTGTTTGGGGAACATTTAGAAAGAATACTAGGAACATTTCAGATTCAAAACCACGGAGTGGTCTAGGCCCAAACAAGCAGTCTTTCTGCTTCAATCTCCATGATTAATACACTGCTGTAGACGAGGCCCTTTACCAATCTAAACAAAAAGTACTGAAATGTGTCAAGGGCAGATCCAAAACTCAATTTTTGGGGGGGAGGCCGACTTATTTTTTTTTAGCCTACTTAGGGACTGGCCAAACAATTGAAATGTTTTCAAGTAACCCTTCACTTTCTAAGGTGTGGGGTTACAATGTGGGTGAGCTTTTAGAAGGAAGAGAACTGAATTTGACCATTTTCATTTTGCCTCCTTATTGGGGGGAGGCCCCGTTGCTCCCTGCCCCAGATCTGCTGGGACTAGAGGTGCATTCTGAGTCCTGGAGCCTCTGATTATAGACAAGAAATCTCCATTTCAGAGAAAAACATGTGGTAAAAGTGGCCAAAGTCTCAGACTTGATTCCAAGTTCCTCTCTATACTTTTATCTTTCACTTCAAGAACATCTCTGGAAAAGTTTGTATGGCAGGACTGACAATTTCTATCCAATCAGATGAAGTACCCTGTCAACTTGCTGCGGCTTGGAGTTACACATGCGTCAATGGGAAGTGGCTGTAGCCATTAGCCAGTGGCTCCCATAGGTGCATGTATTACTTTCAGCCGCAGCCTTAACATTCTGACACAGCCTTACATACACACTGTTTTGAATACTGCTAAAAGTTTTAAATGGCAATGCACAGTATTTCTAGACTTTCCCGATGAGGGCAATAGAGGCTTTGCGTGGTAGCCATCTTGCAGGGCAGTTCTTTTGGTTCACAAGGAAACTTCATTTGTGCATACCCAGTTGAACAAAAGCACTGGCCTGCAAGATGGCAGCTATGCAAACCCTCTTTTGGAGTTTCTAGTGGACAGTTCCATTAGTGCAAGCTCCTTTACAAACATCACAGTACAAGTCCTCTAGAAAGGAACGGCCAAATTGTTACATACAGAGAATGACATATACATATAGAAAGCCATGAAGCAGAGAAGCAATGAAAAGACTTTGTCATGATTTTAAAGAGAAAAATCCAGTCTACTTTGAGTGATTAAAACTGGAAAGAAAAACTGCAGCTTACAGTACAGGATTGATATTGTGACACATGTAACAATTTAAACTCATTTCCGACACTTTTTAGACGATAGTTTACATTAACTTTGGACAAGTTTCTTTAGTAGATAAAACTCCAACTGTAATTAATTATTAGTACTGAGCCATGCTTTCAGAGGAAAAATACTGGAAATTAGAAGCCAAATGCCCATTGGCAGGATCTTAAGTCTTCACGAGAATCAATACAGATTAAGTTGCAAGAACAGTCTTCAAACACGAGAAATTGATCAAGAAACTCTTCATTATTTTCAAGTACAAAACTCTGACATGAACTGGCCAGGGAAAGACACTAACAATCAACAGCAGAGGGCGCTGTTTATTCTAGAGCCATTGAAAGAGCTATTTAAAGACAGTTGTGACATTTTGTTCAGACGGTAAACTTCTCAGATGCAACTGCACTTGTGCTGCCAAGAAATTTTGAGATTATAGAGGGCAGCAAACAGTGTTCATTAAATAGGATGCGTACATCTTTTAACAGCAAAAGGACTGATGCACAGGTTTCAACTGAAGACAGAATTATTTCACCAAAGCTGTCACATTTCATTTGTATCACATAGTCCACTCCATATTTTTCCATCCCATCTTCCAAAAACGAATAAGAAATTTGAAAACTTTTAAGTTCAATTTTAAGTTATTTTGGAAAAAAAAGGGAAACAAAACAAAATCTATAAAATGATATCTTTCTTCTGGATACATGGAGATCCAAAGCACCATGTTTCTGATGGATTTTAAAAGCTGAGATTAGAACAAATATATCAAGTTAAATCGATTTCTGATGGCTCTCACTGATCACTGACCAAACATATTCCTGTCACAGAGCAAAAGCTTCATGTACAAAATGAATGTGTCAACAATTACTCAGAGACTCAAAGAAATTTTTTGTGATGGTTTTTAGCATGTATTGTACACATTCAGTTGTAAACTGATAACAAGGGGTCACAATGTTTCCCTTCCACTTTCTTTGTTTTTCATTTTAGCCCATCACAATGTGTTAAAATGTTTTCACATCCAGAAGATGTTTATCAACAGACAGTAGGATACTGGCTGAATTATGCATAGAGTTAAATATAATAATTTTAATTTGATAAATATTACTTTGAAATGAGAAAAAATAAAAGGGCTGCTAAGCCTAGAGATTTTAAATTCAAGAAATCTTTGCTGAGCAAAAATAGAATACCAACCACTGTTCTGTGAGGACTGAACCAAATGTGACGGGGTCTCGGCATGAGACCCAATTTTGGGCTCACTTACCTGGTAATTCTGTATTTATCTTCACAGAATTCTGCACTCCACTAGTAAGCGCATAATCTTAACCACACGAACGCATGCCTGTAAGCCCAAATTCCTTGCTTAACCATGAAATCTGCTAACTGTCAGCACCGAATTTCTCTCCAGTACTTGGGGAAAACTCTGTGCTTACAAACGGAAAACAGAGCCATGAGAAGTGGACCTAATGAAATAAAATGGAATTCTAAGCCAAAGTTTACAAAGCTCCATTAATATTAATATAAATTAATATTTAAGAAGCACCAAAGTTTGCTTCACACTACAGATGACCAGATGAAGTATGACATGTTGCACTTGTGATTAACTGGTCCTCTGCCATTTTTTTGGGTTGAGAACGTACATTTGCTGAGCGCAGGTTTCTTTCTCCTGCTTAGCAGGTCCCATCACTTCAGCCCACATTTTGCCACTTCACCTTAAACTTTGAGCAGCATGGGGGGAATGAGGCTGTCGGCCACCTCCTTGCCCTTCAATGCCTCCACCAGAGCCAGAGCAAATTCAAAAGCGGTACCCGGTCCGCGGCTGGTAATCAGGTTACCGTCCTGGACGACGCGGTTCTCAGAATACTTGTAGATCCCTGCCAGGGAATTGACGAAAGGTGCTCACAGGTATGTAAATTGCAGACTGTGTCGCTTCTAACCAAAAAATTTTGATTTGCAAAAAAAAAAAAACAAGCTGCAGCAGCCAACTTCTGCAACCTCAAATGTTAAACATTCAGGGGCACATCTATAGAGTGATATTTACTGCCACAGCAGGTCGTATTCAGCAGCTGCCTCCGACTTCATCATGCTGTCTGCCTTCACAGACTTCTCAAACTTAGTGTGTACGCATTACAAATCATTTGGAGGTTTTACACACTTGCAAGCTGCACGCACATATAGCTAATCAGATCGTGTTTACATGTCCTCTGGCATTAAGTGGTGAACCTATGATCTCAGCCAGACACAAAGGCAGAATACTTTGACTGAGAAGCACCAGAAAAAGCGATAAAATACACTTCAGAAATCCGAACCAACCTTGCCGATGACAATGAGTGATTCCTAGACGGCCAACGTGGCTTCTGAAAAAAAAAAGGGACTGCTCACCCTGTGCCACCATCTTGTCTTTGACTGCCGGATGCGAGGTGAGTGTCTTGCCCTTGGCGATGCCGTGGCTAAGTAGAGCAATAGGAGCTGAGAGAAGGAAACACAGCATGAAAGGAATCGTTCATCACAGAGAGACACGTTTATCCAGGAATCAGAGACAGGTAGCTTAAGAAATACTTGTTTGGAATTACGACACTGAAATGAGACAAACTCACTTTCAAATACATGACCAAGTCTACCGAGGATGAATGCTTCTAAAGGCCTAACTAAACTTTCCTGTGCAGACAAGCTACGAGCCAATGTCATATATAGATCTTTTTCACCCACAAGACTGGATTGCGCTAAATGTAAACAATACCACCAGGTGTGGACCGCCTTGGCCAAGGTGATCGCATCTATTCCTACGGGCAGCTTCAACCACGTACAAGCGTACGTACGAACGCTTCTACACATCACGGTCCAGCACAATAGTGACATCACAGGGAAAAGGTCTGTACGGCCTCTGACGTTTCTTCTGAATGCAGAGACGCAATGTAACAAGCCTACACTGTACATTACTAGAGACCAATCCCACATTACTGTGGTGATGCCACATTCGAGTGAAGGTCATCTGTGCATGTGCAAATGCACACACCTGAAGTTTCAGACCCACAGGTGAGTTTGATGCCGTCACAATGCTGTCATCTGCTCAGAATAGTCTTTGACTACAACCAGTCAGAGTGGAGGCAAAGGAACAAAGTTCACTATGTGCCATTGCTTGACGATGGTGCTTTTTTCCCCTGAATGCACCCACCCATTACAGGGCCCTGATGTGCACCCAGCAGACAGGAAATCTCAAGTTTTTGAGGTCCACATACCTGCACAGATCGCAGCAACTATTTTCCCTCCACTTTCATGAGCCTTTAATATTTCGCCAACTTTGTCTGACTGCAAAAAATGTGTTTACAAACAATCAACTTGTCAGATATTTGGCATTTTTTCCTAACTGTAACATCATATAAAAAGTTGAGACATTATTAGGAAATGTTAGGGTTAACTGACAGAGCCTAACTTCTAAGTAAACATCCAACACATACTCTGTCTGAAGAATGACTTCAAACACAATTTTTAATTTATACTCATAACTCTTTCGCTCTTGCTGGCCCTTTTCTTTGGAATGAACTCCCTCCTGATATTCCCAATTTATCTTAGAATCTCTTAGAATTTAAAGCAACCTTAAAAGCATGCTTGCTTCCTGGTTAATCACTTCAGACCTGCGGTAAATATTTTTTCATATACATGTATCTATATTCGTTAGGACCTTTTCAGTAACTGTTATAATGTATTTGATGTGTATTCTGTTTTGTAAAAGTGCTTTGCCCTTCAAGTGTCACTTGTGATGGATTTGGCACATTATAAATTATCCACGACAAATCTCTTACTCCAGCAAGATTTTGGGAGCCTCCATTGCCTCCAGGCATGATGACAACATCATAGAGTCCCTGGAACCAAACCGAACAAAACAGAGAACAACGTGAAAGTTCCCGACAACAAAGTTTCTGGGAGAGTTTATACACCCTGCAGTTAAGCCTCAAGTTACTTTCAACTAACAAAGGATGCCATATAGTGCAGTGTGCTGTATACCTGCTTGGCTGCCTCCTCCAAGCTTTTGTCTGGCACGATGACGACGTTGCGACTACAATTTATTGGCTCCGTGCCAGAGAGCCCAGCAACCGTCACACAAATCTACAGGAAACAAAAGTCCAACAAAGGACCACGTGTGAAAATGAGCAGAAATCTTCCCTGAACTCTACAGAAACTGAGAGGGTCTGTGACTTGAGAAACAGCCAGAGGAAGAAACAGTGTGCTTCCACAGGAAAAAGGCTGCCATCGTGACTACCGTTAAATGGCTTGCCAGCAGTTTGCAGATGTGAGTCTGGAGCCAAAGATACAAGAGTTCAGTGGCATCTTGGCAGGAAAAATTCCATACTCATTGGCCACTCTTTTGATATTTTTTTACCCCCAATGATTTGAAAACAGAACAGGGGCAACAGTTTTTTTGGGGGGGTGGCTAGAGACATGAAAGGGGATTTAGTTACTTAGGATAACAGGTTTAAAAGATGGCACCCCTTCTTATTTCATGCAAAAAAAGTGCAACTTTTTTTCCATAATACCATTTTTATCATCATGGCAACCTCCAACCTGTAGTTTATCATATAGAATAGTGCTTGAAATCATCCTCAACAGGGGTGTTTCACAACAGTGCGCCTCCAAGAGTTTGGCACACGTTGGCTAATCACAGTGTGTAAAATCTGTCGACCCAATGTGCATTAAGAAAGGGTCGACAGGCTTCCCGCGTTGTAATTGGCCAACATGTTGTAAGCTCTTGGAGGCGCACACTTGTGGATCGCAAGCATTTATCATAAAAGACAGCGTGCATTCAACTACCCGGTACCTTACAATTTCATATGATTTATGGGTAAATATTTTATATGTTAGTCTATAAACAAATACAGTACACTCGTGGGAAAAGGGCCAGGAAGTTTGGAATTTGTAAAGAGTTCTATATATGGATAGCATTAATTTTCCCTTACAAATGTTATAACGGCCGTTAGAAAGTGATTAACATGTTCTAAAAAGTGAAATTCAGCAAAGAAATTCTGAAGCATTCACTTAGAAAACACTTAATTTGTTTTCAGACAAGTCTCATAGATTTGTGCACAGAGGCATCGAGTGTTGTCTGTTCATGGAACTCTTTCTATCCATCCTGTTTATTTATGTTAGAAGGCTCGACAAATTGACCGACAGTGCATCACCCGAGTTGCCTCTTCTTCTTTTTTCTGGTTCAGCTGTATCACATTTACATGTACACCTCAGCTAGAGTATTTGCTTCAGTCATGAATGTTTGTCTCAAAGAACTGGAGAGTGCTAACTTGTGGAGGAAGGAAAAGAGGTCTTGACCCTGACAGATAGGGAACACATTAAGTGATCAGGTGATACTGGCCCAAACTACATCTAGGAAACTGCCAATTTTTATGGCTTGTGTTCAAGCTCCATGGTCATGATGGTACATGAGCCTTTGGCACTGGACATTGCCATGCTGTGTAAGGGATCAACACTGGCAGATAGGGTGGGCATAGTGTGGGATATAACTTAAGTTGTCCAATCAAGGAGGAAGGAATAGATTGTTCCTTCCTCCGTGGTCCAATATAGTCCAAATCCAATGCACTGAAATTTTTTAAAAGCTTCTTTCTCAACTCGAGACTGAAGTGATACATTGTGAAATTAGTTTGTGTGCATCACAGGCTGGCCTGGGCGAGTTATCCATTGCACGGACATAACGGGCGATGCTCAGAATGTTGGGCAGTAAAATTTACGTTTGCTTAGCGCTTTGAGCGGGGCCCCAGGGGAGTTGGGAGAAAACAAAGACTGACTTGCGCCCGTCGCAACACGTCAACGGGAATAACTGTCTCCATTTCCTCTGCCCCCGCCGCCAAAATCAAAAGTGCAGACATTCTGCTCGTCAGTGACCCCGATCTTCGCCTTGTAGTCGTTGAAGCGCCGGTTCCTGCGTTTGGACTGCCGTAAAGCGATGTCACACTTTGGAATCGTCCCGATAACGCCACTGCAGCCCTCATGACACAGACTGCCACTTCAGTACGTGTACATGATTTACTGCACGATTGATGCACGTATTACCCACTTCCGGTGGGCTGACACTTGACACGTGCACCTTTCCTCCGGTCAAAGGTTATGTTTGTTTTCAAACATCATTAGTATGAATATTCATGTTGTTGTAATTCTTCTAATTGATATTGGCACATATTAACCCCCAAGAAAAAGATGCTACATAATCGATGACTTCTTGGCTGTCTGATTTGGGTGACGGTTGTGCTCTGAAACATGGACCAAGGAACAGACCGAAACCTCTGTTTATTGGTTTTTTCCATCCAACAATATTTTTGGTTATTAATAATTCATTTGCCGACAGAGGGCGCGCGACTGTTGTTGTTCGTTTTTGCGTTCCCTAGAAACCACGCGCAAGCGCACTTTTACAATGAATAAATACCAATCAATTAATTTTGGTGAACAGGTGAATGTGAATTAACGGATTACACTTCTCACTCCCGGATTGAGAGTTTTTACTCGGGTTCTGAAAAGAAAGAATGTTCCAGATGGATAATTGGCTCTGTACATTTCCATTCTTTCGTCTCAAAGGTCGACCGTGCTTGTGGTAGTCAGGTTTTTGCTGAAGAATTGAGGTTTTTGTGCAATCTGTCTCCGCGCTCTCTTCCTCCTCCGTGAATAAAAGCCGACTGCCTACAAAAATGGTCAAAGGGTTCCTGAAAAGTACCGAGGGTATTTTCCAACTTTCCCCAGGTGTTACTGTTATCGGAAGAGAAAACTGTGACTTAGTGATTGAGGTAAGTTTTGCAATGTTTTCATTCATGTCACTGACGTGACTGAACTGTGAAATATGATAACATTGAGCACCAGCCATCACTTTTTAAACTGTTTGACTTCAATTGCAAAATTTCATTTACTGAGCATCACAATTTGTGCTCAGATCTCGATATGTATTAATGTTCTCATGATAGGCAATAGCCAGGCAAAAAGGCCCTTATTAATTTTGATGATCCACTGTTGTTTAAAATTGCTTAATTATTGCTTTTCTTATTCTAGAAATTTTACTTTTCGTGACTTTGCAGAAAATGTGAAATCTGTTTTAATTAGACATTACCATTACCACCCTGTGCCTATAATTAATCACTCCCTATATTAAACGGCTCAATTGCAGAATACCCTACCACCCCCCATGATCAACCTCATAGACAGGTACAGGTCAAAATGTCACACTCTTCTCAAGGGATTTTCACCTTGTACCCATGTTTAACCAGTCATTCCAGGGGTCTTTTTTTAGATTGGCAGGGTAATTACTCCCTAGTATCTTTAGTTCAGGTAACTTTTGACAATATTTAAGCAAGAAAACAAGAATTTTCTTACGCAATTTCGGCAAAGACAACTGCATCATGCCATTTTGTTTCACGTCTGGTTACCCAACCCAGCCATTGTGGATATACAAAATTTCATTTAAAAACCTTCATGCAGGTCAAGGAATGAGACTACACTTGCTAATTCGTCTTCGTTCACAGCTCTTGGTCATTTTACCCTATAATTTCCCTCAAAAACCAAAGCCCTGCCCTCTTTCTTTGTGATATAAGGGGGACATCACCGCCAACTTACCTCGGTACTGGGGTAAGTTGTTTTGAAATGGTAGACATTGTTTCCTTATAGGAAGAGGGTGCTAAAGGTACTGAACATCAAAATAGTATTACTAGATGACTTTTCAAGTAACTACCTGAGTCAGAGCTGCACAGTGGTCAGTGATGACATTTTCTGAAACCCAGGTGAAATTGTTTCACAACAAGAATTTTCCTAAATACATGTAGAAATTTTTGAGTGATGAAAGTTTCCGTCATTGTTGTATTAATAAAAACATCTTCATGTTTATTTCTTTGGTACTACCCTTTTTATGTGACAGGAGCAGGATTCTAAATGAAATTCGGTTTTATTCCAATGCATAAAATTAAATCTATTCATTTAGTTCAGGCAGCATCAATGTGTAAGTGCCAACCTCTCATCCTTAAGTAAACATGTTCTGAGAAACCGCTTTTGAAAAAAAATGGTATTGGTGACTGCAGTTACAAAAAGTGTTTTTTCGATGCAGTCACCCACCGTAGAAGTCCAACATGCCATCGTTGAATACAGTGACAGCGAGTCCTGCTTTGTACTGCAAGACCTAAACACGGCACACGGGACGTACGTCAACGACTGCCGGGTACAGAATGCTGCCGTGCGATTGGCTCCGGGGGACATCGTCCGCTTTTCCTACTCAGGAGTTCCAATGGAGCTAGATGTTGAGGATGCACCTCAGGTAAACACCGTTTCCCCTGACATTGGGACCACACCATTATATGTCTCCTTTGCCTTAGCTCTATCAGTTAAGTCTCATATTTCTTTTTCGCACTTGCTATATTTTTTCTGAGTTGAAACTGTTGATCACAAGTGTCCTTCTGCTCAGTGTACAAGATACAAATTGAGAGATGGACTGAGCCCTTCCTAATGAACATTTAAGACCAACCAGGATATGTCTATTCCATTAATTACAAGCAAGCTACAAACAAGCCAGTCAGTTACCTACTGAATATTCAATTTCATATTTCACTAAGCTGTGTGATGTGATGCTTATTCTGGTGCTATTGTACTCTGGAAAGAATCTGCTGAGCACAGGAAATATTTGCTTAGCAAAGACAGGTTATCCGCCAAGTGCCATGCAAATTGTATTACTTGGTACGTTTTTGCCTGTTTTTGCTTAGCACAACAATTTCCTAAGCAGCTGTATAAACACAGCCGTAAACTGTATTATCTGAATACATCTGTAGGTCACCTACCCACCTGTTCAGCAGCGACCGGCCTGGAGTGCACCACTGCAGGTCATCAACACCCACATTCCCATCTCAGGCCCCACACAGCAGCAGCAACAGCAGCAACTCCCCCACCTTGCCAGTGTCACTGACTCCGCCTACCCGGCTGGAGGCAGCGGCAACCCATCGCAGCTGCCCTTGATCTCTGCGGCTCCGCCCGCTTCCACCCTGCCTCAGTCAGCGTGGGCCACGCCCTCTGTGGCTACCCCCTCTACTACGGCGAACGTGGTCGTACCAAGACCGCCCAGGCCCAGGCCCAGCAGTGCGGGGACACGGCGGGGCAGTGGAGGTAGTCCAGTCATCGGCGGCAGCCCGACCAACAGCCCTCTGCCCCCAAGAAGAGGTTTGTTGTCAGAAATAATCTCAAACTATTCAGACACAATGTTTTTCCTTTTTTTGTAAAAAAATAGCACATACGTTGTACATTCAGGCTACACTCACACATACTGTCATTTGCAAGGAAACTCCAATGGATCAGTTTTCATTGCAGGACAACTCGGTTGACAAGTGCATATTTCTTTTCAAAGTGATGACAAGTTTTAACTTATTATGGCCTTCTTTATTTTGCTCGTTGTGTAGTAACCAGTGGCTGGGTGAGTACGGCCGGAGCCAGGACAGTGGTCACTTCACAGCAGGGGCCAGGCAGCCCGGTCACTCGGGCATCCCCAGTCAATGAGATGTTGGCACTTCACGAAAAGGTAAGGGGGGGAAGAAATGACCAGTCTATTCCTTTTTCTTGTTTTAAAAAAAAAAGTTCTACATACTTACCAAGTGTGACAGTCCAGAATAGCGCCCTCGGTTGTGACAGTGTTGAAGATTCCTATTAAGTTCTTCATATTCCATTCTTGATACAACCTGTAGCTGTCATTAAACATTGTCACAGGACAAATTTGATATTTATTTCAACTTTGACCTTCTTTGAAAGGCTTCTTCCTGTGGTTTGCACCTTCCATTATACCAGGCAAGATATGGGACGGAGGGGTACCCCCCCTTACCTGTCCAATCCCCATACATGCTGTAGACTATTGTTACCTAACACATCCCCCCTAGAAGTCTGTTAAGAATTCCTGAGATTCCGATCAAACAATGACCAACACAAAGGTTGGGGGGTTCTCTCCATCCCACATCTTGCTTCAAATGCCTTCCATACTTGTATTGCCTGGCCTTATAAGCGATTGTCAGTTTTACAAATTCTTCCAAGCAGGCTTGCTGTTTTCATTTAATGAGTCACCTCTGGCTGGAATGATACGTATTTTGTTTTCCTCACGTTAGGAGCAACGTCTTCTCCGCATGGGCGACGAGATCAATCGGCTCGCCGTCTTCGAGGCGGAGTCCCTGCGCAAGGACGGCGTCATCGCCCAGCTGCGGGATGAGATGGAGGCCATGGCGTCTGAGCTGCGGCAGCGCAGCCGGGCGGCAGTAACCACGGGAGGGAGGGATACTGACAGCCACGCGGCAGCCCTGCAGACCCGGGTCAAGGAGTTGGAGGCTGACATCCACGGGAAACAGCTGGAGATCAACGCCCTCAAAGAACAGGTAGGCAGGACAGAGCCAGTTAAAACAGCTTCTGCCCAAAAAGAAGCACATCATCTGTCGATCTGGATAATCAGTACGTGTGCACAAATTGGCCCTCTCAGCGAAGTTCGTACATCAACTCACATACATTCTAAACAAGTCAGAGCTGATGTGAATTCTGGTGTTTTTATCCCAAATGACCTTGCCTCGTTGAAATACCGGTGAAAGTGACTTTCCGAAGGGAGAAACTCGCATCAGTTCATTGAAGTGATCTTGATGTCATCAAATGCAATTAAGACAGACGTAGGACGTAGGCTTACAGTCGACCCGTGTTTCCACTTTTCATTAAAAGTTATGCAAATGCATGCAAACGTAACAAAGAGGTGTTACTGAATGAAGATTGCCAGATACTACGCAGTCTTGACAATGAAAATGAGGACAATCTTAAACTCCCCTGTCTCACATATTTCAGTTGCACGAGAAAGTATTGAGATCTTGTAATTTTTCTTGAAGATGACCAAGATGCGCCCAGAGAGCTCTGATCCGATGGACAACGTGGCCCACCTGCGGAGCACACTGCTCCAGAAGGAACGGGAGCAAACCTCCCTCAAGCAGGAAATGGAACGGGTCAAGAAGGAGAAGGCCACGGCCAATGGGTTGGTGACCACGCTGCAGCGGGACATGGCCAATCGGGACAATACCATTTGCCGGATGAGGGGGGAGCTGGAGATCGTCAAGCGAGAGCTGCGGGAGAAGGAGGTGTCGCTGTCGGCGATGACGGCCAAGGTGAGTTTCCGAAATCTGTTATTTTCTTATTTTATTTTAGTCTAGTTTAGCAATGGTAGCCTCATCAATTAACAAGAAGCTATTCTCCCTTAGGATCCCCAGGTTAGATCAAACATCAAAATTACAACAACAAAAAATTCAAATAAAAATGATTTAACATTATGATCACTACAGTCAGAGAAAGAATGGTCCTCATGCAGGTGTGCCCCTTGCCTTTCAATTCCATCTTTGCCAAGGCTTCAGAAATAAGGGGAACAACCCAGGATTTAAAGTTTAATTTTGCAGGGGTGGCTTGAAAGTATTATGAACAGAAATGCAAAAGAAATAAAAAAACAAATGGTTTGAAGTGTCTGAGCCAACAATTTTGACTACTTAGTAATCTTCAAAACAGCATTTAATGTTTTATGCACCAATAAACTCAAATTAAAATGCATTTCAAAAGGTCAGTTATTTATTTCTGATGTAATTTTTATCACCATTGGTTCGTCATATAAATGCTGGCGATGGTATCAGAATCACCTTTTTTGTCACTGTTCATTCTGTTGATCTTGCTGCTGCTGCTGTTGCTTGGCATCGTTGCCTGTGGCTGGCCACAGCTGCCGCTGGTGCTACTAACAATTACCATGGTTACTGAAGGTGCTGCATTCACTGCTGCTGTTGCCACAACTAATCTTTGGCAGCTTCTGCGGTTGCTGTCGACATTGCTGCCTCTGCTGGTAGCAGCAGCGATTGCCGTAAACTGCAGCATCTGTTACTGGAAGAGCTGCTGCAACTGTTGCCATTGGTGCCGCTATCTTCTGCTGTTCGCTGCTGCCAGCACTGTGTTAATAATCGCTGCTCCTGCTTTTGTTGCTGTTCCACTCACTGCTGCGACTAGTTGACGCCGCTGGTGCCATTGCTTTTGTTGCATTCACTGCTTCAGCAGCACTGCCAACTGCAGTGGTTCTCTAGAACCCTTTCCTCACAATCGACCGTTCTGCCAAGACGGCATCCCTCTCGCTCGGGCTGCATCAATATCCCCCCGTCCTTCTCGTCTCAGTTTAAACGTTTCCCCTATCATCACCGTTTCCCAGTTCTCGAGGTTCAGAGAAAACAAAAAGCATGAGGAAGAAATGGCCGTTCGCAACAAGGAGCTCATGAGCCTCAAGCACGTAAGTTTCTCAGAGTGCCGTGTTTCCAACCGTGATGAGTTATCATTAACGCGCATTATTTTCTTGTTCACGTAGTTGATGGATTCGGAGGTTGATAATAGTCGACTCCGAGATGAGCTCTCAGACAAGGACCGTGAGGTTCTTAGGAGCACGGATGTAAGTTTGAACATTGTAGAAGGTCACCAGACCTGAGCCTGCAGCCCAGTACATTGTCTTGTGACGTACCACGCTTAGAGCTCTGTAGATCTGTAGATCTCTGTAGACCAACTCTGCAATCCACACTCTGTTGTCATTCTCGATTGAAGCACTGGCTTTCTTCAGGAAAAAAAAATGGTTGGATAAACAGAGAGCTGAAGCACTGAGCAGTGTTAGACAATGGAACATTCAGAAAGTTTACAATTAAGTGTTGAAAGGATCATTGGCAGAAGGCTTTTTACCCAGGAAATTAATAAACTAACCGAAAGAGAACAAACAAATATTGTGGAGTTCACATGACAAGAGCAAAACATGCTGTGAAATGATGCTTTCATACCTACATTTTGGAAGACACTACAAAATAGTAAGTCTGAAATATAAAAAGCGTTTCCCTGGTGACGGTTGCTTAGGAGACGTGACATTTGCCAAAAGGTAAGCTTTACCAAGTCGTCCAATCAAATCAGATTCAGTCTGGGCAACTTCAAGAATGGAAGGTTGTGGATAGATAGAATTTTCTTCAACCTTGCTGCAAAGTTAGTTCAATCTTGAACTTGTCCACAAATTTGTGCGGTTTCAAACAAGTGAAAAAGTAGACATTGCTCTTTTTAAAACCATCCTCTAGGTTGAAACTTCAAGTCCATTGTTCCATCTTCCTCCGTTATAAGTTTGAGTGTTGTTGGTCCCTGAATCACGGAAAATGACACGCCAATGGTCACTGTGTTTCTTTCAATCAAGTGATTTACACCTACCCCATCATGTAAACACTGTTTGCTGAGTGCTTCTGTGCATCCCTGCTGAGAGAAGGCATTTACTTGAAAAACTCTCCAGCTGTAAATCTTTTCTTTTTTTTTCCAAATTAAATCACCAAGCTTGAAAGCATTTTGACATTACAACAGCTTGTTGCATTGTTGGTCTGTATTATGTCCCATCTCATCCCATGCATTATATATCCAGCCATCAGCCATTGCTACAAGACTCGCTGAAAGTGGAAGATCATATTTTTTAATGCTTCTATGCATGACCTGCGGAGGGGATACTCTCTTGTTTCATGTCGATTGAAACAGTTTGTGCATGGCTTTGGATGTTCTGCATCAAGAGTGATGTGGTTCACCCAAACAGTACCCTGTCCTTCAATTTCAGTATATATGCACGAAATTATTGATGCAAACACAGATAATTTATTCTGTTTTTATTATTTTTATAATTAGAAACAGCTTTCAGGTCTTGTATAAGCATTTGCTTATCTAGAATCCTCATATCATTTCTGTTATTTTGACATTAAATTCATGTAAATATTGCATTGAAGATATGGAAATAAAAAAACTTACCTAAGCTAAAACACTGAGAAATTCTCTGTGCAGTTTTGAAATCCGTGCAGTTTTTACCTCTAGCTCCCTAAAAATACTGAGCTAGCGCTTTTTGATAACAAGATTACACGTACTAAGGTTTCCAATTCACATCTACATGTATCCAAATAAAATCAAGTGTATTTGTTCACATGTCAAGGGAGCTATAGTCAGTGGTAGGTTTCTGTATGTACATGTAAGTATGTCAGTGAAAGTGTTACAGTGCAACAAAAGTATATGCATTGCCGAGTATTTCAAAATATGACATAGTTCAATCAACAGAGGGTTAAAAAAATACAAGTTATACAGACTTGAATGTAAGGAACAGATTTCTAACCCCCCCCCCCGATTTCCCCCCGCCCCATTTAGCCGTGGTTACACGTAGTTCCATTAGTAATGTGCGTGTGGGTGTCATTTAGCATAATTTTCCGTTGCATTGATCCATCTTTGGCATACATGTATCCTGGCTTAATGTGCAGAATCGCTTCTTGGTGTTTTCATCTATAGAACCAGAGTGTTTGGTGTTTATGTGGTTTTTCTGCCCAGTGGCTTTCTCAGTCATTTTTAATCGCCGTGTTTGTTGCTTAGCTTTATTTCAGGTTGATATATAAATTTGTAAATGTTATTGTGGAATTTGATAGCCTTTTGAGATTGACCGCTTTCGCTTAATCTGTTTATCCATTTAAAATACAACTTACCGTCTCATGGACACCTGTGGTCACATGTGAGTGTTTAGATTGCAGAATGTTGAATAAATTTCAGTTGGCATAAGATTGTTCAACTGAAATTCCTCATTCAAGCTGTGTGCATTTGGGCTGTGCAACTCAGAGTTTGACACAGACTATTTTGCATTCAGGGTAGTTTGTCTGGCAGTTCATTGTACATAATGCATGTACATTTCTGTAACTCGAGCTCATGGCAAGTTCTACTCTGGTGTCTGTAAAGACTTGTGGGTTCAGCTGAACCCTGCCACAGGGCACACTTGGGATGATAACTCCCGACATGCTGGGGTAACATATTACAAGACCCAAGGGCAGACAGGTGCATTGTTAACATTTGCAGGTGCCTTTGAAGGTCAAAAGTGCACGACCTGATGCGATGTGCCGCTCCCAAGATCCGGGTTGGTGTGGGTCCAAAGAGAGCTCAGCTAATCATATAAAACAGCAGTCTGTGATGTGGCACAACTCACTTGTTTCATGTAGGAGCAACACAACTTCAATAACTGAGTCTCTTGCTCAAGATTTCGGCGTCGAAACTTTGGTTTGAAAGGCCTCATGTCTTTGATGCAACTTTGATATTATGTTGCTTGGGGCTAATGTTTGCATTTTTGTGGTGTGCCATAGAGTTTCACAGACCTCTTATAATGTGTATCTTTCGAGTCATCAATTAAGATTGGGAGCGTATTGCATCAGTTGTCTCAATTTTATTTTTTCGTCTGTTCATTTCCAGAAACTGCGATCGTCTGAAACTCGAGTGGGTGAGCTGACGCACGAGGTGGAATCGTACAAGCAGGACATTGAGAAGTTAAAGAAACATATCGAGGAAGAAAAAGAGGTATTCTAGTGTTTTAAAAATGTACTCCAAAAAAAAATTATTGCTTTGAACTGGAAAAAAGTTAAGTCTTTCAAATTATTTCCGTTCAGTTTTGAAGTTACATGAAAGAAGTTGACTGTAATAGTGGTATATTTGCTGAGCAAGGAACATTATTCACTGAGCTAAAAGCAACTTTACAATACAAACTAACCCATAATGTCAGCAGTTGTATAAACGTTTGATTTTTTAAAACAATTTCTTCCTGTAGATGGAGGAGAAGTACAAGTCTGAACGAGACCATGCCAAGGTCCAGTTTGCCGAGATGCAGCGTCTGGAGAAGACAGCCAAGGCTGACGTCGAGCAAAGTCAGAAAAGGGTAAGAACCCCGAGATTCGGTCCTAGAATCGTCACGACTTCTCTTGGATAATGAACTGACACACCCAGAAATAGCAGCTGCAGACCGAGGATGGCGAAGACTAGAAATTTTGGTTCGGTCAAAATGTTGAAGAAACACCTGACGGTCAAAAAGTCTCCTGCTGTTGACATATCAAGTGAACTGTTCGACTCTTTGAGCTTGGATCAATTTGACTTGGAATTGAGGTCTGGTTTCTGAACTTCTCTCCCCTCAGCTGGAGCGTTTCCGCACCCGCATCATGCAGACCACCTTCTCGGCCCCCGGCTTCAAGATGCCCGACCCAGACACGGAAATCAGCGACGACACCATCGTGGAGACAATGAAGAAGCTGATCGAGGACCGGACGGACGGCAAGAACAAGCTCCGGGAGCTGAAGGAGACCAACAAGAGCCTGGAGATCTTCAAGAAGGACTCTAAGACCAACTCCAAGACACTGAAGCAACAGATGGTGGCCTTGGAGGTGGGATAACAATTTGAGACAAATAAAGGGGTAAACAAAGGGGCCACTCAAGTCGTCATCACAGTCAAAAGTCACTGCAAATCAGTCAAACGTCGCTGTAAATCAGTCAAAAGTCGCTGCAAATCAGTCAAAAGTCACTGCAAATCAGTCAAAAGTCGCTGCAAATCAGTCAAACGTCGCTGCAAATCAGTCAAAAGTCGCTGCAAATCAGTCAAAAGTCGCTGCAAATCAGTCAAAAGTCGCTGCAAATCAGTCAAAAGTCATTGCAAATCAGTCAAAAGTCGCTGCAAATCAGTCACAAGTTAATCACAAGTCACTCCCAAGTTAATTACAAGTCAGTCACAAGTTAATTACAAGTCAGTCACAAGGAAATCACATGGCATCACAAGTCATTGTAAGTCAGTTGCACGTCAATCATAATATAATCATAATTCAGGGCATGTCAGTCACATGTCATCATAAGTCAATTACAGGTCAGCCGTAAGGCTAGTCTCAAGTCCATCATATGTCATCTCAGAGTTTACGACGGTGAAATCTTTTCCCTCGTCAGAAACGTTTGCAAGAGGGAGGACGGACCTGTGCCCACCTGCTCAATGAAATCAAGCTCCTGTCTTCGGTCACCGTGGACGAGAGCCTTCAAGGCATCAAGGATACAGTCGCCATGATGCTGCAGGATGAGTTGTCATGGCAACAGGAGTACGAGAGCACACTAGAGAAGTGCGGCATTGACACTGGTACACCCGGAAAAGGTGATGTTGACTGTAAATTCTCAACCTCAAGCATTTGGGGTTGGTATTCCAAAACGATAAAAAAGTTGCATCTGCTAATTTGTACCCATTCAGTTGCAAAATGGCTGTGTGCCAGTAGCAAGCAAGAGTTCATTTGATGCACATGAGTCATGTAGCTCTGGCACAGTGCTCTCAGCAGTTCAAACACAGTGCATAAGGAACTTAAGCCCATTTGTAGCTATCACTTAAATTCCAACATCAGACAGAAACAAACCACAAACTTTTAAACCCTTTTCGCACAAACATAAAAGATGTCTGCGTGTGGTGCTGATGACAAGACTGATTGAAAAAACAAATTTCATCTCCCTCCTCTTTAGGCCTGGCAGCTTTCATCGACGACCTCAAATCCAAGAAGGACAGTGCACAGAAGGTGGCTGCCAGCATTCAGGCCAAGTTTGACCAGCTGGAGAAGACGCTGAAGAGCGAGACTGGGCAGGAGGTCAGCCGGCTCAAGACGGAGTACGAGACCAAGCTGGCCGATGCATTGGAGATAACCAGACTGGAAGGTGAGGGTGGAATTCCTCGTGTTCGAGCAGCTGGACTCGGTCATCGGAAAGACTGGAATCTAAGATGAACCTCTCCACTCTTCGTACTCCAAGATCATCTTTATACTTATTGGCTGAAATGATTCTTGTTGGCAAAATGTTTTGTCTCTGTGAGCTCCACAAATTTGAACCTTTTTTTCTCATTCCGTTGGTGTTGAAAGAAATCCACAAACCGCTCCCTGTTCCTTTTGAATCTCCAATTTGAACCTTTTTTTCTCATTCCGTTGGTGTTGAAAGAAATCCACAAACCGCTCCCTGTTCCTTTTGAATCTCCAACAGGCAGGGAATTTCAGGGAAAAAATTCCTTAGTCCGACAGGACCTCTGCCCCTTACTCTCTGGGCACAGAATGAGCTTTGGAACTCTTTCTCGTTTCACTCCACAGCCGAGAAGAAACTACAGACGTCCCTGGAGGAGCTCCGTCAGGAGGAGGCTGGCAAGAGAGAGAACGCAGTCAAAGCTGAGCAGGAGAGGGTCCGACAGCAGGAGGCCAGCTTAGAAGAGCTCAGACAGGTAGGGCTGCGTCCGAATTACTTAGCTGCAGCTTGAAATAACACAAGACTCAATGGGAAACAGCTATGGCCACAACCTCAGATTTGTGTGTAATTTCTAGCCGCAGCCAAGTAATGCGTACATGACCTTAGAGAGAGACAGGGCTGAAGCTGCCAACCCTTGGAATGAGCTTGGGGAGTCTGTTGCTGATTGGGAAAGGCAGAGTTTTAAAAACAGACAGGGTAAAATCAGATCAAGTTCAGATGTCTTCTTTGGCTTCAGTAAAATAAACCTTCGTTGTTTTTTTCCTGTCTGTTTCAAATGACAATAAGGATTTCTTCTTCAACAAAACAGTTTGGGGAACTTGGCTTTCTAACATAATAAAGTCAAGTATATTCTCCAGAATTACTCGATGCTGTTTCCTCCCACACATCTCCAGTTCTTTGATAAATGTGATAACTACTTGCCAAGATTGAGGCAAAGGTTTTTAGGTAGCCATCACGTCCTCAATTCATTTCTTGTTCCAGAACTTTCACTGCATGCTCAGTGAGTCATTTCTTGTTCCAGAACTTTCACTGCATGCTCAGTGAATCATTTCTTGTTCCAGAACTTTCACTGCATGCTCAGTGAATCATTTCTTGTTCCAGAACTTTCTCTGCATGCTCAGTGAATCATTTCTTGTTCCAGAACTTTCACTGCATTCGCGTTGTATCTCTGTGAAGCTGTAGTATTGATGCTTTATTTGACAGGCCCTGACACAGAAGAATTCCAACGAAGAAAGGTTGCAAACCCTGCAGAAGCAGCTTCAGACGAAAGAAAAGGAGTTTGCCGTGACAGAAGTAAGTCGATTCTATTGGTAGCCACAGCTCACAAAAGGGTTTGTTACAATGGAACCATTTACACAGTTCATAATGGGCATTTTTCAATTGTATTGATAAGACTTGAGACTATTGCAAGACTTTAATGTAAGAAATCTGGCATGCTGCTTGATATGCTCATTTAATCCACAATCCTTTACGAGTCAGTGTAGAGCATCATGATCATTTTTCGCTGTGGAGAAAGTAAAGCACGGCTTGATCGCTATGTTGATAGAGGGCCATAAAGCCATTCTGTTGGTCTTGGGTTCTACTCCTGGCAGGGCTGCTTTTTGTATCTGTCTTTTAAAAAATCCTCTAATCCTACAGGAGAAGCTCAAGGCAGACCTGGCCATGTTGCGCAATAAGCACCAATCGGAGGTTGGCTCCTTACGTGACAAGATGGCGGCCTCGGAGGACCAGCACGGGAAGGAGACAGCAGCCTTGTGGGAACAGGTCAAGCAGCACGCGCTGACCATCAGCAGCCTGGAGGAGCGGGTGGTCCGGTCAGGCAAGGACCTGGCCACGGGACAGGCCAAGGTGCTGGAACTGCAGCAGAAGTTGGCCGGTGAGGAATCCAGTTAACTGGAGGAAATTTCTGAAAATCATATAGTAGTGCATATTGGTTGGAATAAGAAAAAATGTAAATACGTTTACCCTAAGCTTCCCCACCACACAGAATTAAACAGTAGTAAAGTGTTTAATTCTGTGGGGATAGGTCTGGTAGGCCCATAACAGCTGGCTTTTGCATTGGGTTTGGCATACCTCAGAAAAGCAAAGTCCAACAGCCTCTGTGCACAAAGTCTCATATGGGTGTTTGTGTGAATGGGGAAGGTTAGGGCCAGCAACCCTTTGGGATTAGGGTTAAAGAGAAGTAGCAGTGTACCAGTGTACCCTCAGTCCTTGACTATGTTATAGTGTTGTTGTTGAGACTGTCACAAGACCAGACACAACACCTGTCACAAAACTGGGGCCAATTTCATAGAGCTGCTTAAGTGCAAAATTTGCTTAAGGGGGAAAAAAATTTCTTAGTAAACAAGGGTACCAGCTAAAACTCTATCTGATTGTCATGCTAACCAAAAAACAGCTAAATACAATCCCAAAACAATAAACATCATATGGAGTTTTGGCTGGTTACCTGATTTATTAAGCAAGGTTTTCTCGCGCTTAAGCAAATTTTGTGCTGAAGCAGCTCTATGAAATTTGCGCCTAGTCCGAGGTGATGGGTTGATAGTCACAGTTGATTTGAATAGTTCATGACTTGAATTGAGATTGGAGGTGTTGTCTTGGTCTTGGGATGGTCTTAAGAGGTTTTTCTATCTGTGACAAGAAAAGTTAAGAGTGTATTGTACGGGCCTGCAGATAGCTGTCACTTCTAGGGAGCACAGTGCCTTCAGTCAGCTTTGCATTTACCGAATGCTCCCTTGGAGCTGGTCCATGGTTCTAATCTCCTTGATTGTGAATGACTAATGCCGTGTCTATTCATATTTTACTATTTCTAGACTTATAACCATTCAAGTATAAAGTTGACAAAGTTTTTTTATCTGCCCTGCCCAGAACAAACCAAGAAGGCCCAGGAGATGATGTTGAAGTATCAGCAGCAGGCCAGCAAGCCGGAGCTACCTCCCAAACCGGTCATTGTGCAGCAGCCTGGGGCCGACATCCAGGGCATGGAACAGCTGATCGCCTTACTCAAGTAGGTCAAGTCTCAGGCACTGCCCTTTGTCATGAATATTCAAACCGAGTGAATAATTATTCATTAATGAAATGGTTGGTACAAAAGACACAGAAAGATATGTATGCCAGTGTAGTGGGTGTGTGACTAGATCCAGGACCGTCACTGTGTGGACCCATGTAGAAATTCATGTCACTATTAAACAGACTGGTGCGACTAGATACAGGACTGTCACTGTGTGGACCCACAGAGAAAGACCCGCCAATAACTGTGTCATTGATGAAATGGTTGGTAAAAAAGACCTTGGTAACATATTAGTACTTCAGATTTGTTCTGTTTTAGGTCAAGATTGTATAAAGCAAAAAAGTAATTTTAAAATGAGGGGTTTGTCGGCCAAATAATAAATTTCATTGGTGTTTGTTATAGTTTTGTTTCCTCCGCCTTGTTGGTCTTGTCATATGGGATTATATAGGGATGATTGTGTCCCTAAAATAATTACCTTTGTTTATATTTGCCTTTTTGAAAACAAAGACATTATAACAAACAAATTCAGCATCTTAGTCAGCATCCGAACCCTGTGTCTAGAGCTAGGCGCGGCCCTAGCCCTACAGCTCTTCACCGATTGCCGGTATAAAGCACATGCTGACAATCAAGCCGTAGCTCTGGAAGACCACTTGTGGACACAACCTCATCGTCCTCTTCCTATATTTTGTTCCTGTTGAAGGAAAGAGAATGCCAATATGAAGAAGGAGCTGCAGGACCAGCAGGATGTGATCCTGGGCCTGCGGCGGGACCTGGCCGGTGCTGCCGCCCGGCTGTCGGACATGACGGGCGAGCTGAACGAGCGGCAGAAGGAAGAGCTGGAGGACAGTCGCCTGCAGGTGCGAGAGCAGGAGGCGGAGCTGACCACCCAGCGCCAGCAGCTGGTCAAGCTGTCGGAGCTGGTGGACAAGAAGACGGCCGAGACGGAGCGATTGGTCAAGGACCTGGCGTGAGTCGGGCTTCCCATTTTCGGGGGATTGTGTTGTTAAGTTTTGTGGTCTTTGTGGTGAAAGTCTTGAATCGTTTTGGTCAAACCCCATGTTCTAAATCTTCTCAGTAAACGTTTCTCAAGTTCCAAACCCTTGTTCCCTGTCTCTATTCCCCGTGGTCCAGTTCAAAGTCTTCGCAGTCAGTTCGCAGGTATTTGCGGCCACGTCCAAAAGCTTGATGTCAACTCACAGCTCCTGTGACCAGTACTTTAAACATGACCACCAGAGAGTCTGAGTAATCAAGTTTCTCATGTATCAAGTACCAAGTGTCTCGTGAGGCTTTTTAGTGAGATCATTGAGTAATATTGCCTCTCTGTCTTCAAGGCAAACTTTTGCCAGCGTTTGTCATATCTGACGGAACCTCTGCTTTATTTTCCCCAGCAATTCAAGCAACTTTCCTTTGTAACACAGAATTATTTAAGTCTTCACTACTAACCGTATGGCTTCCCACCCTCCAGGGCCCAGAAAGAGTTGGTCTCCAAACACAAGCAGGACTCTCTGATGAAGGGAGACGAGCTGGCCAAGCTGCAGGTCCAGCTGGGCCACGAGCAGGAGAACAGTAAGCGTGCCCTGGAGCAGGTGCAGCAAGAGGTGAGTGGGCTGTGACTCGGGGGCTGGCCTCGACGCCTCAATCTGCTTGGCACAGCAACAATTATCGCTGGGTATGCGCACAGGTTTATTCACGTCTGGCATGGGATGCGCTGAACACACTCGAGTAGTTTCTTTTGGAATGTACTGTCTTCGCACGTACACCGTGCATGTGAATGAGCTTGATTGAAAATACTCCCACCGGTCCGTCTCATCTGCGCCGATGAGGGAATGCATCAAGGTCAGGTGGAAAGAGCAATTTGTAATGTAGTGTGCCACCAAGAGTTCAGCGCGCGATGGGCCATTTTCGCAGCCCGTGATTGGAAATTGATAGCCATACAATGTCTCTTTTGCATAACGACAAGGCACTTTTGTCAATGTTTGTTCTGTCTCTTGTAGGGCATGATAACCAGCGAGATGTCGGCCATTGGAGCCCAGTGCCGGGGTGAGAGACATGAGCAGGTGATTGCAAGGCAGCGAGAGGCACTGGCAGAACTACGATCGCGCATCAAAGGCATGGAGTCCAACCGACCGCCGTGTATGTTCAGTTTCCTCTTGTGCTTAACATGCTGAAACTAACGGGGACGTTGTACAAATAATTTCCTGTTGTAATTTGTCCTGTCCAATCCAGAAATGTTTAGGAAGGGCCTGGAACTCGGATTATGCCAAATGAAATGTACATTTTTTTGCTGTCGGATGCTCATTTTTTTTTCTGTTTTTGTGACCCGAAATGTCGGAACTGGATTGTAAACATTTCAGTCCATCATTGTCTCAAAGGGTTTTGTGGCGCTTGACAAATTATTCAAAGCACAATGTACAACCAAATACTGGAGTAGGCAATTTCTCTGGTTTCATCTTCTATTGATTGCCAAGAATGCTTTTTTTTTCAAAATTAAAAGCTGTGTCTATATTTTGCCAATTGCCTTGACCTGTCTGTTACTTGACAACACGTCGTATTCATCGGATTTTACCAGCTTGAAGATTTGTTTAATTACATTTTCTATTCACACCTATAATGGCAGCATCAAGCTATATATTCCCTAGGGAGCTTGTTTTTTTAAAGTTTATTGGCCCATCGAGTGCCTTGATCACCAGTGCTGGTTTTATCCACCTACCTAATGAGCTGATGTATGTTGAATTGACCTGACTGGCTGTGATCTTGTCTCCAGTGCCCACCCAGGACCAGGCCCTGCAGCAGGTCATCCTCCTCAAGAAGGAGCTGGCCGAGATGCGAGCCAAGCAGGCCCAGATCATGGACCAGAGCCAGGGGGCCGGGGCTAACCCGGAGGCAGTGCTGGAGCGGGAGGTGGCCAAGGCCCGGGGCCAGATCTCCACGGCCTCCTCAGACGCGGCCATCGAGCGGAGTGCCCGCATCGAGATGCAGCAGGGCCTGGAGGTCAGCGAGCAGTCGGTGAGTTGTCGCACAATCTCAGTTGCTTGGTGATGGAAATAGGATGATGGTGAAAAAAATTGAAGAAAAGGAAGAGCGACGAAGAAATGGAGCATCGTTGCCATTTTTGACACTTGTCCATGTGCAGTAGACATACATAAATATTCAGGATGTACCCTTGCCAGTAAACACCAAGGGAAAAATTTCATTTGTTAAAAGTTTTGACCGGGTTGTAGGGTTTTTGTTTGTGACCCCAGAATGACCCAGAATAACCATTGTTCAATTTTTGTTCGCCTCATATGGAATAATTTAGTTGTCTCAAGCTAACCTTGTGACTGCCTCCCATGTTGACTCCCCACTCAGTACCTCAAGCTGGCCCAGTCGGTGGCCAACCTCCTGAGCCTAGGTGAGGTGGCCGGCCAGGACACCATGGGCCACCTGCCGAGGGACGAGCGGGACCGTCTGGCCGATGAGCGAAGCGACACCCTGGAGCTGATCACCAGCCGGCTGCGTACGCTCAACCAGCGGCTGGAACGCAAGGACGAGCTGCTGCGCGACTACGAGAAGGACCTGGAGAAGCTGCGATTGGCCGAGCGGCTGGCCAATGAGAAGGCGGCGCAGGTGGAAGCGCTCGCTGTAAGTTGACAATTCACCTCTACCAGTATCTGTTCATGACGTCTGCATGCCCATGTCATTTGAAAATTTAAGGATACTTTGTCAACAAAATGGGCAAGATTTTCCCCCAAGAATTGAAAATTGAATATTTTGGGTTCATTTTTTTTTGTGGATACAGAATGATCTTCGGGGCAGAACAGAAGAGGCGCACTACCTCCGGGAGACATTGCGGCGAACGAGAGAGGGGCTTGACCAAGAGAAGAGGCTAAATCGAGCCATCAAGAGCAAAAAGGTAAGGCCAAGACCAAACGCCCAAAATACTGAAAAGAAAAGGATGGATTGTCATTCATTCTTTGCAAGAAGAAAGGAAGGCTTTTAACTTAAATTAAAAACTCGTGCCAACTTTTTTGGAATTCAAAGGGAAATTATCGCCGTTATAAGTGGCATAGGTGGAGTTGATGTAGGTGAGCATGTTTTTTCATTGACAGACATTCCACTTGGAGAACGACGACAAAAACAACAAGCAGTCATGGCCAAAGCATAATTGCTACGTGGACGAAGGAGCTAAGATGAAGGTAGGCGGATTCAACATCTGAGTCAAGCCACGATGAGGTCCATAAGCTCGTTTACAATGACCAGAAAAACCTGCCTAGCGAATCGTAACGAAAACTGGTTCTGCCCTGCTTCCTTCTAACAATAAATATTAGCCTGGGCAGGAAACCAGTCTGCTTCACTCTTGTCGCCTGGCAAAAAGATCTGCGCCCCCCCCCTCCATTTTGCTTTGTGCTTAAAAATCCGACAAATGAAACCGCATGTGCATTGTGGAGAGATGCACCCAAGTTGCTACGATGCTATTGAAAGTTCTCAGATTAAAATGGATCACCTGTTTTTCTGTTTCCATTTCCAGAAAGATGCCAAGAAGAAGACACAGAAAGAGAAGATACTTCGGAAGAACTACGAACTAGAGAGTCTCAAAGCTGTAAGTCTAAAGATTATGTTTGTTAAAGTGCATTAGTTTGGTTCATTACCCAATGCACCTGTTACGATGTGAAAGCAGCGTATCTCATGATCTCAAACTTTTTCCTAATATGTATAAGTAGAGCTAGGATCAAATGTAGAGGAAAAATCTAAGGGGCCTCATTTCTTCACCTAGTGGCTTTATCTGTCGAGAGGAAAGCTCCATTTCTTGGGGGGGGGTGCTGAGTGCCCCTCCCCCATGGTTACCCCTCCCCCTGTGTTGTACCACTGAAGATAATCACATTTGGAGAGATTCTTTTTTCATATGTAGTAAGTCATTGTGCAGGGAAAGGCGATTATCCATTCACATCAACTGACAAAACAGTGCAGTGAGTGGGCTTAAACTGAATATCATGTACTTTTTTTTCCGTTTGCCAGGAGTTGAGCGAGAAGGACCAGCAGCTGTGCGAGACTACGGCCAAGCTCATCAATTTGGAGCATGCTGTGGTGAGTGGAGTGGGGGGGAGTTACAAACCCTTATGAATATTCAACAGATCATGCCTGGCCCCCACCCCTCTCATATTCATGCAACAAGAATATTTATTTGGTTGGTCCCAGACCCCAAAACTGCCGTATACAGTAATCACAAATCAGTTTGCTGGCCTGAGAAAATCAGGGAAAATGCCCAGAATTCTTCAAGATCCACAGACAGACATCCAATTGTGGCTTGGGCTGCCACTCCCACATTCCTTGTCCACATTTTGGAGTGACCCAGTGACTTTGAGGCTAGCTTTTCCTGTGAAGATGATCTCTCCCCAAGTATTCCAGAATCTGATTGGCACTTTGGAAAGAGATGTCTTCATTCAGGAGCCTTCTCATATTGATTGCCGGTCTTGTTGGTGCCCACAGTTGAGGCTTATGACCTGATAAAGCACCTCAGGGAACTTTGTTGCCTTGGGAAAATTTAATGAGATTGTTTAGATGGCTTCCTTGGGGAAAAAGGTCTTATTTTTAGGCTGCCGGCCAGCTAGATGTTAAAAAAAAAATTTTTTCTCTTTCCTCTGCAGGCCATAAGCTGAGCCATAGGGCTAAACCAAGTTTGGACCATTCCACTTCATGAAATAGGGGGAAATGATAAGAATACCAAAGCAGGGACTAACGAGTATTATCAGCAAATGCACAAAGCTTCAATAATTTGTAAATATCTCAAATTTTTAGTGAGCAATATAAGAAATTGTGTGACATGTTCTGCGTCGTAAAGTTATTTTCTGGTCTTAAAAAATCAGCCACCTCTTTTTACGTCCTGCGAATGTTCATTAGAAGTGACAAATGCTGGAGTTCAATATTATCGTAGGCTGGGATACCTGGGGAAATGTTAAGGTTTTTTCTAAGGAGTTGCATGGGGTGTTTAAAGTAGTTGCTGAATGTTTTGAATGAAATTCTAATAGAATAAATAATTGCATGCCTTGCGTTTGCGCAAATATGTAAATAAGTATGAATCAGATAGGTAAAATTATTTGTGCAGAAAATCAAATTTTAATGATGTATGTGATTTTTTATGTAAACCTCAAATTTCAAAAAGCCAAAAAAGTATTTCTAGTATTCCTTGGACTGTATTTTGTTGATTGAAAAGACAGTAATGTCAGTTATGTGAGGTGTAAAAATCCTATAATTGCATCAGAATTCATAAGGTTCCCGAGGTAATTTTCTTTTTTGTCTGAATCTGTCTAAATCATGTTGGTTACAGACGTGATCTCTTGTGGACAAAACCCTACGCAAAGAAATCAACGTAGAATTCTGTTAAAACGAATAACTGGCATTGAGCTTGAAAAGTTGTCACCTAAAAAGAAATCAATTTGGCGTGCAGCCGTGGATTTGATGCAATAAGTAGAGACATTGAAATACGCTATACTTTATAGCAACCATTGCTTTCGACGTTTTCTTTCGACAGGCTGAAGTGTTGTAACATAATCTTGAATTTTCCTTTGTAAATAATACCTTAAGAGACGTGATGTAATTCCCCAAATTGTAAAGTTTATTTTAATGAAGTTGGAATTTTTAACACATTGCTTTGTGTTATGGAGCAAAAATCTAAGCTGTTTGTGCCGTCACAATTTATGTGACACCCTCCTTTGGCCAGTGTCGGTGAAAAAGTCCAGTCATTCAACTATGATAGACCAACAATGTTAGGCCGTATTATTTTTCTCTTTTGGATTACGGATTCGCCAAAAAATTCGTGGGCGATCCAGGGCGCAAACATGATTATTATAGTGTTATTTAATGATTAAAAAGCTTTGAAATATGCCCTCATAATTACCAAACAGCCAGAAAGTGTCGGTCTCTTTCAAGTTTGGCCCAGAAGCCAATGTCGTAGTTTGCCAGCCGTTGCTTACGGCAGTAGCTGACCTTGATTTGGAAGTAAATTTCATTTTGATTTTTATTCCATCCTGCAACGTTGCATCCTGGAATGAAGAATCTGTAATCCGAAACATAAAACTCGTGGCCTTCCACAAAAAAGCATCGCTATTTTCGCTGTTTGGCATTTGGTAGGAGGGCATTAATTGTTCATTTTCATTGTGTTGCAACTTGGCTGTCCCATAGATGGAAATAACGTTCTAATGAGGACGTCATCATGGGATGACTTCGACAACCCGACCAGACGATTGACTGTAAAGGCTGACGGACACTCTGCGAGGCTTGGATTTTTTTGAAGCGATTTATCGCTGCCGCAAATGTGCACGTGTTCCCCAAGGCCGGACTAGACAAAATTAAGTCGTTGTATATCAGCTTTCAGATCTATTTTAAATAGTGCAATTTGTACGAAAATGTGGGATTAGTGTTTACATGTATACACCGCCTATTCGCGATGTCAATAAAAATGCTGACATTGATCTGGGTTTGGAGTTCGACGGTTCCTTTTTTTTGTAATCGGGTCTCATCCCATTAAAATATCTGAGTTGCAAGCAAACAGTCCATTTCAGAGCTGGAACCCAAAGTTTAGACCTATCAATATCCACAAATACTGGAGAAGGTTCACACTTTAAAAATTTGGGCAAAGAAGTTTGGCAAATTTATTTGGCAAAGTGGATATTTACACCAGTTTAGGCCAAAAGCTGATCAAAATATGCCCAAACGGTGTAGATGTTAAAAGACACCAAGTGATGCCTAATTTTACGTGTCTACGATCGACCTCCCTACAAAGGTCGCACCGTGACAACGGAACATCCCCCGGTTGGTATAGGTTCAACAGCCATTCAGCCCCACCTACAGCCAAGGCCTTGCTCAAGTTGGCCCATACTAAAACAACATGTGCTGTCTGTTAAGTTTGGGATAACTCGTTTTAATAGAAATGTGTCCAGTTCTGAACTTATCAGGTTAACATTTAATCCCGAAATACATTATGCATTATGCGTTATAGAAACTAATGTGAGATACGGTTTGACGCGCATACTGCACAACATCCATCGGGAGTTTCTCTCGAGATAGGCAAACGGTAAAATTGGCCGATCAGTCGGAGCATGTGTCCTTTCCTTCCTGGGCTTTTTTAGTTTCACAAATGAAAAATGAAGGCCATGTCAATAATTCGTGTCCCGCAGTAAGGATACCACTGCCATGCAGTGTACCTTTTCAGGTCACGAAAACAGCAGAAGCTCTTGTTCTGTTCAATCACGCTGTCAGACAAGAAAACCCGGTCATCTGTGATCTCATGAGATTGAATATCGGCAAAAGTTTTCGAAGCTGTCTGAACTACTGTCTGGCGCAAGTTAGAACGTGAAAAAAACCTTTTATCCCGCTTTTGTAATAATGTCCAAGTGGTGAACTTAGCTTTAAAGCTGGTATTTAAAAGGCGCACCGATTGTGCTTAAAATGGCCCTGGGAATTCACAATTATCAGCATGTGACTGATTCTTATGCAGTGATGCAGTGATCCAGGGATTAGAACTCGTTTGAATAGGTTTTTAATGATCTGAGCCATGCAGCGAATGCGGGAGTCGGCTTTGCCTCGACTTCCTGCGCCATTTTCATTTTTGTTTTCGCAGAAGATAGGGGCGTATCATTACACCGGTCCCGTCAAGCTGTGGCATAAATAACACCATGTGGTGCCCAGGAAAGTTCCTACTTTTTCTTGCATCGGTTGTCTGCGTGTCGCGATGCGCCACGGAATCGGCGGCGCGGGACAGCGAACTGGCGCAGAAGTTGAACTTGGACAGCCAGCAGCGAATCAACGAAGGACAGCCCGCCAAGGTATCTCAGAGTGTTTATGCGGAGTTCAAAGAGTTCAGCATACAAGACATCAAGGAATACCGGAAAATGTTCCAAAAGTAAGTAGAACCTACCGAGTCCGTGAGTGCGCTCGCTGAAATTACTGGCCTTTGATGCATGTACAGGTTTCTGCAGTGAATCTACATGTACATCATCTTGTCTTGTACATTGTATCTACCTCATTTCAAATAACATACACGTAATGATGCAGGATGGCTTTTATGAGTTAGAGGCCTGCTTTTGAGCGACCCGAGTGGCGTGACTACAAAGGGTTTTGGGGTACCCTTGGATGCACACATTTGTTTCCTAGGTGGAACCGAAAGCATATTAATAAATAATGTGATCTATGCATAAGCTGTACGCGTTTTATTTTGGGAGGGGTGCCTGCAAGCAAGGACCTTCCCCCGAGTAGTTTAAATTTTTTCCTTAAATATTCGAGTAAGGCAAATTTGATTGTAGTCAGATTTCGGTTTAGAAAACGTGAGAAACTGATACATTTTCACATCTTGTTAATTCGAAAGAAAAACTCATGACGTGAATAGGCAGGCCTACATACATTTGCAATCGGAATGCATCACCACCTTCGCAATTGTGGTACCTCAGGGTGTTGGCTTCAGGGGGAGTCCCGTAGAATTTGCGACAATTACCTACCTCGAATCAACTAAATTTCCCGGGTTATTACTTAACTGCTCAATTTGCTTAATTGCTGTTTTACGCAGGTACGATATAGACAGGAGCAATTTCATTGATCACATGGAATTGAAGCTAATGATGGAGAAAGTGGGAATGCCCCAGACCCATTTGGACCTCAAGGCTATGATTAAAGAAGTGGACGAAGACAACGACGGTCAGATATCCTTTAGGGAGGTAAACATGTTCACTTTGTTCGACGTTAGGCTTTTCTTAAAACGTGTTGTGGAATCTTCATTCTGAAATGAGCTCATCGTTTTCCGATTATGTGTAAACAGGCTGTTTGTTTGTGAATCGCAATACACTGCTTTCAACACCAAGTTTAGTAGATCTTTGAACTTTGTTTTTCCGGTTGTTTATTGCTTTCTTTTCAGTTTATGCTGATCTTCTCGAAAGCTTTGAAGGGGGCATTGTCGACCGAGGGCTTGCTGTTCATTGCTGGGTTTGTCACCATCGACATGCCCAATTCGGTTGGTTGAAGAATTGATGTCACCCTCCCACTTGATACATTGGCAAAATCCGTATTCAAGGCATAGGCCTAACAGTAGTTCCTCGAACTTTAGATCCAAGTTCAAGTGCTAGCTACTGACTGGCACTGTATTTATATTGACCACCGACTCTTCAAGTAGCTGACAGAGAAGGCATGCGGTACCATACAATGACAGGGTTCAAGTCCCCTCCTGCATGTGTAGAGATTTAAACTGTGGCAAAAGCAAAACCTGGTAATCAAAATTTAAACACCCCCCCCCAAAAAAAAGAGATTTTGTGACTGGAGTTTTGTGCAAATTGTTATCTGACGTAATTTTGAGCGATCGTATTCAAAGTTTGGAGTTAATATGTTGCGGGCCCCATTTTCGTCAGCAAACGATCTCAAATTTCGAATCAGAACCGCACTATTAGAGGCCATCCCAATTATTGATCCAAGCAACTCTCCTTGAGATTGTACTGGTGCATGTTCTTTACATAATTATTATTTTCTGACTGTATCCCAAGCAGTTTTCGATGCTTTGTTATCCCCTTAACTCGACAGTTCTTTGAGGCGAAAGAGAAAGGACCTGCAAGTAATGGGTTTGAGAAGGAAATAATCCAGGAACAACTTCTTCAAAAAGCCAAGGCAGCCGAGGAGGCGAAAAACAGAAGAGAGAAGTTCAAGGCCCAAGCACCCAAATTCTCATAAATAAAACTCTATTGTCTGTCGTCACTGTTAAAGACTTGATTGGAATTGACTGAACTTGATTAGGATTTTATAGCACGATGAACACAAATCCACATGCTATAATTCGGTGAATTGAAACGACTCAAACTATCTGATGGGTGTTAATGCGTCGTGATGTGGTGTCCACAGTGGCCTGCTCAGATGAGGTTATGTCGTAAAAATTATCATTCGACCTATAATATCAAAGATGTTTCAACAGAAAAAGAGTTTATGTGGTAAAAGACGCCGCTGTAAAAGTTGACCAGTAAAACAATGGACAATACAGGGCTATTTGGGTTACACATTTGAATAGCTAACGTTTATATGATGTAGGCGGGGTTCATATCTTGTTCATTTCGTGTAACTTTTATACCTTATGGATTTATTCTTTTCGCTTATCTAAAAACATCAGAACAAGACAATCTAAACACTTTCCACAGTTTTATTTAGCCATGTGAATTCACCCATATATTATTTGGACAAGTGTTTTATTTACCCATCGACCCCCCAGGCTAGAAAGATAAGTGAACCATAGATTTTATTTTTATCATAAAGGAAGAAACTACGACAAAAACAGGGGCAATAGTGATTTGTTTTTTCGTTGAGTAGCCGCACGTGGCATCCAGTCAATATCTGACGTCTGGGATGCTTGTAGTCTGGGAAGTTTCGAACTTAATGTTCTAAAGCTTCTATTTCACGTCTTTCTTGCGTTGAGATATTTTTATCTATTTTATCGAATGTCAATTTTGGAAGAATCATCTAGAAAGAGTACTCAATGAACACGTACAGTAAAAATTGACTACACAGGGAACAAATCTACCTCAACCCCCCCGTCGTGCTTTATATATAAAGTAGAGCTCTGTAACCTTTGACCTTTAAGACACTGGTACTCTTTACAGACAGCAATAAAAGGAATACTCTTCTTACGCAAACCAGCGAAAATGTGAAAAACATTTTATTTCCTTTTCCAATTCCGCGTGCGGAGAGCTAGGCCAAGGTGAGTTAGCTCGGGTTCCCTTGGCAGACGTGAGGTAAATTTGGCCAAAAAATCATCATGGCTACCGACGAGTTGGCGTCCAAGTTGGCGAGAAGAGAAGCATTAAACGAGGGCACTGAGGAGCCGAACACGGACAAGAAAACATTGGTTTTCAATCCGTTCACAGAGTTCAAGGAATTCAGCCGTAAGGAAATCAAACAGTACGAGACGATGTTTAAAACGTGAGTATCGTCTGGCTGTACACGACGTGTAGGCCTGTGGCTTTGCAATTGCAAGTAGTCTTGTCTGGCTGAACCAGGAATTAATTCATGAAATGGATTAATTTCTTAAGCGTTGAGAAAGAGTTCCATGTACGGACAACACTTGATGCCCCTGTGCACACACCGTATCTTGTTTTGTCTGAAAAAAAAGTAGGCCTAAGCATTTAGAGGAAGGACACAGGGCATGCAACTCGGGCACTTCAGTGTTCGATGATGGTTGCTGCCGAGTCAGACGAATAATAGAGACATTAATATCCTAGCAACACTAGTAGTTTTTTGCTTGTAATTAAATACAAATTATCGATGTGACCAAGAAATAGAGAAAAATTTCTGATGTTAGACCTACTTTTCCATCGTAAATAAACTTTTTAAATTTTGATACACTGTTCCATTATACATGCAATGTTTGTAATTTTATTCTCCTCCCTCCAATACATCAGTGTTCAAAGACTTGGTACGAATTTGGTAAAGACTGGCCAACAAAATGTTCACTACTGCTTGACAGCTTAGTTCATTAGGACCAAAATGCACTATTTTATCACAGGGAGTGATCGTGAAATCTCATAAAATGCGCTTTTGTACAAATGTCATAATAAAAATGATTAAAAAAAACAAGATCTTGTGACCACCGGGCTGTTTATTCCCATAATAACTCCAGAAGAAAGAGCTCGTTAAGGGCAGGACTGCACATATAGATTTAGGGCAGACCGTAATGCAACCAACTGTGCAAGCTTAAATTTGATGTTGTCATGAGATCATACCAAGCACCAACATAGGCATGAATATTCAATTTCCTGTACCTCAGTGCACAAAGTTTTATGAATGATGGGTTTTGTGGTAGTGAAACAGATGGTGCGTAGCAAGCGTTTGCTGGGCTCTGGCTATACCAGGCATGCCAGAAAGCAGTAATTGGGCAGATGTTACAGCCCGGACAGTTCAAACTTCTTCTGTGTCCTTCCTCTACGGCTTAAGTCATAATGTAGGTGTTTTCTATTCTTAGTAAATGCTTGGCATGCTTCAAAACTTTCCTAGCTAAATTTCACTTTTACGATGTCATGTTATGATGGGTATAACATTTTTAGGGAAATTTAGTCTTGTCCGTAATTAGTGTTGTATGGAACTCTTTCCCAAGTGACCATTGCCATGACTGCGGAGAATGCCCCCAGAACTCTCATGGCTCTGGGGTTTGTCTGCATTCATGGGAATACAGTGGACGACAAACCCCACAGTTGTGGGGTTCCTGTATTAGTGAATTGCAGTTCTGTAAGCGATGATGGGAAATTTAATTTATCCATGAATCAAGTTGTTCTCTTATTCATTTAAATTGTCAGTGGTCAGAATTCTGCATTCCTTTGTTTAACACTGACCATGGCTACTGAGGGTAAATTATTCTCTTATAGGGTCTGCTGTTTTATGTGTCGCAGTTATATTGCCTAGTGGAGGTGGTAAAACTCTTGCTGGCTGTTATCACAATAGCAAAAGCCACAGAGTTTTAATGATGTCTCTCGGATGTCAAAATACCGAATAATAGTAAACGCTGCTTCTGTACAAATTCATACCCATGTGTCACCCTCTGTAATAAAAAGTATTGAAAATGCAGCAAACGTACATAAAGTTTTGAGGTTAACCCTGACTGCCCAAGGGTTGCTGGACCTAACCTTCCCCATTCACACAAAGTTACTTTGTGCACAGAGGCTGTTGGACTTAGTTTTTCTGAGGTATGCCAAACCCAATGCAAAAGCCAGCTGTGTGGACCTACCAGACCTATCCCCACAGAATTAAACACTTTACTACTGTTTAGTTCTGTGTGGTTGGGGAAGGTTAGGGTTAACTGTGACTCCAAGGCAGGATGATATTTCTGCAAGGTTTGGGCAGCCATGCCAGTAACAAACAGTGTGAGAGTGGTCTGTTATCTGAAATCATACTGCACGACCGCCCAGAGGAATTTGAGGCTCTGCCAAGGAAATAGCCAGTATTTTATAAATTATCAACACCCTTGTGTCTCTGAATGGAATGATAACAAAGTCTATGGAGGAAGTTACTGTGTCAAAATGTGCATCGTGTCGAGGTCAGCCGAGCTTTTTTTATTCATCTGTGTTGCCAAAATTTTCATCACAAAAAACCCTTATCAAAGGAGCTGCCAATCTCGGCAAACAAAGTACAGCCACTATTTCGTTTCTTCAACCACCTCCATGCTTCCACTTCCTGGTTGGAGCAATTTTGAACGTTCATTGGCATATTGTGTGCTGTATTTTGCTGTACAGTGTACATGTACATGCACTCTACACAGGAAACATGCCCCAGTACTCCTGTGTAGGTGTTGAAAGGTAGAATGACTACAAGGACCAGTTTGTTGACTTTAACTTGTCTGTGGAAAGGTTCTCAACCTGACCATTTGCATAGCGTGTGGCGTAACCAACAGTGATCAAGTAACAAGGAGACTTGAGATTTTTCTATGACCTGGTTAGAAACGTTTGTTGAGAAAGTGGTTTGTTCGGTGCATTCAAGGCATCTGAATTATGTTCCGGGTGTTCTCTGGTACCATGGTTACATTGATTTACATGTACACTCTGAACTTGAGTTTCTGTGGAGCTGTCTGGTTCCTGCTTTCCCTTAACTGACAATCTATCCTGTTTCCAAGTGGGATATTGACACCTACTTTCAGTCTGTCTGAGCGCCTGCTCTTCTTTCTTTTGAAGTTCTGTACCCGGAGTGGCTCTTGAGCCTTGTTCAGGGCAAATTTGCACTGAAAAAATAAGCTGCTTTTCAGAAGCTGTTTGCTGTTACACGTACATGTACATACATACTTCTAAATTTGTGCTAACTGCATGAAAAACTTAAACTAAGCAGAGGTTAGCTGAGAATCAGTCCCCAAGAAGAGGAAAGTAGCTTGCTTTTGACTTCTGAACCAACTAGTGGGTAACTGCTACTCCGTACGTGCTGAGTGAGTCAGTACACTCAACATCTCCGTGAGATCAGCCCCAATACATTCCATTTCAATGTCCCCTTTTGGTGGTTGCCATGGCGCAAGTATTATCTCGGTGCGGTACCGACATGAAGTGTCCAGTGTATCCATCCATGCTTGGCTTTTAACCCAAAAGCGTTTCATTGTATTGGTTTACCCTCAATTCCCTAGTCCACTATACTTTTCGGTATCCGTTGCTGCATGTGACTCTGATCCGTCAGGGGCCCTGGGTAAGCTTGGTGGGTGAGTGGGTAAGATGTCTGCACTGGTAAGCAGGAGGTTGTGGGTTCGAGTCCCACCTGACTAAGTTTGTAAATTTTTTCATAAGCTGTCGAGTGTCGGACCAACACCGAGTATATCATGTTATGAGTATACATAGGTGTTAGGGCAAAACCCATTGGGTGCATTCGATTAGCTTACACGTGTAAGTCAAACTTACACGAGAGCGTTCGTTTAGCCATCACGTGATTCTCGTGCCTGCCCTGGTGTCAGCCACTACTACCCCGGCTGGCGAGCGGGTCTCTGGAGGCTGCCTGAGTGTAATGACGTCACGGATGGACTGTTCATGCAGTGACGTACATGATGGAATGTGGCGGGGACTTCACCTTTTTCCCAGAATGCATTGGCGAGTACACTGCAGCGTTCGATTACCCTCATTTCGAGGCTTCCCTTGGTGTAAGACTGGTGTATTCAGGGAAGCTAATCGAACGCACCCATTGTGAAAAAGAAATATTCCCTAGCGTAACTAATTATGTTGATATGGATAATTTGCATGAATTTATTCTGGTACTATGCACATTTTATGAGGCCCATGTACATGTATTAGCCAGCCAATTGGACTCAGAGCAAGTGGTAAGATGACCTTGGTTGTTGATTGGTTAGAGTCAGGTGACTCTACATATATTGTGCACACAAGATTATCGTCAGTTCTAGAAACTAACAGTATGGATTCCTTACACTTTGTCTGTTTGCTATCAATGCCCTAGTTCAGAAGCCGGGGATCATTGTTGTCTGGTCAGATCTGACATAAACATACATGTATGAAGCTCCAAGCAGGAAACGAGAAGCGATTGTTATCCAGTGGCTTATTATGCCCTGAATAAATATACGCCACAGACCTTGGGCACATGATCCCGGAAAACTGTCCATCTGTCAGATAGCAGGAGACCAGTTTTTGAAACTCAACACTCCAGTAGATCATGTTGACAGGAAAATCCAGCTATTTGTACAAAGCTGTTGGGCCTATGGGGTGTGATAATGTGAAATTTACACCGCGTTATCCATGAAAATATTTCAAGCTTGGTAACTTCCTCTTCCTTTGTTAAAATGTATTTTGGAACTTTCAGTGAAAAAAATTATCTTTTCCTCTTCCACTTTGAAGACTTGCATGAAATCAGGCCTTTTGCTTCCTCTCTTGAAAGTCACCTCCACCCTGTCCATGGGAAATTTGCTTGTAATCCTTGTGCCTGCCCTTTAAGAGGAATGAAAATTAAACGTCATAACTGCCCCTTTAAGAACTGTCTTGCCCAGTGGGAAGAGTGATGGATGAGTCATTTGTCCCAGATGGTCAGTGGCTTTTAATTATCAACCAGAGTGGAAAATAAAAATGTGGAAGGATTACCTTCCAGTTTTTAATGCATTTGAACAACCATTTGCATATGTAATAAATGCAGTGCAATACTGTTTTGTGTGCACGTGCAGTATGAACACGAACTTGAAGTGCCTGTAGCATGTGATAGGCCTGCAGGGGTGTAATTCTCAAGAAATTGTAAGAGAAGGATCGGGACCCTAACACACATGAACAAAGAATGTGTCATGTTACAAGCTTCCTTTAAAAAAAAAATCAAGAAGTTGCAGAAGTTTACCTATGCCGTCTGGTGGGCATTTTTGCATGATTACCGGTGCTTTCCATGCATGTCGGTGTCCCTGAGATTATGAGCCAATAATTTTCCATTTTACGGGCAGGTGAATCAATTTATGGGTAGGATTTACATTTATAAAATTGTACATGTGCTTTCAAGTACCGGTGCTTGTACGTGAATGCAACGTTACAAGAGTAGTCCACACTCACTGATGACGTACATGTACATGTAGCGCTAGAAGGCAGTTTTACATCTACGAAGAAAGGTTCCCGCTGAGCAGATATTTCTGTCTCTGGCTCAAAGTGAGTCATCAGTCATTTAGGATGTTGCCTTCAGAGTCCCCTCTCCCGCCATGCAATAGTGTACCCCCTACATGTACATGTACCTCCATATTTCAGGGCCAGAGTAAGGGCAATCTTATTGATCTTCTTGCGGAGGTGAGCCACAGACCTCTTACTCAGAACACAGCTATCTTGTGGTTTTACTTCGGTGTACATTTCTTCGCATGTGTACGGTGTGGTCACCAGTCTGGGAAGTGTGGATCCCAACAGCCCTGAAAAACCTGCATTTCTAATGTTCGGTACATGAGAGGTTTTGTACTTTACAGAACTTAGAGATACTGAAAATTGTGAGGGTTTCTTTCCTGCAGAGTTTTGTTGTAACAGCTGAGAAAATGAGGTTAAAAATTGAGGAATGAAATTACAATTGAGGCGAAGGATGAATTTACCTATATACCAGGTATTAACCCTACAAGTTTTGCTCATTTAGGGTAGCTGCAATTGATATTTTTTTATTACAAGCCTGTAAAATGCATCTTTGTGCCTCAGTAAACCTTATTTTCAACTTTGGTTTCACTATTTCAAATGGTATTTTAGTGCCTTTTTGGTTTTTATGCTAATGAGTATTTCCATATTCGTGAGCAAGACTGTGATGTCATCTCAGGAAGAAGCCTCAATGTTACATTGGTTGTGCACAAAAAAGTATTGCATTTTTGTGGAATTATCTGGACTGAGTTTTCTGTTCTTTGCTGTTTTTTTGCAAAAGAAACCATCAAACCCTATTTCAGGAATGTTTTCAATAGTAAATTCTGGGTTTACAGTTTGAATAAAAATACCTACAGTACATGTATGCACTGACACATGTCTTCCCTAGATGACTTCACAGCAACAGCGCCCTCAGTTGTCCTGGAAAACATAATTTGATAATTTTGATTGTTTAAAGTGTGAACTTTTCAGTGCATTTAACCAAATAGCAGTGTGTAAGAGTTTTCATACTTGGGAAGAAAAGTACAAAGATGCAGAAAAATTGAGTCATAGAAAAATTCATTGCAGCTACACTTTAAGATTTCATTTTGTGCAGATAAACGATGTTATATCGTAGACTGCATGTTTCTAATGACATGAGCTAGGAGAGCGAAAAAAAAATGTAAAGACAAAACAAGAATGTCCTTGTTCCCGATTTTGGTTAGTAGGCTAGACTTAAATTGGCAATCCTTCCCTGTTTGTTACTTGTCTTGTTCCAGTTATGATACCGACAAGAATCACTTCATAGAACTTCTGGAGTTGAAGTTCATGATGGAAAAGTTGGGAGCCCCGCAGACGCATTGCGCCCTCAAGGACATGATCAAAGAAGTAGATGAGGACCACGATGGAAGAATATCATTCCGGGAGGTCAGTTTTCAGTTTTGTCCCTCTTCATTAACCCCTTCGCGTCGGGAAGCTGATAGAGCCGCCGTAAAAATTGAGATCCTCAGCCCGCTTTTCAGCTAATATTCTCAGCCCACGCTCGAGCGAACACGGTGAAAGAAGGCAGACCCTGGCTCTTGTATATATGGTAATTGGTCTTTGTGCGTAGCCCAGAAATGAAAAGACCAAATTTGCATCATAATCACCAGCTTCACAATAGTCCCTACTTTGAAAAGAGGCAACGGGAATGTGGAAGGTTGAGTAGAGCCGCATGCCACCGAACAGTCAGCCTTTTCACCGTGTAATTCAGAGCATGCAGAGCACACAGGGCCACAAACGGAGAATTTGAAGTTTGGCAGGTGGCCTTCACATTGAAGCTTGAGACCGCTCGAGTTCATGCCCCTTGAAATTTTGGGGGGCGTCAATATCAATTGTTGAAGTCACTGACAGTGATGTTGCAGATTTTGTTTCGTCTCCCCGTTTCTCAGTTTCTGCTGATCTTCCGCAAGGCAGCAGCTGGAGAGTTGGAAACGGACAGTGGGCTGAGCGACTTGGCCAGACTAACCGAAATCGATGTGGACAAAGAGGGGGTAGGCGGAGCCAAGAACTTCTTTGAAGCAAAGGTACGGTGTATGTCGCTCGTGTTTGTACAGGGTACATCTCAGAAAGTGAGAAATTGAAAGGCTCTTTTTGGGGGGGATTTGGTGCTTCTGGTTTCCCCCTAGTCTTTGGAAGGGTGTTAAATTCCGTTGATTTACCTTTGGACAGTTTTTGAGGAATGTACATGCGGTTGAAATTACTGTAGACGTGAAGTGACAAGAGTGAGATTTTTAAAAGCAAACTAGAGAAGCAGGAAAAAGTCTCATACATGTAAGTTGCTAAGAAAAACATCAGGTAATCGCAATTAATTTGGAGTTCAGTCAGAAATTTAGATATAGCTCTCAACATTTCCCCCCCCCACAAAGCTTACTTGGAGTCGGCCCCACATGTGCTCGTCAGTTTTCACCCGTATCTACATGTACAGTATTTAAGTGGCTTGGCCTGTATCTTGGAATGCTAAAATCATCTGGTTTTTCTTCTTTCCTTGTGTTTTCCTGACCATCTTTCCAATGATCTCTATCCTAATAGCTCCCCTTATCCCTTGTCCTTAAAATCCTCACCTTCCTGTTCTTAAGCTTTCCACCTGCTTCCTCTGCCAGTTGAGCGAAGGAAACAGAAGACTGGCCTTTATTCAAGGCTGGAATTGTTCACCCTGAGTTGGAGCATGCTTGAGCAAATATGCTGCACATTGCCACCACTACTGTGTCAAAAAATTTTATACAAGGCTAGTGGTACTTTCCAGTTTCATGGCCTCAAACGTCCAAGCGGGACCTTGTAATGTTGTGTGTCAGAGAGCTGCAGACCGCTGGGAAACATCAGGCTTGAATCCAGTCTACTGCTGCACACATGCAAACTTGACTTCCTGGCAAGACAGTGTCATCACAGATGACCTCTGAACTTTGCAGGCTATTAATAACTTCCATAGCTAATCCGCAGCCGCCATGACTTGTACTTAGGTGTACTGTAGAAGATGTTTATGAATGGAACAGTTGCCGTTGTTTGATTCATTATTCATCAAAGTACTGGTGCATTGCCGGTGTGTTTCACATGCATTGAACTTTTTAAACGAGAAACCTGGTTGTGCACCCGAGGGTGAAATTCATGAAAATTTGCATTTTCGCGAAACTGATTTTAACAAAAAGGCAATAGGCTTCAATTGATTTGGCAGTGCTACCAACATGGATTAGTGGATTTGTTGCCAATATGGGCTTTGTTTTATTCATTGGCAATATTATTGGTTTGTCGGAACTGGAAAAAATGTCTTGTACGTGTGCCGTTAGGCCTTCATGCTACGCCACCTTTTATTACTAAAAGTTGCATTCCAAAATATGTATAGCCGGTGTTAGAATAAAGAGCAAGCAACGACAAACCCCGATCCCGCAAACTTGGGGGGGGGGGTTGTGAAATGAACTTACACCACACTGTTTCTTGCTGGTAGAAGATTTTGAGTGGGGAGGAAGAAGCATCAATATACACATTACATGTCTACCACAACCTTGTTTTGTGGACTGAATTTGACATTGTAGTTCAAAAGCGGGGTGCCAGCTTTCTGTGGTGCAAAAGGATTCAGTGTTTCAGCGACACAGTACAAAACCTGACACAGTTGCTGTTAAAACCTGCATGTCTGTGCTAGACCGGGCCACCGGGGAAGGTTACTTGTGTTGATGTTACCTCTCGTTCTAGCCGTTGTGTCTCCTTCATTTTTATATTTACAACGAACAGATCAACGAGCAGACGAAACTAAAGAAGTTTGAAGAAGAGATCAAGCAGGAACAGGAAGAGAAGAAAATCCAGGAGGAGGAGAAGAAAAAGAGGAGGGCGGAGTTTAAAGCCAAGCAGGAGGCGTTCAAAGTTGCGTAGACTTGCCGGCTGAATGAGAACGGCCCTGAAAGTCATTCACTGTGACCAGTATGCCTCCAAGGCTTCGAAACCACACTTACCATTGGTCTCATCAAAAAGCATTAAACTCTTCCAATCCTTGAATTTTCCTCATTAATGGTGCTTTGCCCAAGGAAGCATCTAAAAGTGTTAACATTCCCCGTCAAGGCATCAGTGCAAGCAAACTCCAGTGAGCAGCTCAGAGGTAAACCACTAAAAGGGACGCTCGTTATAGACGTTAAAAAAAAAGATGTCTCGTTGTCGAAGGACTGCAGTCCTGTCGCCAACATTAACAAATTGGCCAAGCCACTTGTCTCACTGTGATGGTGCTACATGTATCTAGCATTTGATATGATTATGAGCAGCTGGGCACATTGTTCAAGGTCCGTCATGTAATCCACCTGTCTACAGTTGTCGGTACACAGCCCATAGCAAATTCCGCTTGGGCAAACCGTTGTGTACATGTATTTCACAGCATTAGCCATGTTAGCACTTGCAAGTTCTCGAAGATTTTCTTGCATTATTCCAACAGTATCTTATTATCGACAGCATTTCTTGATTAAAATGTAGACTGCAGTATTCCGGGACTCTGATTTGATGGGCTCTCCAGAACAACCTGATGCCAGTGAGTTTCAGTTGAAATACTCTGACTAGTTAGAGTTGTTATCCTTGGTGTGTAATCACAGTGAATAATTGCACCTGTTATTGTGTAATCCATGGTGAACATTGGCTTTTTGTAAATGGTAACCACACAAATGGTTTATTTTCTTTTGTATTGTGTTAATCAAGAAAGGTTTGTGTAATTGTAGGACCCGGATCAAGGTAGGTTTGAGTAAGTTTGCAGACAGACGTTTGTCACCGTTTCCCACTGGAGCAGACGAATCTTTTTGAAAAAAAAACAAACTTGCTAGTAAGCCGTTCGGCGAGGCTGGAGTTGAGTCTTCACCAGTCCCTCGCAAGTCATCGCGCAGCCTCCATTGCGGGGCATGTAAGAATTGCTCCCTTGTCTTGCTAGGGCAGCGAGACCAGCCACTCAAACGTCCGATGGGGGTTAGATGTACACGAACCGTCTATGTCTTGTTCCACCGAAGTGGGGAATAAACGGAGCAGGTAGTTTTACTAATCTTACATGTGGCTAACATTCCATGCAGGGCTGGGTTTGAAAACAACACAAAATCAGGCGCACTTTTTATACCACTTGCAATCCAGTTTCACATCCAACGATGTTCCACGTTTCCAAATTTACAGTGTATACTCACCGAAAGCATTATATTATCTCACCGAAACTGGAATACGTACCTTGATTTGTATTTGCTGTGACACGGAACAGTGCACCTTGCTGTATTGCCGAAGTAGCTTTCTGATGTGTTAGTTTATTGTAAAAGTCTTGCCATTAGTTGGTCCAGGAAAAAGGGGAAAATAAAAGTGGAGGGGACTCTCACCTGCGCGCCTTGCCTGTAGCCGCCCCTTGACAGAAGTAGGATAAGATTGGACTAATACTTCAGTAACCTTGTATATTGCACTTGCATTTTTAGTTACACCCTTTAATGGACTTTGCGAGGCATGATTAGTTGGCAGAGTAAACAGTAAATTTGTGGTGCAGGAGCCACCATTTGACAGCCACAGGAAAAGGGTGACCTCAAAAGGTCATGTTTGTGGTTACAGTGGACAGTGGCCATTAATGAGTGGCTGCAAGGGGTACAGGCCAGATTGGACCAGTGGCCCAATTGGACATTGTCTACTTTGTGTAGATCACACAGTAGACTCGGTCACTTCTTGAATATTCACCTCTTCCCTACTGTCTTGCCCAAATCTCCCGATACAGACATACCTTGGGGTCAATTTTCCGTTATTTTAGAGTGCATTAAAGCTGAGGGGAGTATTAAAGGAATTTCAAATAAAATGCCAACAAAGATGTAAACCATTATGAATTTCATAACCATTGTTACATAAAATAGAACTTGTGTACATATTTTTAATATCAAGTTACATATGCATGCTTACTTGAACAAGTGGATGTATCCAAACACATGGTATGTTTCTCTGTTATTTTTTAAATTGCGTATTTTTTAAAATTTCTTTTTTAATGTGGAATGTGTATGCCATTTTGTATTGTGTCGGTTCAGAGCTTCATAGTTCTTTGAAATGAAAATTCATTTTGTTACTTTTTAACTATGCATTTTCATATTTTATGATTTTATTTTTATGGTTTTTTTTCATTTGTGTACATGCTTTTGAATTTAATCCTGGAATTTGCAATTTTATTTACAATTTATACATGTGTACTGGGTTATGTGTCATTAAAAAAATGGTTATTTTAGACGACTCATTCATGGCGGCATTTGATTTGCCATTGACCCTTCGCAAATCTCCAAATAATTTCATTTTCAACACATGAAAATAACTTACGTGGACCGATTGATGCCTCATATTCTGAAATTCAGTAAAATGTGTTTATGCCCTCTCCAAATTTTACTGAACTCAAAGAATACATCTACATTTTGGCTTTTCTCTGGACTCGCCTTTTATTGTTAATAACTAATCTTGTGATCTGCCGTAACTTGGGTTTTGGTCCATGAAATGCTTTGAACATTGATTTTTCAGCATTGTTCCTTCACAGTCCACAGGCGGGCGTGGGGGGGGGTGTGTGTCAGTGCACCCTCACCCAGAACCAGTTGGCAATGGTATATTTTAACTTTACATTCTCCGAACAGGCAAGAAATTTTGTGTTGCACTCTCAGGTCACTTTTTGAAATCTCCCTGAAATCCAATCATTTGTACATCCTAGCGCCAGGATTGGAGAGGGGTAAAATCAGATGACCATTACGTAAACAAACCGTAATGGATTTATATGTTCCTAAACGTCTGTTCCAGAAGATGTCCTCAGTTGTCATGGAAACCAACTACAGGGGGCGATGAACTAATTGAATTTGCACTTCGAATTTTTCAAGATTCTTATCGAACATTCCTATTGAGCATAAAACTCCTTGCTTTAAATTCTTTGCTTCCTATCTTAAACGTTATGACGACAAAACACAGATGTCGGATGTTTAAGTGTCGTACGTAAAATTTAAAAGCAAATGTGAAGTCAAAAGTTCAATATTTGGAAACTGGGTACAAATTCGACCATAGGGTCTCATTTAATGGCGCTCTCATTGAATTACAAAGAGTTGATTTGCGATTTTCTCATGAAATTTAAAAGGATGTGATTACTGATTTTTTTTTCTGCATACCCTCTCCCATGTGCGACTTCCTTTAGACCACCAGTAACTGATCACAAGCTCCTTTTAAATCACTAGCGCCTTTTCGACCACTGACTAAAATAACCATTGACCGGTAATGGGGCTTCAGACTGAAGTATCTGCCAAAAATTACTTCGGGGGGGGGGTGCTCTCCAAACATTGGTGACAGGAGGGAGTTATGTAGGGTGCAGTCCACTAATTCAAGTGAGAATCTCCCAGTGGCCAGCTCATTAGCATCAACAGGCCCCCCCCGCTGTATCTTTTGAAAAAGGAGAACATATGGCCCCCAAAATGGTGAGATTGTATAAATCAAATCTTTGCCAGAATCAACTCCCTGGGTCTTTGAGCTTTCATAGAGAGCAGAATGGCTAAAAATACGGTTGAAAATGGTCTTAAGTGCCCGAGAAAGTTTAGGGTTGTCACTTGAAAAATGGCTGCAAGCAGACTTCGGAAAAATCACTTTTGGGGGGTAATTTTTGTGTAGGAATAACTCAAAATGTAATCGGTTAACCCACAGAAAATGAAAGATTAGGGACCATACAACAGTTCAACGTGTTTCAGATACCTCAGGGATGTTGGTACGAATGTTATTGGACCCCGAACATTACTGAGTTTACACTGCTTTCAATAGGGCTTGAATTAGTGGACTACACCATGGGTTGTTTTCCTGCATTATACGGTCTGGCGCCCTCTGTTGCTCATCCACGATTTTTTTTAAAGGATCTGTGGCAGCGATCGCCAAAATACGAGACAGGTCCAGAAAAAGCGAAGCTGAATCCGGAACAGTGTTTCCACTTTTAAGGAAATTTCCTTATTTTTAAGGAAATTTTCACGTCCTAAAGAAATTTATAAGGAAATGAAAAATTTAAGGAAATTACTGAAAATCTGAGAAAAAAATCCTAAGGAAATTTAATTTGAGGAGTTGAAACACTTAGCCGGAGGCCGAAACCAATCTCGCCTCAAAGCAACACTAGAGCTCGTCGGGTAAGAATAGTTACTAACCTGTGATTATCGTCGATAAAAGAGAAATTGTGCAGGTTTTTATATATGTAGATTTTATTCCACGTTCAATGCCATCGGTTTTATATTCCTTTTCTCCTCCTCTTCAGTTTTTTTAAAATATAATTTCGTGCAATAATGGTCACTGGTTAGTTATTATGGTGCAACGCCCCAGGGTGTTTTTAGTTCATGTTTACTTGAGTTTTTTCTTTGCTTTTATATACACGCATGAATAGTTCCATTTGCATAAATCCGTCGAAAACAGCCCAGTTTGGTAAGGTTTTTGCTTTTCCAAGAAAATTCCAAGATTATTTCTTTCTCCCTCATCTTGTCATCACATTTAGAAAAAAAAATCAACCATCCTACGAATCATTCTGAGTGAACTAACGCCGAATTGGCCAAACTTTGGCTTCTCATTGCATGCTGGAGGAAATATCAGACATTGTTTGCTTTTTCTTTTGTTCCAATTAGCATCCCAATTTTTGCTTAATCTCATCCGTTAACGTCACTATTCACATCGAATATTTGACAGATTTTTCCCGGACAAAATTCCGCGTCATCGTGAGTCGTAAATAACTGACAACGAAAAAAAATTACACAATCCCTTTAAAGTATTTTCACCATAATTATACTTTATTCATCAAGGAAGTGTAAAAACCCCTCCGCGCTGAATATACAATTACAGTTTCAGCTTTGTTTACCCCTTAACAAAGCCTGTGTTAACAGTTAATGCCTTGCATAAAATCTTCCTGCATTGTAAGCTCCTTAAAAGTTGTATGATATGATGTACTGTTTACATGTATACTAGTGCACGATTTAAGAGTTCCTGAAAGAGTTTCCATCAGTCCAATCTGTTATATGCAAGCGATCAGAATAACTTACCGGGGAGAGCACGTGAGTAGTAGAGAATTTGAGGTTGTATGGGATAGAAGTATGTCCAATACCTACTTTTATGTATGTACATGTAGAACTTTCATTTCAGACTAGTAGTATGAATGGTCTTAGCATGCGACCACTGAGACTTAATTACATGTACATGTATTAGGGTTAATTAATAAACAAAAATCATAATAATTTGCGGACGTAACTGCATTTAATTTTGTTATCAATTCTTTCCAAAACACCTTTACTATATAAAATATATTTTAAATTATGGAGTTTAAATCTGTAAAATACGAGATCATACCAAGTCCAACCGTTTAACCCGCCAATAAAGCTACACAATGCAACGCAATTAAACGAAGTTGGTACCAAATCCTTCAATACTGGCCAATTTCTTACCCTTGAAATGTTACCATTCAGGGGACGTACAGAAACATTCTTAAATTCTTAAAGAATACACATCTTCCATGGCAAAAACTTGGGGGATATTCGTTTTGGTGAGAGCTTCTTTCACATGCGAGGTTGCCATTTTTTAAACAGGCAACACGCAGCATGTACATGCACTGCAGAGCGAAGATGGCTGCAAAAGTAAAGCACAACAAAGTGGCCATATTACTCTTGCAACCAGTAAACCTTTTTTTTTGGAGAGTGCAAATGGTTGAAATCAATGATAAAATAAATGCTGGTGTTGCACAATGAAGAAATTCACTGACTTGGTGCTGTTAGAATTTCAAAACAGCTTTAGAGGGAACATGACTGCCTTAGATCATAAAACTTAGTACCAGTAGACGTGTCTAAACCAGGTACACTCCTGGTACTCCTTGTAAGCATCCTGGTTAGCCATGTCGAAGCTTTTGCTATTACACACAATGTACAAGATTTCCAGTCACCTGTACTTGTATTCATGTGACACTACCCGAGTTGTATATTGTTCCAAGTCATTTTGATCCATTTAGGGATAACCAAAAATTCTCATACTTGGATTTCTGAAAGTGAACACTCCGCCTGGAGAGATCAGGTTACAAAATGGGCAAGCAACTAAAAAAAAATAAGAAAAGTTCTGTGTTAACTGCAGCCAAGAAAAAAAAAAGTGGAAAAGGTTCTTAAAAAATTGCAGCAAAAATTGTGGAAAATGTGTCCCTCAGCCAAAAAACTTCTAAAAAGGATGGTTTAAATGCAAGAATGACAGATTCTGGACAATTACATAGCTGAGAAGTACATGCATTGCTTAAAAAACAAACAAAAAGGTTGCTTATCTTTTAAATTGTCATCGTTTATCTTTTAAATCTCAAAGTAATCTAACTGTGGGATATCTGTGTCAATTCATTTGTGCTTAATGATTACCTTGCTGTATTTTTAATCCATGATGGTTATTTTCCCTGCAACTTGCACGCCTGAACAAAGTGGTTAAACTTGCCGCTGTGCACTACCGAAGCATTTACTGTGGTTGCCATATCTGTATGATGCAGATGATGGTTTTCTAAACCCCTTCCATCATTTGTGTCCCCTGTGGGCATTATAGGCAGAGTAAACGAAGTCTTTTCTTAATATACACATGTTTTTGGTATCTTTACATTTAACAATTTACAAAAAAAAAAAATCAACCCAACACATGGGCATCAAAATAAATCAGTTCTTTGTTCATATTTACACACTAATTTTGGCATAATCAGTTCTCTCATTTATTTCGACAGCCTCCATTTGACCAGTTCTTTTTTCTAGTATCCTAGCATTCGGACCCAGGACTGTCAAATGGACAATATCTGTCACGCTGCTCTAACCACTGCAGGGGAGACTTCGGGCAGTGGCCATGTGGCACACTTCATTCTGTGGTCTTGCACACTGATGCCTGGTCCAATTGAAATAAAAACAACCCTCAATAAAGCAGTAAATAACCCCAGCGCTGTCAAGTGTCAGGATCTTAATGTTGTAGCCACACAGCCACGTACATACGATGTCTCAATGGTAAGCACGACTGCCCCTTTCACAAATCACGACATAAGTGCAGCTGGGTGGCTTCTCTTTGATGCAAATTTTGGTGCAAACGACCCACCGTGCCATCGGCAAACACAGGTTACGTCAAGAGATGAAGTGGAATATTTTTGTAATCCTGAGAGAAGATCACTCATCAGTGGCAGGTAGAAATCTTTGTCAGCAAGATGCCTCCTAGTGGTTGGCTTGTTTAATCTTCGGACAAGCACACGTGTGGAGCTACACACCCATACCTCATTATTCTACCAGTTTATATTTCTCAGATTTGCATGGCAAGGAAGGATCACGATCGAACAGCTGATAGGATCAGAGAGGCTCTTGGGGAAGGGAGTCGGAACCGTGCTAGAGATTCTTCGCAGGATGCACAACCCTGGACGACCAATTCTTGGGCAGAGAAAGCAGTAGCAGCGAGTCCTTCCTCACAGCACACTTAACAATTCGGCAGTACGTCCCTCAGGGAGTCCTCACCCTACACCCGATTGAAGAGGTACACAATGAACTCGTAGGTGCACATCATGATGGCTGTGTTGGGGATCTGCCGCACGAGATGCGTGGTGAGGCCGCCGTACATTCCCCGGTAGCCCTCTTCCCGAGCGACAGTGACCAGCGTCTGGAAGAAAGAGCGGTACTTCTTGCCTTCTTCCCGTAACCTCGTCCGGGCGACCTCTGCAGAGGGATTAGGAAAAAACAGAAATATTCTGAATAAGACTTCAACGTCGTGCAGCGCCTGAGCTCGTGTGCAGAGTTACAATTCAAAGCAGTGCTTTTGCCCACTGAGAACAAAAGAACGTAGGTTTGTAATACAACTTGCCATGTGCGCACAGGTACAAGGGTGTTGGGCAAGGGACGCACTGAATATATTTCTACTGAAATGATGAGTCTTCACACGTGTGCCCAATTAAAATCTTTCGTATCGGCCTGTCTCTTCTTTGAGGGGGCATTCCTACTCAGTGCAAATACTGCACAAAGGCATAGTGTTCCAAGTGTGTTCACAGGACTGTCTATGTTGGCTCAGCCCAGTGGCGTCTCTTTTGCTCTGACTGACCGTGTGGGTAGGCTAGTGTGGCTGCTATCGTCTTGGACGTGGCGGCCGCACCCATGAACATCAGAAAGTCCAGCTTCCTGCGCTGGTCCGTGATGTGGCCGTTCTGCTCCGTCAGCAGCGCCTTGATGTGCTCGTATAGGACGAAGTGGATGGCCGTCTCCGTGATGCCCATGTAGGAGGCCGAGATGCCACGGTAGAAACCCCGCAGTCCCTCCTTGCGATGGACGTACTGGGCACAACGGAACATGTTGGCGTGCTTCTTGCCATTGCTGGTAAGTTGTCAGAAACACAGAACACCAAATGAGCCCTTGCACGCAATGAAGACAAAAATGTCCCCACTTTCGACTACAAGTTTGCATGATATCGGATCACAGCTTGCCATAAACATGCCAGACTCTACAGAGGAATAAACGCTAGCTTTTCTATTCTTGTATTAATCCTCCCATTTGAAGAATTTCCAGTAAAAATACAAAAATTCACAAGCTATTAGTTTAACGACAAGGCTCCCTCTACATTTGACTTTGTAATTAGGCCCACCTGAACACAGTTTTTTTGTTTGTGGGCTTTGTAATTTTGTGAGGTTTCACTACAACCAAGGGCCTATTTCATAGAGCTGCTTAAGCACAAAATGTGTTTAAGTGGAAAAAACTTACTTGATAAATAAGGTTACCGACCAAAATTCCATGTGATGTATAATGTTTTGGCATGATACTCACCTGTTAGCATGACAATCACATAAATTTTGAGCAGGTAACCTTTGTTTTTAAGCAAGGGTTTTTTGCGCTTAAGCAAATTTTGTGCTTAAGCAGCTCTATGAAATTGGCCCCAGGTATAATAAGTGATTCCAAAAAAAAAAAAAAAAAAGGAGAAACAAGTCTCACAAGCTTTCATACTGGTTTTCAATTTGTAATTGCATGCATGGGGAACTTAAAAAAAAGAAATCAGCTGACCTCAGGAAAGTTGAATGCCTCAGGCACTCATTTCCTGCTCTGCCAAGGGACAATAACCTCAAACCATACATGCAGCATTCTACAAATGTGCCTGCCATTTCCCTTCAATTTCCTCTACCACGCCGTTGGCCCGTGCTGTGCGGTGCAATATGTAGGTTATTGTGGGCATTCTTTGAATGAGCCCCTCTCCTTGCTGTTCAATTTCACGGTCAGTCTATCTGATTTTCAGAGCCAGACCCGTAAGTTCGAAACAATATGTTGTATGGGCGGTTACCTAAGAAGACCCACATGAACGGTTTACAAATCCACAACCCGCACTGCCACTGAATTTTACACTTGTGGCTGAAATTCGAATTCCACATTTCAGGGTGACCTTGATAACAGGGTGACAGATTTCAGAAATCTGAGGAGACGGGATGTGGGTTACCACCAAGTTTGCATATGTGGACATCCACTTCACTTACACATGTTCCAGTTGGAGTCTGGTCTTGACCAGCCATATGGGATTTGTGAGCGTACACGCTGTGAACCCTGCATTCAAACACACAAGAGACCCTCAGAGTAAGTATTTCACCAGACATATGGAGGGCCAACAAAAGCTCAATGATCAGTATTACAGGTTACTGTAGCATACAGAATATCTGGAGAGCTCCGATTCTGATCGGGAAATTTAAAATCACAAAAGTTTGGTTCAGTCTAGTCTAATGGTTGAATTTTTCTTTCCTTTGGTGAAAAACAGTGTTGCCTTAAATTGATTCTTCCTTGAACAACCCACTGTCCTTCTAGTCTTTAAGTAGTACATGGGTTTTTGTTTTAATTGAAGATACACTCTCTTAGGCATCGACCTCATTGTCAGGCTAACAAACTTAACCACTGTTTAATAATAAAGGACAAGTAAGGAGATTATCACCCCCATGGGTTGATAAACCTCAAACAGCACGGTGTCTCTAGAGGGGCTTTTAGGGAGAAATGTTACAAGGCATCTTAATGCAACCCACGATGTAGCGTCTTGAAGTCGGAGTGCATGTTGAGTATCTTCTGTGTCATAAATGACCCATTTGTACTCCAAGAAAATAAAATAAAGCCTCAGGAAGGAGGGAACGGCAAGAGTTCCTCACCTGCAAAGCCAGCTGACAGCAAGTGGACTAGTGATGACTCAGGCTCTATTCTGTCGTTAAGGAAGCTCTTCATCTGTGCGTACGCTCCAAAATAGATTGCCCTGCAAGAGAAACCGTCAGACTCGGACTTTACTCAAAGCCTCAGCTGCATGCTTAACACAATGGAATTGCAAACAAGTTTTACGCACTAAATAAACCGTTCAGTGTAAATTAACCGTGACAAACGGTTACCCAACCCAACGTCAGTGTAACTAAGTAAAGCCAACCAACATGCCCAACTGTTCACATTTCTTGGGGACAATTTCTTCAGCACACACCTTTGCCTGTGGAACTTTAGGCTCCTCTGTCTTCTCTACTTCCTCCTACTAATGCCTTGACATTATTAAATAGGGATCTTCCCAAAAACAACACTCAATCAGAGGCTCCAAGATACAGTTGGCTTGTGCTGCGCCTTACCTGGATGGGGCAACACCGATGAGATTCGGGCCTAATCCCCGGAAGAGAGCACTTGGACCCTCATGCTCCAAGATGTACCTGGTAACAAAAACACAGACTTCATCACAATGATGTTCCAGCATTTGGGGTCCTCTCCCTATTTTACACTATAAACATCTGCACCAATTTCAGCAACTTAAGATTCCATTTTCAACTCAATCAAATCAAGAGCACTGTGTGTAAGGTAAATGTGGCTTTAACCCAATTTCACGGTGTTGCAATCCTCCACTACCGTCAACCAACATTGAGCAATTAATGTAAATAACTTTAACAACTGCATCAATTTAAAATTTTACGTCAAGCTTTGGCCTTCACCAAAGGTTTTTGTTTTTAATATAAATGACTTGCAGATGAAAAAGCCTCTCCACAGTGTTCTGGAGCCAACGGCAGAGTGCAAGAGCAGCACAGACAATGCATGATTGTCATATTGATCAATGCATCAGGCATGCGTTTGCAAACAAAATTGTTCGACTGATTTTTATGTGAACGTGCAAAATTGTGCATACTCCCAAGTTCTACAGAGGACCATCCCCCTCCCTTACCCCAACCCCACCCCCAATAAACTGGTCTTTTTCTATGCACACCTTCCTTGAGCTCTTCCACCCAAAAAAAAAAAAAAAAAAAATCATCCTAATCTATTTACCTGAGGCATCTGATGACTCCAAGGGACTGCCTGCTGTAACCTTTGACCTGCGTGACCCCTCCTTCCGTGGTTGACAACCCAGCATTCACACTGGGTACATACACTTTGCGCAGTGATGTGTTGGACGACTGTAACCTTGTTTTGACGACTTCAAGCGGACATGTTATTATTGCACCAAGTGTACCTCCAGCCCTGCAAATGAAAAAAGACAGAATCCCATCAGACATGTAGACCCTACATGCAACATACGTCTTACGCACGAACTCTAACATTGCTACAAGTATTTTAATGGCATCGAGTTAAATCCAATAAAAAGTCATTCAACAGTCAAGCAAGTGTTTTCCCATACTGAACAGTATCAGCGGCGCTGAAGGTGGTGAAGTACTTCACAACGGTGGACATTATGGGGGCACTTTTTTTTGTATTGCTTTCAAGAAAAAATGTTTACCTCAGGATATAATCCACCAAACGGAAGTGGCAAGAACACACTGATTTACTTCAGTTTGTCGGCCATCTTTTTACAGAGAGGAAATGAAGAAAGGATTTTTTTCACACTCTCAAGTACATTTTCAACTACCTTGCATATCAGCTCTCTTTGAATGGCTTAATATGGTTTTTTTCCCCCCTGCAATCACCCACGCAGATCCTTTAACATGCCTAACCATTGTACATAGGTGATGCAACACAGAATTACTGGGAATATTTGGGGAAAAAGCCCCCCCCTCACTAGAGACTAATCGATGAGACACAAGTGACAACAAAGGTTTGAGGACTCCCCCCCCCCAATCCACACAACGCACACCATGGAAATTCTTGGGCAAAAAAATCAATGCCAGACCAGTGAAAAAAGGAGTCACTCAACCCTGTGAAGCTATGGGAAGCCAGTACACACAAAACAGGTAACAGCTATTGCTTGACAGTCACATGTAGTACATACAGTCTTCTTCAAACTGGAACAAAATGAATCAACCCCAAGTGGAAGATGGGACAGTGGACATCAAAATAACAGTGGAGAACTTAGGAAGTTGATTTTCCATATCTCATCAGACCTCCCTTAACCCCCCTTGAATTAACAACTACCACGAAGCCTTGCTCAAATTGGTTTTACTTGTTCTTTAAAAATACCCCTTCACAATAATTCAGCACACGTGTACACAACTTTTGCCACAAGGTTTCCTGGGGGAGGATGGACATCACGGCTTGAGAAAAGTGACTTTGGAACTTTTTTGTTGTCTAACTTGTCTGTTCATATCTTACTGAGTTCAGGAGAGCCTGAAGTGTCTTATGCAAACTGGTTTGGCCTTGTTCTCTACTGAACTTCCTAGGTACACAATAAACGGTTGACTTTTTGTAATTTCAAGATTTGACTGATTGAAAAAATAAACAGAAGAAACATGCACATGAGGAGGCAAAAGAACTAGGTACGTTTCCTCTGAATTCAATCCCAGTCCGTTGAACAGACACCTTTCCCATTAAAAGACATTATTTCCCTTTTCTGTCAAAGAATTTCCTGCACAGAATTTATCTTCAAATGTTGATCAATTATTATGGTCTTATCAGTTGTTAATCTCTGCTTACAAGCCAGACAATAGCATCAAGGGGTCTTTGGACCCTATTCACATACAAATCATACATTACATACATACATTTAGAGCACTGCCATGCTCTAAAAGCCAATATTCCACTAACATTTTGACCTGCATCACCTGAGCATAAGAATGAGAACCTCTTGTGGCCTTCAACCCTAACAATCCCCAACCAGCCAAACTCAGCAGTATACAACTAGCATGCACATTTTTGTTCATGACTTTATGGCTCACACATGCTCATGTCACAACAGCGGCAATTCACTGCCCCCAAGAGATGTGTATTAAGGTAAAGACACAGCAAGGCAGATATCTGCCCTTTATGTTAACATTCCAGGATTGGCTCCAAGGTTACATTAAAGACACTCGGTGGCGAGGGAGCAGTACCCTCCAAGTAATGAAAATAGATCTCTGGGAATCCATGGACCAGTCCTTTTTTTTTTAACAGATCTGCAGAATTAATACTTCCAAAGAGAGAGGGTGGGTTCGTCATTGCGCACGTCCGGAATACATTTCACAGCTGGCAAACTTTGGAGAATCTGCTAGTACCAGCCACAAAAGATGTCCTGCCAAGCCCAATTATGTATCAGGAACAGGAGTCATCATTCCAGCATGTACATGTGCCAGCGGCAGGCCAATCCAGTTTAAGCCAGTCATTTCACCTGATAAAACAGCCCTTGCTTTTATATGTTAATGAGGGCTGTCCCTGATAACAAATATAAGTAGCAGGCATTCTGATAATCTGATGCTCAACTAACTGGGGGAGGGAGGCTTAGATATGTCCTGCATTGTTCAGTGCTGTCAAAAAAAACCAAAAAACAATACTGTCAGAATTTGTGCAAACAATTTGTGCCGACAACCTTCAACAGCGCATGGTGTAATTTACAATGAAACCAGAATAAAGTTCACTAATACTGCCAAATAATTCACGTGTGATGTGTATGCATTCAATGTGCATGTTCAGTAGGCGTAACCGGCTCAACTTGGAAAAAGTAGCCCAGAACTAGATCTTAGATGCAAAAATTGGAATTCAAATTATGAAATGTTCATGGTAGATGATGTGCAAGTGAGCACATTTACATTTCATTAATTAATGTATTTTGCATTGCTTTTATTATACATGAATTAGCAATTAGCTAAACCTACCGGTACATTAGTATTGAAACTTTAAGTCCTGGCTTGTTTTACATTTTTTTCATGGGGTAAAGTAGGGGTGTCTTCGCACTGGCCTAACTTCAAGTAGGAAATATCTGCACCATTGTTTCCAACACTGCATTTCTCACATTCAAAAAGTTTCAATTTGATGTTGGCCTATAGGCCTAATTTCTGAATAAAATTTGAAAATGATGGGTAGGGCCTATTAATTTGAAATAAAGTGGATGTTTAAAATTCATCAAAGTTGTAGAAGATAAGTTCCAGGTAAGCTGAACCTTTGATGAGTTCTATCTAATGGATGGATGCTCCCATTTTAACAGGCTTTGCACTGTTGCATTTACTTCGAAAACTCAAAATCACTACTCCGTCATACACTGTGTGACTTTGAGCCAACATGGTTCACATGGTGTCGTAATGCTATGGGGGGGGGATTTTTAAGTATCGCAAATCTGAACTGTTTCCTCTATGGGCGAACATGGTCCTCTAACGAAATCGCAGGAGAGGCCCAAATGTAGTTGGGGCACAACACGTATTGACCAGGAAACAGTCGTTGGTAGCACTCCCAACCATCACGTTTGAGTCTTGTGCCCAGCCCACGTATAGGCCACCCATGGGTGTTTCTGGGAGGACTATGTTTCGCCCATAGAGTTATTGCGTATTCTAAATCTTGATACGTGCATTTGAAAGGTAAAGGCAGCAAAGTTCAAGTGCTGTGCGTGTGTCAAGCAAACACGGTCTCATTTTAAGTCAGAAATATCACCGAAGCCCCAACTGTTTGACGTTGGCATTGACAGACGCCAGTAGGTGGTGATAGAGGTACTTTTAGTGAGTCTGAAATTTTTGAGAACCATTTCAACCTTACTATATGTACAGGCATGGAGCGTTAGTACGACGATCCCGTCCAAAATCCAAAAAAGAATACTAACCCTCCACTTAGCTAAGATCAAAGTCACATGGAGTATGTCGGAAGGATGAAATTGAGTTCCTGACGTAGGCCTAGGGCCTATTATGCATTTATCTCACCGAAACCTTTCAGTTACAGATGATGTAGGCCTAGGCCTAAGGTTTGTCCATATTGAATAAAAAATTAAAATCATGGAAGCTACTATCTAGCTAGTAAACGTAGGCCCAGATGGCCTTCTCAGGTCACAAAAACGACACATCTCGGAGTTAAGGCTTAGCTCACGTGGATATGAGCGTGATAGTGTAGCCAAAACCATGGAATCACAAAGAGATTTAGGCCTAATAATTGATTGCTTATGTAAAACTCTGGTTGGCCTTCAGAAGTATTTATGTAACACATCCTCCATTCCTTTGAAGCTGAGAACGTTACATAATCATCGAAACCATCAAGTCAATGTTGACAAGGCCACACTCCCCCCAACGTGCCCACAGAAGACGTAACGGGCGTGCAATGCACAGCCAGCATGCCCAGCCCGTTTCAGAGAAATTTCTCATGTCAAGAAAGCGCTAGATCACGCAGTTTATCTCCATTGTTTTACTTACCCTCCTGCAATTACATGGGTCATATGAGCTGAAATCACTTGATTGTGCATCTTGCTGTCTTCAAATCCAGAAGTTGCACGTAAAATTGCCATACGTATCCATTCCTTTTCCACTCAGATCTATTCACCACGCGCACGGATTACACGTTCCCCACATAATGTTTACACCACCAAAGTGTAATTCCATTGCATACGCTACGAACATGAACAGTTTTTCATAGTCCCCGTGTTCACGGAATCCCCAAACCTTAGTCACGCGTCTACCACATGATGAAAACATTACACACAGCCTTCCATTCGATCCTGATTGGTCAGACATTTGACCGAAAAGTTCATGGACGACCCCTCACGTGAAGCGATCCGTCTGATTGGTCTCTATTTTTAGCTCTTATTGAAATGGCATGATAAGGCCAAGGGTTAAGAAACTGAATATTCATTAGTCTTGAATAAATCATCCCGAAACCGCGGGCTTCCCTCTGTATGGTGTGCAGAACCGAACAAAACTCTTTGCAAAGCTCATAGCTAAGTAAGCAAGGATGTGATTTGCAATGAGAACAATAGAGAGCACGAATTTCACGCATTTTAATTAAAATCTTTTGCTTGGTGTTTCAGATCTGTCAAAATCAGACTTTACTAGGCCTTATGCTTTCTGAAAAAATTTGCCCTAAATTATTAAATTTTGCCCATTTTGTGGAAAGAAGTAGAATTTTTCTACAGACTGAAAATTCACTTCGAGTTGTTTTATGGATTAAAAATCATCGGTTTTCAGTTGTCTAAAACTTGTGATCGGTTCTCATTTTTCAATTTTCAGTTCAAATTAACTGTATGAATACATCGGTAAGACTTCTAAAAAGAAACATTGTTGTCCATTCCCCGGCAGCGTGCTGAAATTCCTGTTTTGTATCCTGATGGGTCGACCGACCACAGGAATTACGATTAAAAATTTGCTTCTTCAACACAACTTCCTTTGTAATTAAAATTTAGGTTTCTTAGCTTTCCAATGAAGTTGGCAGAGACCGGCCGTACTCTAGGCTGGATTTAGGAATAAAAATACATTTTTTTTATTCCTCAGTGGACACAGTGTCGATTAATTGCATCTTGACTCAATCAGTGCACATAAACGTTCGCTCATTGCGGAAAGTCGAACTTGTTATTGGCGTTCACAACGTGGATTTGGGCTTGAAAGCTTTCAAATCATCCGCCCCCCCCCCATTAAGCTTTGGAGATGACGGCCCGTCACCGTGACACTGGCGTCCCCGGCCCCCTTTCATGAATGAATGCAGCGGCTCTTTTTCACGGCTTATCTCAGAAGGGTCATGAAAAGACAGGAAATTGACCCTGCACTGACAAAATCATTAACGGGGCCCCATGTATCGAGAGAAGCTATGCCGCAACTGGGTTTCCCACATGGCAATTTTCTGAGTTGCATCAGTTTGCATCATCGTGGAGATTCCTATAAGCTTCTAATTCTACATGAGAGATAAAAAAAGAAAAAGAAAACAATTGAAAAAAACAAAAACAAAAACAAAACAAAACCCCCCCAAAAGCTTTTCTACTCATTGCAGAAAAATCGAGCATGATAATGAGCTCCATTCGGGGTAAATTCGGCGAGTAACACAAACTTCAGGCCTTCTACGATATACGGAAGGAGAGGATTAGGCCTATTCAGATGAACCACGTCATTATTATGCTCCGAGGACGCTATACATGTAAATGACGTCACCCATAAAGTTGGGGAGCGTCGCCCCTCAGTGAAATCAATAACTTAATTTCTGCTAGTTTTTGAAAACTTATGCTTTCCCAATCCAAGACCCCACCCCACGGAATCTAAGCCTGAACTCTATAATCGTTTTATCAAATACCAGTATTCAGAAATGTAAACAATGTCTTTTTGTCCCTCATGATTAGATGAATTTTTCCCAGTAGTTGTGGTGTTTAGATTTTAATTTATATAGTCATATTTTCTATATTTTATTATATTCTAATTGTTTGATTATATTTCAGTTCAACTTTTATTGCTGTCTTTGTTCAAATTTTTACATAAATTTCTGCGACCTTTCTAAATGCTAACTTCTACTTTGACCATTTTTTTTAAATCTTGAACTTTTTCTTTGGTGGCTATTATAAAAACTCAAAGAGTGAATGAAAATTGCAACGCCCGAAATTTAATTTTAACGCAACTGAGCAGTGTGCGAAATTTAAACTGGATGAAGGAAGGGCTCTCAATTGGAGTTTTTTGGTAGTCAACAGAGGGCGCTGCTGCACTTAATATTATGTTCCGGTCACGATCGATCGTACGTACGTGTAGCTGGCTGGCTGGGCTGGCCAACTAAGTGCGATAGTCGGCTTCTTTCTTCATGTCATGTGGGTGTATTTAACGACTTTCTGTGGTACTAAATTAAACATTCCTCACTGGAGAATGGAATAGTTTCCAGGGTAAGATCTTTGCTCAGAAATGTTTTATTTTCATTTCGTTTAGCATTAAATTTAATTTGGTCAGTTAGTCCTCAGGATCACAGGATTTTGTGGGTGTTCAGAAGTTTAGCGTAATCTGAATCACTGTACCTGGGTTTTGCACAAATCACTGTAGGCCTGATCACATCCAAGTTGATTTTCCCATGAATGGATGTTATTTAATGGCAAATCAACTCAGGATGCAGTAGGCCTACAATAAAATTTCAGTAAAGCGTAGTCTTGAATCTTGAGCAAATTTAATTTGCGCAAGGTTCAAGATTGCGCTTAACCCAAACATGGACACGTAGTACTAGCTGAGTATTAGAACTTACGTAAGTTTTTTGCCAAGTTATGATGTAGCCTTCACGATGTCATACCCCAGCCTGCAGAACTGCGGGGTTCAACATACCCCTAGAACTGGGGTCTATTGTCTGGCAAACTCCCACGGAGCTTGGCAGACTACGAACCCTATAGTTCAAGGATTGATACACCCCCTTCACTTGTGAAAGGGAATGACAATGAACAGGTTTGAGTTGTGGGATTCCTTGCTATAACATGTATAACATCAATTCAAAGGCTCCCTGCTCAGGCCTAGTTTCTACATGTTTCTACCTCCGTGGTTTCTACAAGTACCTGAAGTCCAGGTTTTGCAGTGTTACTGCTTTTGTTTTCTGCAGGGTCACTAGCTTGTACAGAGCCAGCTCAAGAACTTGACAGACAGGATCAAGATGATGTGATGATGAAGGCAGAATAGCCATTGTGTATGGCAGTAACCATGAGATACACATTCAGGAAGAAGCATGCCCTGGCTTTGTTTGCCATGCTGCTGTTCCTCTGCGCCATGTGTGAGTACCACCAACCCCATCAACAAATTCTTGAATTGTGATGAACTACTGACCACCCGGCTGTTTTCTTCTGGAAACCAAACAGCATCTGCACGGAGGGATCTTTTGGTTTCCAGAAGTGTCACCTGCCCTGCCATTCCTCTCCTTACCGTCCACCCTTGTCCTGTCAGTTTTGAGTTTGTACACATTCCGTTGAAAATTGAATAGGATAGGTACACCCTGTGGTTTTGCATGCATCAAGCAGTCCAGTATGTGCATACTGGATGAGGGTTCCCAGACCTCAACTTTGACTTTGATTTTGGCTTCAGGCCCCAATTTTAGAAGTTGTGCAAGCCTTAGTTGAGATTCTTAAGCTCAACGCAGGTCCACTGTTCGCACGGGAAACATCGCACTGTCTAACATGAGGCTGAGGCTTGGAGTATTCTCATTTGGTTCTGACAGTGAATGCTTGAAACCAATTGTGCACCTCAAGATGAACATGGAGAAAAAAGCTGAGATTTGCTAAATGTCTAGTGGGTCGTTCTGTCTCTGTCAAAAGTACCGGCAGATCATGCCGTGCCCCTCACAGAGTCAATAGACACAGAAGGAACGGTCAAACTTTCACCCACAGCTTCATGTTGTACACCGAAGATGTACATGTACTTCCTCATGTGATGGTCAGTCTTCATCTTACAGGGATGTTAAAACAAGAAGGAGAGATTAGCAAAGAGCTGTCCACCTCATCCGTGCAGGAACTACAGCCAGTCAACCTGATGTATCCCGTGGGGGAGGGGCAGTACAGGAAAGAACAGCAGCGCATTGTGCTGGAACAACAGCAGAGCTTCGGTTTGTGCTGGCTGCTCATAACATGTTCCGATCTAATTCAGATCTGCTTTCAATTTCCCATCTTTATTTCCCTATTGTAATGTTACGCATCCCATTCCTAATATCTACATATATTGTTTAGGTTTCTTAATGGTTACTTTTTTTGTGCGTCTATTTTGGTGGGTGATTTTTTGTGCATGGCATTCCTTACTCAAGCTTTTCCATTTTTTTAAAAATAAATGGGGCCTGGCAAACGTAATCCATTTGTGTAACTAAAGAATGCATATGAAAGCTTAGTGTTTGGTCATATGATCTTGTTTCAATGTGGATTTGTCATGTAGTGAATATTCAGAGAAGTTGTGAATTTTTTGTTCTGTTATTATCACTTTTGTCACGACTCTGTGATTTTTCTTTTTGGTAAAAATGTTTTAAGCAACATCCAAAATTAGGTTTTGATGCCCAGGATTCATTTGCAGTGGTCCTGGCTTACTTAAAAAGAAATTAATGACCCTGACGTCCCTGTGAGGACACAATATCTGTCTTTCTTCCCAATAATGCAGCTTTCCAAACCTATGACCATCATCTTGCTGAATTAATCCCTTCTGTTTCACAATTTTCCCCAAACTAGAAATGGATGTGGGTCCAGTTGAGATAAAAAGAGGCAACTACAAAACAGGAGGGTCTTGGTCCAGGGAAGCTCAGAAGAGCAAACCGATGATTTCAACCCCAGACAAGAAGAAGCCACAGGAGAAGAAGAAAGTCACCCACAAAAAGGTGGAGAAGCTTCAGAAGAGAAGGGACAAGGCCAAGAAAAACTGGGAGGCGATGGTGGAGATCCCCGAGCTTTCTCCTGTGGAGCTGGAGGAATTCCAGCAGAGGATGAAGGAGTACTGCAACCCACCGTGGGAGGAGGTTGATGGCGAAGAAGGTATGGGATGGTTGTCTTCTACGGCCGTGAAATCTGGCCTTAATTTTGAGCAGGGATTTTCAGTGTTGTCCCAGTAGACTGGGTTTGAAATTGCTGTAATGATGTTAAATGTAATTAAAGTAACGCTTGTAAATTCTGGGCAGTTTTCTGGGATGAATAAAATCATTGGTGCTGCAACTTCCCACTATTATTATTAATTATTTCTGCTTATGACATCAAGATTCTTCAAAAGCACCCTAGGCACTGTAGGTCGCTAGCCTGAAGAAACCTGTAGAGAGGAGACAATGAGAAGCAGTTACAGTTTTAGAGGTGGGAGGGAAACTTCAGAGGAATATTCTGGGTAAAACCCCTGGAATGAGGTAGGGACTGAAAACCCAATCCACATGTGGACTGAGCCAGGAATTGAACCTGGACCGCAGAGACAGAAGGTGAAATAGATCTACTACGCCAACCTGATCCCCTACAATGCTAGTAGTTTAACCAGTTGGTAAATCTTTGACTTTCAGGAAAAGTGAGTGAGGATTATGGTTTGCATCACGTCCATGTGGTGGCACGCCACGGTGATCGCACCCCCATGACCCAATTCACCATCCCAGACATCACCGTCGACACCGACTTCAACTGCGACCTGGAGACGGCAAGGGAGCAGCTACCGTCCTCGACGCTGCTGTCGCGCTTCATCGCGTCCATCACAGCCCAGGACGAGGCCTTACCGGCCTGGCCCCAGATGCCCTGGTTCCTGCGCCAGCTGCCCATCGGCGGCCATCAGCATCGGCGCTGCGGCCTGGCCCAGCTGACCCCCACGGGCTGGCTGCAGCTGATGAAGCTTGGGGAGCGACTACGGCAGGCCTACACTGCCAAGCTGGTTCCCCACCGGGCCTACTTCCGTAACCCCAACATGACGCGCTTCAAGAGCACGGTCAACTCCCGCACCCAGCAGAGCGCCTTTGCCTTCATGTTTGGCTTCCTCCCGCGGCTGGAACTCCGGCACGGTGAGTGGCTGAAAGTTGCCGAGAACATCGACTTTTGTCCCTCCAACTGGAACTGCTCCTGCCCGGCTCAGTCCCGCCTAGAAAAAAGCAAACAGCAGCTCCAGTGGGCAGCACAGAAGAACTCCACGGAAGTCCAGCGGCTACTGAAATCGGTAGCAGCGCTGCTCATGAAGGAGCCCAAGACCAAGAGCTTGCCAGGAATCACGGGTCAGCAGGAACTTTACTCCGCCCTCATCTGTCACAAGAAGCCCCTCCCCTGCAGTCCCTATGGCTGCGTGGAGCAGAAACACTTGGCTAGAATCATCGCCTTCACGGACCGCGTCGGGCGGGAGCTGCGTAGCAAGGAGCACGGCCCCCACCAGAAGCTAGCACGGTTGGCCATGCACCCGTTGCTGACGCAGGTCGCCTTACAGATGAAGAAAATCAGCCACGGTGCCTCCAACTACCCCAAGTTTGTCTTCTACTCGGGCCACGACATCACCGTAACCCCGCTCCTGGACGCACTGGGTTTGGGAGACTATCACTGGCCGCCTTACGCCGCAAACGTCGTCTTTGAGTTGTGGTCCAAATCGGCCGAGTTCTTCTTGCGCGTGCTGTACAGCGGCCGTGACCAGACCAGTGCAGTTCGTTTTTGCCGGAACAACCTGAATGCGGATGGCCTGTGCCCCCTGCGGTACTTCCTTAAGTTTGTCAACAAGGATAACATGGGGTTCTTTCACGTGGACAGTTATCAAAAAGCTTGCGAGTTGACGTTTTAAAATGTCTTTTCACCTTGCAGCCTGCCAAATTTGCCTTGAGAGTTTATTCAACGTGCCGCCAGTTTTGAACAGTGCGATGCTTTCAGTATCTGAGGTTAGAAAAGGTGAAAGATCCCACTCAGAGCTCAAATTGTGATGACCGAGTTGTACACTCCAGTCGCATTTTGGCTCTGCGTACTGAATTTATTTAATGGGTACCCTACTAGCAACCAAGCCAGGACACTTGCATGAATACGCGCCGGTCTGTGAGCATTTATGTTCAAAACCTACACATCGTCATTTCTTGTCAAGATGTTGTCTGTGATGCAGCATACAAGTGCATGAGCATAAGGCCAAGAGTAAGAAAAGATTTGGGTATCACTTACATTTTTGTGACGTTTGGGTGACTTTTAAATCAAGGATGTAACTAATTAATATTTTAAATGTTAAAATCAGTCTTCTGTAAAAGGAGTCCATGATGGTTGTCTGAATTACTGGACTGTACTTACTAATGTGAACCTACGATGTGCTGGGGACTGTTTCCTATAGGCATGTGTGTTATTGCCAGCCGCAGCCGTGTTATTTGGAGACAACCTTGCTGTTTTGGTAGCTGGTTTACCAAAGACTGAACCAAACCGTAAGCGGAGTTCATGTCAGTGCCTCGTTCCTTGTTGCTGTGGTCAGTGGTGGTGGTCAAAGTTACGTCAGGGGCAAGCGTTATTTCAGCCTGCTGTACGTGCGGTTAAGTTACGACCACGCATGTGAGGCCGGAACAGTTTACAGCAATTTTATTTGGCTTACTTTCAATTCTCTGACTTCCAAATTTGCATGTTTTTCTCCCTTGCCTGCTCACGGAATGTGTAAATTTTTTTTATATTGTATTTGGATCGTACAGGTGATGTCTTGTCTTTTCCAGTACAGATGGATTCAAGCTGTGCATTGTATCCGCCTTGAGCAGAAGCACCCCCTCATCGGTTGAAAAGAGCCATGTTGGTCAGGAGTGTTCATTTTGTTGGCAGTGGCATGACCGTAACGTGAGCATTTCATAGTGGTTTGTGAGCCAGCCGAGTGCAGTTCCTACCAAAGGAGTCTGCGTTTGTTGGGAAAATTGCGCCCTCTCTTGGTTGTTTTGGGACTCATTGGATGTCTTGAATATCGGCCAGATCATACTCTGTGTAAATGCACGGTAAATGTTTCCAATGAAATTCACTACAGCTGAAATGTGTTCAACTTGTGTGTCACTTTGCGTTGCAGCTATTTGTGAGGGATTGTTACAAAGTGGAGTAGACTGTATTGACACTGCCTTGCAATGAAACGGTCGAGTTCGGGCGGACTGTTCTTGACATGGGTTTCTTGTTCCCGCACTCGAATGGTGGGAACATGACTCAAGAACACTGTCCTCGGAACAGGATCACACACCACCTCCTCGTCAGGGTTTTACAGGAACACACGGAAAAACTCGTGAGATTTTGATTTTTGAACAGCTGCAAACATGGTAAAAAGTAGAGCGATGGCTTACAAAGCCAGAGAAAACAGGAAATTTTGCAAAAGTAACATTAATCATTTTCCATAACACAGAAATTAATATTCCTGCTTAATTAAACAGAAAAGAATTCAGCCCAGTTATTCAAAAACTCTCGAATCGCGTACATCGCCATGTTGCTTGTCATTAACTACCAGCGATAACCAGTTTTACGTGCCCGGCATTCGAGCGGCTGACCCAAGAAGAACAAATCGGTCTGTTCGTGAACATACGAGAACAAGCCACCCGAACTCAGTCAAGAGAAAATTCTTTGAATGTCGAAATGAGAATATCACCTGTTACAGAATGTAGCCTTTAAATAGAGGCGTTTTGCATAGTGCACCACCAAGAGTTTCCAACAAGGTGGCCAATCACAATGCGCTGTGTCGACCTTTTCCAAACGCGCTCTGCCGGGTGACACTTCCGGTCGTGTCAACCCATTCAAACATGCATTGCATATAGTGGCTGCCATGTTGCAAACTCTTGAGGGCGCTCTATTGCATATCACGCAGTATGTCATTTTCATATTTAATTTTTGTCCGCTGTAGGTGCAGTATGCCCTACTAGTAAGGACCGTTTATAAACTTGTACACAAATGTGGACAAATGTAAATGGACAAGGATAGCATGTATTGGAGCATATTAATAGTTGAAGCTCGAAGCATTCAACATTTAGACCCCAGGTTTTTGTAAAGGTTGGTCTTTTTTGACAATGTGCAAATACACCTGTGTTTTTTTCTTCTTACTTTTTTCTGACTTTTTTGCTCAGAGTCAAACAGGTGAAGGAGAGTAAGTAAAAGATGTTTTGGTGGTGAAACAAGTGCCCAGTTGCTCTTTTATGCAGGGGTTTGGAAACTCTTTGTGTGGGCATGAAGGGGCAATATATACCTTTATTCCTGTCAGTGTTAACAATTTTATTTTTGTTGCCAACTAAATATGGAAACATTTTGTAGATCTGTTATCAGAAGCCAGTATTTCAAATGTTTATTTTCCTGTGCATTTTAAAAGAGTTTTGTAAACATGCACAGACGACATAATTGCTGCCATTTTGTTTGAAAAATAGTTGTCTTGCCATAGGATTATCAAAGCTGTCGCTGTTGAGAGATGTTTAAAACCTTGGCTCTCCGGACAAAAGTTGTGAAGACTTCTTCTGAAAACCGTTTGAAATAATTAAGGGCACAATTTTCCGAGTGAAGTGCAAAAATTTTCAGTACTCCGGAATGTGGAGTTATCTTGAAAATTTGTAATCAGACAGAGAAAATAACACCAACATGTAAAAAAAAAAAACCAAACAACACGTTTCAGCTTTTCAATTGCAACTTGCATGCAAAGAAGAGCATTTCTGGGAGTCCTTAATAATTACTCAGACACGGCAGTGTTCCGGTTTGGGAAAAGTTTTATTAGTCAAACACATGACATGAGGGAACTAACAGAAAAACAAAAATTAGTATGGGTCAATACGTTTACATGATATCAGAGGAATGCAACTTGTAAAAAAACTTAAATATATGTGTTAAAAACACGATGCCACTCAACAACTGTTTTTGGGCTTTGTGTTCCTGATTAAATGCATTTTTTTTTCACTTTTGAAATTTTAAAATGATGGTTAATACATGTGTGAAATTCTTATATATTCTGGTCTTTTAATAATGTGATGGCGCATTATTTGGGTAGCTTTTGAAAGTGAATAACGAGACAAACATGTATTCAACTATTTAACATTCTTCACCCAGGTCATATGTTTGACTTTTTTTCCTCCATTTTTTCTGGGTGGCTGTGATTTAAAATAGTCTAAATTTCTCAAGCAAATGGATAAGAAAGGCTGGATTTTCATCATAATATTTTTCAGTTACAGTTGAAGCTCATTTCCACCTTTGAGCGCTGGACTGATCGAAGGAGGAATTTTCTCCCAATCGAGCCATGAGCTGATTTGAATATGCAAAGAGGTCAAAGGTGGAAAGAGGGCTCCAGAGCTATCCAACACCAACCCTTGAATGCAAATCATAGAAGAATCGCTGGTGCAGGTTTAAAACAAAAGAAGTACATGTATTGGAGAGAATAAAAATTCTCCTAAAAATGAAGCGGGGAATGCAGATGAAAAGTAGTGTCAAAGATGAAGTTCCCAGATTGAAAAACTTACAGGCTACATTCTGGGTTTCTGCTTTGTACAACAAGCAGCTGCTTTTCTGTCCAAATAATCAGTGTTACACTTCTGTTTAAATCTCCTAGATTTGCTGGATAACTTGTACAATTCGTGGCAGGCAAAAAGATGGGTCGTAAATATTAAAAAATACACCATGACAAGATATCAATACTGATTAGAATGACTCCTTACGACAAATTTTACAACACACAAAGTCAATGCCACAAAAAAGCCATCTACAGAGAAGTCATGATGTGCAGTGATGAAAGTTTGTTTTCAGATTGAAAGCCAGTCTGGATGTTTGATAACAGCATTTAATAAACAGTTTTCAGTGTGATTTTTTTTAATATATGCTTTCAGCTTTCTCCCCAAGAAACTTTCAAACCTTCATACAAACTGAGAACGTGTTAAATCTATGAACTACAGAAGTCACTTTCTCAGAATGTTTGCCTGCATTCTACCACTGACGTGTGCCAGTCTGCTACAAGACTGGCTCCCAATCCTGATGCAGGCATCTGACTTTTTGCCATAGCGATCAGTGCATCTACAGGAACGGTAACCTGAACACAGCTATGATACATCAATCCATATAGCACTGACATTGTACAAGTATTAGGAGGGTTCAAATTATGTCCAGACGTTATTATGGCAAACCGAGTTATATATAAGCAGACAAAAATATATCCAGCAATTTAATTACATGGTACACTTTTCTCTAAAACATTCAGTGACTGTACAAGCAAGAGTTTATTTGGTATATCCTCCATTTCAAACTGTTGTAGTGTACTTCAAACATCGGTGTGATGTTGTGAAATAACCCCCTTCAAATCTGAACTCAAAACAATAATTTGCAAGAGGAGCTGGTTTTTATGGCAGCGGTGAACACTTTGGCGACTGTCCACAAGAGCATTTTCATCTAGAAAACCACAAATTTGTAATATGGATAGCTAGTTGTACTTACTTCTTTTATTGATACACCATCTACAGAAAATTTTACAATTTCAACAACACCGAATGATGTACGCTATCGCCGTGTCGTCTAACTTCGTACAGGAACGTATTTCAAGAGAAAAAAAAAATATGCAAAGATTGCACAAGCTTTTTTGGTAACAGTAACCGGAAACAATACCAAAGAACTACCGTAACAGTGCATGCAAAAACTTGACTCGACGGCTCAAAGGAGGTTACTGATGGAACGAAATTTTAAAAACCGTGCACATTAGCGAGGTCTCTGCTACTTGTACTCATAGAAAAGTCCTTATCATTTAAAGTGCAAATTCTGTTACATCTTGTCCAGTATATTGTTTGGGATGCTAAACGAATGGGGATTACTGGTATGATTTTTATACAAATATACAGTGTAACCGATCAACACGTAAACGTTTATTAAAATATTTTAACAACACTGAAATCTTTCTGGTGATTCTTGCTTCCCCTTTTCTCAACCGCATGCACTACGTGACAGATTCACTGAAAATTCAACAGGTCACAAATTAATACGTCGTGAATATTTTACACAAAATCCCGGGCAAGTTACGGTGCTTCGCCTCCTTACGTACAAGCACTTGCCCTCGTAAAATGCAATGTGCACGCCTGTCACAGGTATGGAGTGCCGATGAGACAAAATGTCTAAAAGCTAAATATGGTGAAATATAAACGCTTTTAAATATGCTTTAACTGCCAATTGACATGTCTTCCACCCTCAATAATTAAAAGCTTCAAAACCAACTACAAACGGAAAAACCATTTCAATAAAGAAGTACCATTTGTTGGGCGCGCTCAGCTCAAAGTGCTAGAACTTCTAGGTTTTGGTTCTCTCAACAAAGTTTTCATTCTACTGGAATTTCTTTACAAAGAAAGCAGCTACCCCATGAAGCAATACGCTCCAGACTTTGTCTCAGCATGGTCGTGACAAACTTAAATGTTACGAACTGTTCAATTGCTTTGTGGGTTTCTCAGTATCTGGTTTCTTGTATTGCTGTCCGACGACGCTTTAATGCATCATTTCTCACACATCTGAAAGCACCACTCATTTGAAAAAATTTATATGTAAAACTACCCGGAAAAAGTACAGCTTACAAGTTGAAAAATTTGAGACCTTCACATGGGACTCCGTTCACCAAATTATGATCTCTTTTGTCAAGAAACAGTTCTATGACCTGAACAAAATGTCAGATTGGATGTTGTGCACTGAATTAAATGCAGACATTATGACATTTTGAAAGAAAAAATCTTGAAAGTGGTACCTTGCTGACAAGTCAATAAGGGCATGCGCGAAAGGCAGATTGACCTCATTTTTCTGGTAAAACTGGGCTTACAATGCCAAGAGTCAATGCTTTGATTAAAATTTGCTTCATAAAAAAACTGTTAAAAATGTTCAACACCGTGCAAAAATAAAACCATGAAAGAAAATAAATTACTCCAAATTAACACAGGACCAAAACAAAAATCACGAAAACTTAAAATGCAGTCAAAAGCATCATGAATACATCACAATTAGCACTTTTCTTTCGGATGTAGCCCCTTTTCTGGGAGCTCTTTAAATAAACTTAAAAAAGGACAGCACAGTAAGCACCCTGGTCAACTGAAGTAGTAAACTTTTTCTCCTGGAGCGACAATAAACAAATGCTTAGCAGAAATTTTATATGCTCAGCAGACAATAAATGGAGCACCAGCAAAGGGGGATCTCATTTCATTACAGTTGAGGGGTAAGTGATTCCAAGTCTAATCTTATGTGGGTGCCGCACATAAGCAGGCAATTAAATGCCTAGCAAATCAGCTTGGTCCCCAGCAGCATGCATTGCATGCATTTTTGCCTGGTGCCCTGCTCCTGCTAAGCAAACCTTTTCTTGTGCTAAGTATATTAGTATCCTTAGCAGCTCCCTGAAAACGACCTCTGACCTGACCCCAACACTTGTGAGAATTCCACTTATTATACACTCATTACATGTTTGCAAAGGTTTGACGGGAGAGGATGTTCGATGAACAGGTGGCGTAGTCCCTAACTTTATAAAAAAATTGTTTAAAAAATGACCAGACCCATGTGCAAATAAAGGTAATCACGGAATTCAATAAGAATTTATACACAATCCCTCTCTGCCCAACAAAGGCGAGACTGCCAACCAGACTTGCTCAAACTTGCAGAAAGTTTTTTCCTTGATATTAATTTTTTTTTTAATTAAAAATGTACACTAGAATGTTGTATAATTTGAAATACGCTCAACAGATGTGCTACCTGCTGAGTTTACCCGCTACAGTTACAATATTTGTGTCCAACAATCAAGCGAATTAAAGATGCATCAACGGATGCACCTTAGGTTTAAATGATTTCCTGTTTTGTTTTTTGTTTGTTTTAGAACTTGAGCGTGGAATCGTCCCACTCTAGCTGGGTGCCTTTGATTTCGACGTCAATTTCTCCGCTGGCATCATCTTCGTCATCGTCGTCGTCGTCTTCTTCGGAGCTGTCATCCAGGTCATCTTGGCAACTGTCGTCTTCGTCATCGCTGGAATCGCTGTCCACCCCCACGTGGGTCTCGGTTGGCTGTTGAGTAAAAAAATATAATTTTCCACATGTACTATTGCACATGAACTGCGTTGGGATTTTCTTGATTTTTGAAACGGACCACGGTGCTGATGACAAAGTGTGCTCCGTATGATGCTAACCGAACTATGGCTCCCACTGGCTCCATGGGAAAGTGCACATTACCAGAGTGATGTCATCAGCACATAGGCCCACTGTGCCTTTTCAATCAAAAACCTTTAATCAAGTGTTATCAATGTGGCCTATCCTTAAACAATTCCCAATTCATAGATGTGTCAGTGTGCTTTTCATGAATGTTCAACAGAAAAACACGGCTCGTTGTTCTCCATAACAATCTAACCAGCAAACCACCAGACGAAGGCTTTCGTCGTGCATCATTTCACAGATGTTTCCCATTTTGAAAGACTTGATTTATGATCTCCGCATGCTTGAGACTGACAGTATCTACCTATCAGCCTTGCACTCCCCACTGAACAACGCTATGCTTCACTGACCAACAATTTATGAGGTGGTTCTCTTCAATGTGTCATTACTTTTCCTTGTATGTATTTTTTTTGCATCAAGATGATTTCAAGTACATGTTATTTGTACGGCTGTATACAAAATAAGGCAACTAGGATAGAATGCTTATTCACAAGGGTTTTATTGCTTGCTGTAGAATTTGATCTGTTATCAATGAAAAGAGCCTAACTAAAGCCAGCCCTTCCATATTTCCCTTCTAATGCTGTTGTCTCCTTTTCAAAGGAGAACAAATCATCCTAGGAACATGGCAACGTATCATTCTTAGAATCACTTACATTTGCTGGAAGTGGCTAAACATCCAACAGTTCTGACAATCAGTTTCTCAGAATTTGATTACCATCTTAAGATCTGTTCCCAAGCTCGCACACACACAATTTCTGTTGTTCTTTCCCTCAATTTAGATAGGGTTAACTGATACCAAATGATCCAATTTCACTTCCCTCTACCACAAGCACCCCATCAATGTTCTGTGCCTTACCCCTTCCATAGGGTTGACGGTGATGTTGAGGGCCGAGTCGTCCCAGTCAAAGTCTTGCTGGTCGTAGGTGCTGTCACGGTGGGCGGCGTAGATCCGGAACACGCCCAGCACGATCATGAAGACCAGAAACCCCACGCAGATGACAATCACGATAGTCATGGCTGTACCTGTGAACCCCACACAGGAATAAAATTAGCAGATTTTTTCTAAAATAGTTGTTTTGACGATTTCACCTTTCATCCACACAACAATACTTTTGCCAGTACTGGGACAACTGTGGGAAGTAGCCCTATCTCCTGATGACGTACCACAGAGTTCATTACAGAACATAGCGAGATAGAACAGGGGTCAACAAACTTACATTTGATCACAACAAAGTGACGGGCACAATCTAACCATCTTAAGTTGTGGGAGATAATTTAGAGAAAAATTTTAAATGATGCTTACAAAACAATCTGCCTTGTGGACACGGACGTGATGGTCCTCGTATGATTATGACAGCTGCGTATGGCGATATATGCACAGTGATCTCCATTCCCTCCCGCCTGACATGTCCGAGGTAAACACTGTGACATGTCATCGGGTATGACAATGGCCTTTTTCAGAAACAAGTCAATTATTTTTTATGGCTGTGCCTTTGGTTTTTATGAGCTTTTGGATCGCAAACATCGTAACTCTGTAAACACTGTGACATGTCATCGGGTATGACTATGGCCTTTTTCAGAAACAAGTCAATTATTTTTTATGGCTGTGCCTGAGGTTTTTATGAGCTTTTGGATCGCAAACATCGTAACTCTGTAATGAACTGTAAACTTGGTCGACTCTGAAGCTGAATACACACCTGACCTTCAGCAAGATAGTTAATGGCTGCCCTGGCGTCTGCATATACACGTAGCATCTATCTGAACACTGCTCACACATATAATGAACACGGTGAAAATTGCATGTACCGCTGATTCACATGTACCATGAATGTACACATTAGACGCAAATGACAATCAAGGAAACAGTAATTTGTAGGTCGGAAGTTATTGCCCACAAGCAAAGTGTATTCCACACAAACCAACATACAGGTGGATGATATACCAGGTCAAGTTGAACGGAAAAATCCTGCTGCTTAGCACAAAATTTAACACCAGACACGATGCTTTCCATCAATCCCTGCACACAAAACGTAGCAAACTCGTTCCATCTGCTGCCCATCATTTGAAATTCACAGCATCGAGAACACGATATGCAAAGCATTCTTATAAAATCTCAAGATTTTGATGGAGTCACTTCTGAAAGGACTCTTCCAAGTTACCCTTCCTTCTGATACACTGTCTACAAAGTCATTGATATTCATTGAATCCAATACACAATACCCAAAGGCACTCCAACGACCCAATAAGTACATGCTTTACATGTGAATGTGTGCACCTTGCATGACAAGCTTCCTGCAGTAGGCCTATTTATGTGTTCACTGAAATAAACACGTTACATGAGAGAATACAAGCCAGAAAATGGGTAATTTGAGACCAATATCCGAACTAAACAGTCTTACGTCTAAAAAATATGGAACTAGCATATTGTATGTCTTACCCATAATAAGCTCAGTTTCTTAATTGCAGAGGACAAATTCTGAACTCATCTTTAGGAAATCTCACTGATGTCGATGTACGCAGGCACTAATCGTAATTAAAAACTCCCCGCAATACCTGCACTGCTTTCTAGAATGCTAAGAGATGAGAGTGGTACTAAGCCTCAACCTCTAATAATCTGTAATAAGACCATACATGATTGGCCAACCATGACTGACAACTAAACCATCAGGGCCAATAACTACAGAGCTGCCTGTCTTTTAGCCAACCAATTGGCTCACTGCCACAGCCCTGACCTATGCAATTTGCATAAAGATTTCCACATGCAGTTGGTGCTACATGGCCAACTCTTATTTTACATTTAAAGGTGTAGTTGACGGCACTAATGGATGTTTATTCAAGCTAGCCTCTGGAAAGATTAAGGAATTAGTGTTGTCTGACTGAAGCTATTGAAATTGTCTGATCACAGAAATTAAACATTATCCCTGACTTCCACTGGCAGCATGTCTGCAACCCAGCTGCTATATCAACAATGACACAAAAGACCTGATAACAAAGAGATAAGATCTGGATGGTAGTTTGTTGGCCACTTATCTACTAGGGCACTTTCCTGGTCAGTGTAAACACTGTCCCCTTCACAGGTAGTTGGAAAGTACACAGCAAACTGGACATCAGGTGTGGGCTCTAAAGCACTTCATTACAGGAGAATACTTGTACTGCTATTTATGGCAACAGTTTACAAAATTTTTCCAAAGAACTGAACAATCTCTCTTTTTTGCATTTTTTTAAACATTTATTCAAGATTTTATAATCTAGGACAGCGTGTTCTGTAGCCGAGTCTTTTTATTGTTCCTGCTAATACTTTTTTTCTTAAATTTTAGCAACGGGACTAGACAAAGTGTCTCACACATAAACCCAAAGCGCAAATAGAGAATGCAATCTTGTTTATGATCAGGCCATGAAGAATGGACTCGAAATTGCCTTCATGAACCTATGCAGACTTAGGCAGACAGACCAGAGTAAGGCCTGTACACTTCTCCAAGGTGTTTTAAATTGCAGGGTTACAGAAAAAAAGGAGAAAAGAAAGTTTACTGAAGCCCTGAAGACAACAGCTGAAGAGGGAATGAATTTATTGGAGTGGTGACCTGACCAAGGAAGGGGGTAGGGTGGAGAGAGGTGGGTGGGAGGGAGGTTCTATACTCATTGGATGCGGTGCTCTGACGGGGGGGGGGACAGAGAGATTGGTGTGCTATGGAGTTCTGAACTCACTGGATGTGGTGATCTGACCAAGGGGGTAGGGCAGAGAGAGGTGTGGGATGGGGGGTTCTGAACTCACTGGATGCAGTGATCTGACCAAGGGGGTAGGTTAGAGAGAGGTATGGGATGGGGGGTTCTGAACTCACTGGATGCGGTGATCTGACCCAGGGGGTAGCTTAGAGAGAGGTATGGGATGGGGGGTTCTGAACTCACTGGATGCGGTGATCTGACCCAGGGGGTAGGTTAGAGAGAGGTATGGGATGGGGGGTTCTGAACTCACTGGATGCAGTGATCTGACCCAGCTTGGTCAGCGGCATCTTCTCCTTCATCTCCTCCTCCAGGGTGTTCTTGCCCGGCTTGAAGAGGATGTTGGAGCGGGGAGCGGCCTTGTCGTGGTTGGGCCGGATGGCCTGCTTGATGGACTTGCGCAGGATGTTCACCTAATGGAGGGCACCAACAAAGCAAGTAGAGGGTGTGTTAAAACGACTCGCCTCGGACAAAGCAAGCACTTGGAACAAGGCAGTTTTTGGTACTGAAACAAATCTTACGATTGCTGGCCGTTTTCCCCATAGGTGCACGGTGACAACTCAGTCAAATTTGTGTAAACATAGTAAATGAAGCACATTTTCAATCCTGAATTATTTTTACTGAACATATTCCTATCCTTTGTTTCAGTTGGCTGTGTTTGCAAGATTCAATTTGAGAATGGTTCCAACTCACCGTGATCTTGTATTCATTGCTCTGGAACCGTCCATTCAGTTCGGTGCATGTCACGGTCAAAACATGCGACAGCTGCTCAGTGTCGGAGGAAGAATATATGACCTGACGTAGGACCTCAACGTAATGCTCAATAGTATCAACTCCTGAGAAATAGGGGGAAAAACAGAGACAAAGGTGTCAAAGTTTGACTGAATTTAACGAGTTTGTGAGCACATTTAATCACATCATTCCTTTTACAATTTATCAATCTTTAGACAATATGGATAACCTGACAATCAGTTTTCATGCCAAAGTTCTTTGATGTTTGAAGTGTTTTTTTTTTGTTCCTCACCTTTGATTGATACCCCTTCTGACGAGTCAAACTTGATGAGGTTGTAGGAAGCTAGCAGCTCAGCAGCGATAGTGAACTGCTCACCACCTGTGAGGTAGGTCCCTGTGGTGATGTTGCAGGAGTCGAGGCGGTGAGAGACGGTCAGGGGGACATCTGGCTTCTGCCCGATCTCTGCATTTTTGGGGGGAGGGACAGGGAAGAGAATTTTTAAAGTCACCGTGACCTTTATCTTTGACTTTACCCCAAAAGAATTCTCAACCTTAGCCAAACTTTACGTACCCGTCCGATAGACAATGCCTACTCAAATTCATGTCCAGAGAGAAATCCTTGATTATTGTCACGTTAATTTGTTGAAAATTGATCTTGACCAAAACACCGCCTCCCCTCACCTTCCAGAGCCGCCTCCTCTTCTTCCTCCTGCTCCTCCGACATGGTGCTGACAATGCTGATGGAGGCGAATGGACGGATCCCCGCCACCACCTCGTGGGTCTCCTGGGCCATCTCACTGGGCCCCGAGATGGTAATGGTAGGCTCCGGCGGCTGGACCACCATCACATAGGCAGACACGTCAGTCATGGGCATGGGGATGCCGTTGCATCTGCAAAACCGGGGTGTGGGGGAAGAAATTGAGGGCAAGCTGATGATCTGTTCAATCGATTACAAATTTATATTTTTTGGCAGCAAGTTAAGAATACAGAGACGGCAATGTTTCTCTACTCTCTGCAGAGATGCGACGCCAAAGTCTGAAATGGCTGAGAGTTCGGAACACATCAGCCCGAACTTACGTGGTAATGGTCTTGATGGTGAGGGCCCTCTGTCCCGGGGTGGGGAACTTGCGGGAGTTGAAGTAAGAGACACGGCGGAGGAGCTGCGAGGCATCATTGAGATCTCCCTTGAGGACAGCAAACCGCACGGGTAAGAAGAGTTAGCCGCTGTCGCATACCAAAATACTACGGAAACTTCCAGTCAGTGTTATTGAGTATGGTTCAGTGTGAACGTTAAAAAAAGTTAAACAGTGTGAATCTTATCTCCACTGACGGGAGGACATCTTTGTGGTTTTTGTACCGCTGAGCATACTGATCTCATGCACGTGACTGAAGCTTGTAACTTTCTTCTGAACAAAATATACTCAGGCTCTGTCAGAAAAGAAAGTCACACTTGGCTGAAGAGTTACACTTATTAGTGATGTCCTATGAACAAAATACTTTAGGAAAGAAAATCCTAATACAGTGTACTTAATTTAAAATAAGTAATCTGACCACGTCCTGATTTTGCGAGACTGTTTTACTTTTTGGGGGGGGAGGGGGGAAGAAACTCACCTTGATGAGCAGCTCCGTCTTCATGGCGTTGAACTGGAGCCTATCTGCGGCCAGGTCGTCCGGGGTCACGGTCAGCCCCTCCTTGCAGCTGTACATACACTGGATGGTGGGCTCCGTCTCCACATGGCCCGGGAGCACGCTCAATCCCGCCAAGTAGCCCTGGAAGTGGCCGCTGAAGCGACCCTTGCCCCCTGTGCGTGCATCAGTATCAAAGTCTTTGGGTTAACCAGAAGGGCATGCAGGGGGCAGCAAACGCAAAAGGGGAAGGGGTTGGGGAGGGGGGGCAGAAGAACAAGCCAGGCATGCAGGAAGAGAGTGAGGAATGCAGACAGAACGACAGTTTAGGAAGGGGTTATCGTCAAGGATTACACGCATGAAAAAGGGGGGAAATGGATTGGTGCCATGGAAGGTGGGGTTGGTTAGGAGAAGCCGGGTCAAGGGTAAGTGCCATTTATAGGCAAGGGTACAAGGCAGCATAAATTATAAGTATGAGGCATACAGCAGGCATGAACATTGACAAGACAACATACAAAACAACAACAGAGAAAAAAATTGACAACCCCGCGCCCACAAAATAGGCGATACGAAAAGAGACACGGGCATACGGAACCAGAAAGAATTAAACAAGGAGCAAAGAAATTATCAAGCGAGAGGAACATGCAGTTGGGAAGGGAGAGAGGGGGGAGGGTTGATTATTAAGGAGGTTAAGGTTTAAAAAGAAGTATGATTTAGGGAAAAAAGGGATGAAAAGGAGAAAAAAGAGGGAGAAAAAGGACCATGGAATGGTGTTTAGGATGAGAAAACGGTACAAGAAAAAAAAAAGAAGGGGGGAGGTTACCGATAAACAAGGGCATGGCCACACCACCTGCTACGAGACTATGGCTACCTCCACCACAAAGTGCGCAGAGCAGGAAACAGTTACAGGGTGCACACATTTTCCACCAGAGGACCGCTATTGCATGTTTTTTTTTTTAAGGGGATGTCAGAAATGCAATCGGGGTGTTGTCATTAATAGAGAGAGGACAGAAATTTCGGAATGTGGAAAACCAGGAAATAGTTAAGACGACACCAGGAGAAGGTAAAGTCTCTGATGACAGTAGAAATTTCAGTTCAAATTCAAGTTCACTTCAAATCAAAGGGCAGCATACATGTACTGACGGTAGGTTCATTAACCCTAACAGTCCTCAATCCTTCACCTGTTGGAGGACTGAGGACTGTTAGGGCTATTGTTAGTGCATTCAAATTGTCATTTAACTTTGAAATTTGAATTTATTTCTCAGTATAATTTTCATGAACATGATTTAAATATCATGTGGACGAGTCATTTCACATAGGTCAAAGGTCGTCACCACATCAAATCAACTCACCATCATAGCATGCCCCAATGGTCAGTGCAACTGGGTAGTTGCTGTGGTGAAGCGGCCAGTCATCAGAAATCATCTTAGTCTGATGCAGCTCACCATCAATGTAAAGCATCACCTGTAATGCACACAAAATATGTCATTCCAATCATATACATGTATATGCTCTAAGCATGACCAGTTGAGGGCGCTCTATACATAACACAAGTACAGAGCCTAGAGTAATGCCCACTGAGCAACTGACAGAACAAAGCTAATATTTACTTGTTTACGAGTGTTAATACTTCATGCACAGTTATCTTTGGGCAAGTAATGTTACCAGGCAAGAACAACTTGACATTGATGCAATTTCACCAAGAGAGGGCTGTCGTGTCACACTTGCCTGCCCCACTGAGTACACTGTCATATTCCCTGCCTGCTTAATTGCATTTTCACTTCTCGCTGACAAAATATCCTCTGTGTGTTCTCTTTTTGTGTACATTTCTTTCCTCGGTTCTTCCAGCCTCATCAATTTCACACTGGAACACAGAAGCAACTGGAAACCACAGAGGAACAAGAACCTAAAAAAAGTACAGAGCTAATTTACAGATCAGGCCTTGGTGGGTGCCTACAAAATCAAAAACAACCCGAAAATGAAGAAATGCTAATGATGCAAAACCCAGACGTGGACAAAGTCTGTGATCTCCTTCTTGCCAGAGTCTTCAGGCAGGAAAGGTCAAAGGGCATCTACGCTTCCCAGATTTTTGTTGACTTTTCCAGACCATCCATCAGTTGTTGGCAGAGTCAGCACATATCAACCTGAACAGACCTAGTTAGCAACATATCACAAACACACATGCATGCACTGTGGGACAGCAGGTCTGCAACTGTTTCATGAATGCTGCTCCAGCAAGCCAACCCCTATGCCAAAACCACACTGTCGCAACCTGGATTTTTGCCCCAAACATGAAACGGTTGGCTGTTAATCAGTTTCCGGGAGATGGCTAATTGCTCCGAGCCCCCCACCAGGACTCGTGGGGGAAATCAAGCATGCTATTTTCTCCAGCTCGAGTGCTTTTCTTGGGATCTTAATGCAATATCCTGGTCTCCATTTATGTGATAATAAACGTGATGTTTAAGGTGTACTAGTTTCAAACCCGGCCAACAGACACAAAATCAGGCCCTTCTACTATGACATCACTTGAAAACGTGCATCAGTTCAATACTCTCTGTTGTCAAATGTAGTGACTGAAAAAAAAATCCATCATGAGCGATGCCTAGAGGCTTGACTGGAAGTCCTTTTAAATTTGACTGCATTCGGGGCCATATTTTGCTTTTGACGCTAATGTCGGACACTGGGATGGAAAATTGATTATTTTGTGTACAGGCGTGTCATACATAGTGTGGACTTCTGCACAGAAAAAGTCCACATAATGCAGGGTACAATGGCGTTGTGTGGACTTGCACACGTCCACACAATGTTCCCCCCTCTCTGAAAAACAGTTTCGAGGCATTTTGGGGTCAAGGTTATCTGTTGCAAAATGAAGAGAAACAGTTCTGGGAATCATCATCAAAAATCCAGCTCGAAGGAGTTATCCTAGTGGGAGAAAAAGGAGCATTTACCTTAACCACAGGAGAACAAGGGAATGTCCACACTTCGTATGTCAAACAAGTGTCAATGTGTGGGGGGGTGTGTGTTTGCCAAACACTAATGCACGGAACCCTCAATTGGAAAACTGACAACCACTGACATAATTTGTATGCAATAATCAATTTGAAAAAAAAATCCAGTATGCAGCTGCTGTGTACATGAAGTTATCAAGTACACGAGTCTGTACCGTGGTGCATTTTTTCTTGAATCATGCAAATGAGGGTTGAACATGTATTAGATTTGTACTCGGTCAACCACTTAATCAAAATATCGAATTTCATGATCAGTGATACTGTCATTAATAGAGTAACTGATATTGACAAGGAACCCCAATGTTTTGTGTGTTAAGGGCTCTGGGGGGCAGAATGTCAGACTGGTTCACGTCTAGCCATCAGCTGATGCATAATTAAGTCAGGTATGCCGCACCTGTGCCCTGCGCATGCATTATAAATGAGTATTGCACACGGAGACGCACGCAATGACTGCCTCAAGGGACGATGATGCAACGGAAGTGGTCCAAAGAAAATGGCTCTCACTCGGAGCACGAGAAGGCCTCGCAAAGGGAGAAAAATCAAGAAAACAATGATGCGAAATAACCTGATCGGAGAATTTTTGTGCAGCTCAACGCGAGAGGGCAAAACACTTGTTCCAAAGGAAGGAAAGCATAACCCTTAATCTAGTGGAAAATAGCACTGCAAATCTTGCTTGCACAGGTGTCTCTTTCAAAGGTCCTGTTTGGATTCGCCCGACATTACTAACACTCAAGATGTAATTTGGAACCTTTACCCACATCAAATTCCGAGATTACTTTCTAAGGTTCACACTTCGACACACCTTCCACTCACAAATCTAGGAGGGCTTAATTTTCACAGCTTTCCAAGGAGGCCCCCCATCCCCACCAAAAATTGGTGGGGGGGGCAGTGACCTGACAGGGAAGGAGGACATACCGAGGGGAAATCGACATTGAAGGTGTAGCGATGCCACTGCTTGTCGCAGACCTCATCCACCTTCCAGCGAAACTCGGTGGGGAAGAAGGCGTCACTCTTGCCCTCGTCCTGGTGACGCAGCAGCAGGACCAGACGGCAGTTGTGGATGAAGACGGCGTAGTGGTGACGGTTCAGGCCTGGGGGAGGGTTAGATGGATAGAGGGTAAGGGGCAAATAAGGGCTTTCCAGAAAGGTTTCACATCAGAGAGGAAATTTGAGACAAAGACCAACTTTATACTACTAGGAATCCCAAGATGTGAAAAAGGTGGCCAATTTCTTTCAAAAGTGACACATTTTGGTGATAGACGAGGTAGGTTTTAGGAGAGGCAATTGATCTGGTGAATTGTTCTGCAGTGCATGAGTTTTCATTGGTCAGAGGAGCTCTATGGAAATAGTGGAGTTAACAATTAATCGTCACGATCAAGTGTATTATCGGGCCAGATTTGTGCTGTAGTAAGGAAAGTGCTCAGGCCAACTGTTAAAACAAATGTGAAATTATCATCTTAAAGACCACGACTCACCTTCGCTGTCGGAGCTGCAGAGAATGTGCTCCTTATTCAGCCCTTCCGTCTCACCGTGCTTCATCCAGTAGGAGATACTGAAGCGGTAGGTCAGGTTGGACGGGGCATACTTCTCGGGAATGATGACGGCGCTCTCCTCCCCGTCAAACTCGTAGATCTGCTCGCTGTCGTGGCCCTCGTCAGTCAGCAGGTCCTCTGTCCACTTCTGGCCCAGGCTTGGGGAGGGGAGGAGATCATAACTTCCCGCTGCTGAACCTGTAAATGAAGAGAGGCTAAATCAAGCAAATGCTACACCATACTTGAACTGTGGCTCTATTAATGGATGGCTAACTTGGATGGTCATTTTCAAGGGCCACTTTGGTGGCCATTGTGTCCAGTGACCACTGTGGTGCCATCCTTTTCAGAGGCCACTTTTTTTCAGAGGCCACTTTGGTGGCCACTTTTTTCAGAGGCCACTATGCTGGCCATCATTTTTCAGAGGCCACTTTATGGTTGCCTCTTTCAGAGATCACTGTGATGGCCTCCCAGGCAGACGGCTCATAAATTCCCTCCCCTAGGTTAACTCACCGCAGAGTTTTCGCTGAGAATCGGCCGAGTAGGTTTCACGATCGCAGCCGAAGCCGATGTGTCTGGTCTGGAGCTTGACTGTTGTGATGACCTCGCTAGTGGTGCAGTTGGGCTGGGTGCAGGTCTCCAAGTGCATCATAGGAGCTAGGGGCTGCACCCCGGAGCCTGGGCTGTACTCAATGCGTCTTGGAACACCTGCTCAAAAAAAAGTCGCAAGTTTCATGTTCAAAGTGGGAATGAACGCAATTCCTATCTAGTTACAACCACCGAAGAATGACTGGTCTTCCAACATTCAGATCAGAGATTCATTGGTTCCTTACTTTTAATCAGAGAGACAGCGACTGTTTCCCTACCTTTCCATCCAGGAGAGCACAGTTTGCTGACGGTGATTGTCACGGGGACCGGCTCACTGCTCCGGCCTCCGCAGTCATACGCAACAACATTGAAGAGGTAGCGTGACTGAATCTCAGCATCAAGGGCCTTGGTGGTTGAGATACGGCCTGAAAGACAAAGGATGACAAATTTTAATCTCAGACTGTGACATGGATCTAACCAGCCAACACCAATGGCTAAGCTGGATGGTTTAGCAGTTGAGAGGCTGGCACCTTTAGAGGTATGTTGGGTTTGAACCCTTAAGTGGGTGTTAATTTGTTGCTGTATGAACCACTCACTCAGCAACTCCGAAAAAATCTCAAATTCATGATGGTGATCCAGCAGAAACAAACTGAAATTCGAACAGAATTTGATCATTTACCCTATCTTCCTTCTGTCCAGTGTGAAACTTAATCCAACGCTTAACCCATCAGTTAACATATATCAAATCCATTCTGTACATGTGTACAGCATAAAATTCTATGGGATCTGATACAATACTCATGTTAGCGACTCCAGCAAGCACCTGAATCGAATTTAATGAGGAATTCCATCTTTTTATTCAAACAGCATGTGAAAGACTTCAATTTCAACAAATCACATCTGAGATCGATTTCTTCATGGCAGCAAGGTGGTTGTCATGGCGATGAAATTTCCTAGCAATTTCCATTAAGGACATGTGGAGACTTGGTCACATTCTTGGGATTATTTTGAGGCAGAGTTGAAGAGAACGTGACAAAAACAGCAGAGAGCTGTGAGTCTGTTCTGAACAAGGACTGAACTAGTAAATGAAGTAGCTTAATGAGTGACTCAAGGCAACCAAATTGCAAGAAAACTGCCTTAACCTCTTAGATCAATAACAGCTGGCCACTGGGATCATGTCAAGATTCAAGTCCATAATCTTGGGCAACGAACCTTGTCCCTTTAATTGCTTGTGTACTTTCAAATCCCTCCCCCCTGAAATTTCCGCTGCCAGGAACTGTGCATGTCCCGCACGTGACACTTCACGGGCCCAAAGCCTTGGTGACTCCCAAACAGCGTGGTGTCCTGAATTGACACAGGCTTGGACTCATTACCTCCAGGGTCAGATTTCCCATTCCTTCATTTTTCCTTACCCCTCTCCCCCTGCACTTGGCAAGCATTTACAGCCCATCTGGGTCTCATTTTTATTCCAATTCTCTGGAAGGTACACAATCTGTGGACCAGGCCTGGCTTGAATTCTGTCTGACGTCAAGGTATAGGTGGGAGGCAATATGGAATGTCACAACCTCAACCAGCACAGGTTTGTCATTACATTTGTCAACCAGAAAGTTCTGCTTTTGCTGTATTTTTGTTAATTTCTTGTTGGAAGTGCAAGTTAAGTGCAAGTTCAACTTTCAAATCTGAACTTGAAGTAATATTAAAAATCAATAACTTAGTTTTCCAAATAACTATCAAGCTTGTAAGTATTAACCACTTGCTGCCGGGTGGTTTGAAAAAATGCAGTGCACATAATCGGGACTTTTTCAAGATTTTCAGTTTTCAAGATTCTTCAAAAACTCATCATTTCAATTAATGGACATTTACACCCATATGAATTACTGTCTGGTGGCCACTCTAGTCTGACAGACAAAATCTACTGACGCCAGAGTGTTTCAGCCAGGCCTGCAGCCTTGTAAAAAGAGCCCAGATTGTGCGGTATGTAACTTTCTTTTGTTCACGAACCTGGCACAGTGCACTGCTGACCTCTTTTCAATAGGGGCTAGATTAGCTTGCAGTGGTGCTGTGTGGCTCATCGCTGCGGTAGTGGAGCCCTTTTGTCCCTGATGGTAATTCGCTCACACTAAATGCCCCGAGCCGCGGTATATTATTTCAAAACAAGGCTGCATTATCTCCACTATTGAGAGTGAAAAAATGTCGCTAATGCCCAGCAGCCTGGTCTTTTGTTCCGAGTACAGTCTTTTGTTACAAGGACCAGTTCCCTTTGTCCGATTTCGGAGACCCCAGCCACGCATATAAACACACGGTGCCCGAAACCGGGCTCCCCGGCAGAAAGTGGTTAAAACTAACTCCCTCGAGTGCAGGCAAAACAGTTTCTGGTTGCCTGCACAATGCACAAGTATCAAAACGACGACGTCTTCAAAAAGAGGAATTCTTCTGAAAACGTGTTTTTAAAGCTGCACTTTGGATCTGAATTAAATCACTGGGCAAAGGGTTCGCCGGAGGGGGAAAAATATCTCCGGCTCTCACAAGGTCCATTAGCCTGGATGTGGGCAACGGCTATTATGAATTCTATGGAGGATGAATCTGAAGGAAAAAAGCATCATTCCTCTTGTAACAGGGAGGCATAGCTTGTCTCTTCCTGAAGACGACTCAGCTGTGTGCATGGGCAAAGACTACCTTTCTAAACTGTCACTTCAATTTGGTGGGCTAGATTACAATGCTCTGGTGACATGTTGAGTGGCCAATTATTGACAGAGCGTGTACCGGTGCTCCCACACCGGGTATAAAATGCCTAATATTTTGAGACGGTTTAGTAATACAGACTGTCCCATATCCCTCTCCTGGTCAACCGTAAATTTTGGCAAGTTTCTCTTTCTATTCATCTGGAAATCTAGAGGTACTTTTTATCTGAGGCATTGGAGTTAGATGATGTTTGTCTTCTTTCGTTTGTTTTTTATTTAAAAAAAAAAAGAATCCACAAGAGGACCTGACTGAAAACCCACAAAATTCAAGCATCAATGATAAAGATGTTCAGTACAGCCTGCTAGTCCCTTGTCTAAAAAAAAGTGCATGTATATGATTTCCGTAATTAGTGACTGAAATTACAAATCAAAGTTTTTACAGTTGCAAGGTCAGGGTTGCCATAGAAATGGCATTTTGTCATGTAATGAATTCAATGGGCGAACAAACTGAATATAGCCCGGTATTATTGTTCACAACTGATTAACATAGTCCCATCCCATTTCTGGACTTATACCTGTACTTTCTAACAGTATTCAAGCAAACATCACTAGTCTCATTGCTTTTTTTCAAATGACTAAATTCAAGTTTCAACTTCCAGATAGACTTGCTTTTCGGAATCATCAACAATACTATTTCAGTGCATGTGTCTTTAATCTCTCTCCCCGAACCAATGAAAAGGAAATAAAAAAAAAATCCATCACTGTCATCAGGTCCAATTTTGGGATCCAGCTGTTTGCAAGCTTCCTGTCCCTCCTAGCGACAATCACAACCCACCTACCGCGCAACAAAATTTCCCTCAAAAACATGTTCGTAAAATTTTGGTTGGCCTGTCCACTCTCTTCATCCACTCTCATTGGTAACCCGCACCGTTCGCCACACGGCCCCCCCCTCCGTAGCACCACCAAGCTGATGGAGTGACAAGTGATCCCATCCAATTAAACCATGAGTTAAAAGGTTCTCCACCTGCAGACAACCACACTCTCATAAACTCGAGAGAACTACACGTACGGTTGCGTGCACTGCGCACGTCTATCCATTACCTTTCTCATGCAAACATTTACACTCGGTAAAATAGGATTCTTTTTCTCCTCAACTCCCACAAGCCACATTTCCCTGGCTGTTCTAAATTTCTGAACTGGCCAAACAACCTCAGCGAGCTCGGTGGTCAAGTGGTTAAAGACGTCTACATTGAGTGCACTGCTAACTTAATATGCAGTACATTTACACGTATCTATGTGCACATGTACGCAATAGAGGGATCCCAATACGACGCTTTTAGCCTCGATCTGCGCATTTCCGCGTTTGGAAACAAGGCTGTATGTGTCGGCTTCAATTCCTAATACGATCAGACGATTGACAGTAAGGAGTCAAGACACAAAATACATAAAGGTATGTTAAATTCAGACTTTTCAGGCTGAAAAGTTTTGTGGAAGAGTCTTTCAGGATGACTCCACATGTTAAATCAAAAGAAAAAATAACGACAATTGACCGCGAACTAACTACCTGCGATGGTTGTGTATCTTGTGCAGTGGGCGTGGTTTAAACTGAAGTGGCGTCACACTTACGAACCAGATACTCCATGTACTGTGTGGACTCCGCGGGCGCGCGTGAGGAAGTTCAACACAGAGACCTTCGGTTTCGATGCAGATATGCGCAGACGGCGCTAATGTGAAATCCCTCTATACATATCCTAGTATCACCTGTCGTTCATGTACATTATATACTAGGGAAGGTCTGTACGTACAGTGCATATAACCTGATACATTTTGGAAAAGCCATATTCCAATTTTCATTGAAATCCCGGTAAAACAATAATAGTACAGAATTTTTATAAAGCGCCCTCCATAAAAATGACCTTAGATTGCCGAGCAATTATATAACGATTAAAAATTGAAATTACATGTAATTAGTAAAAATGTAACAGTTAAAGTTGAAATCGAAATAATATATGAGATACAATGATAGGTCGAAACATAACCATTCAACAGAATCATTAGCATACATGTCGATGTTGCAATTGAGAAAAATAAACTAAAAATTCTGTTCACATGTACGACGTAAATTCCTATTCAAATGAAATAAAATCCACTGCATGCATTTTGAAACATCTGTTATGAAGAATAACAAAAAAAAAGATGTTGCAGATTAATTATCTGTGTTCTGGATGGGGGATCCAGTCACAATAATCACAAGACAGCTTGAACTTGGCACTGGCGGCCAATTAGCCAGCTGTGTTAAATAATCGATGGGTGACCTTGCTGCGATAGGAGGGCTCAACTACGACAACTACCCGGTGACGAGGAAGGTGGGAGTGGGGAGAGAAAAGTGCATGTCACACAAGGAGGCACCATTAATGAAAGGCAGGTGTAGGGTTAAAATTTATTTCTACTTCCAAATCACCCTGTGAACTGAGAGTTGAAAGTATTTCTGGATACAAAACCCTGATGTTGCATGGGGATTGCAACCGTAGACACGTTAATTGCTGAGTGCTGGGAATTCAAAACCAGAGACAAGCTAGTAATTGAATGGCCTTGCAGTTGAGAATATTTTGAACGCACTTCTCAATACCAATTGGTGATATCACTTCAACAGAGCACGGAATAAACACCTGTTTATGTAATACCTGCAGTGAAGCTCACTGCATAGAACAGCGCCATTGATTATCGGAATATACCCGGTATGC